CACATAGTAAAAAAGTCATGTAAGTATTTCATTTTAAAAAGCGACCAGCGTGGTATATTTGAGTATATTCCTTCATAGATGACCGGAGTCTTGAGCGAAACATCGAAGAGCTCATGAAGGGACAAGAGTGATTATAAATCTACTTAGTTATGTTATGCGTGCAACAAAAAGTATGCTTTTCATTGATAAAGAATCGCACATCCGGTTCCGGGTCGTAGGTTTGAGCTCCACTCGAGTTAATTTTCATAACGGTTCAAATCGTAGGATTTTTCGACCACCGTATATTGCAAATTCTTTTAAAACGTAAAATCTGTTAAACTTATTTACAGCAGTTGTTTGTTACTCTACTCTGTTTGAGTGTCTAAGTTTAAATTGTCATTAGCTCTGTCACGATTCGGCCCTAATATTTTGTAGGACACCAAGATGGTAATGCTTCAAAGCCTGCCAAATGTCGCGCACTTGTTTTAACTTCGCTTTTACCTAACAGTACCAAATATATAATGTACATTATTTGCTATTATATTATTATATTTATTTAGTCTTAAATATTGTAGCAGGCATATATAGCGGTAAAAAAGATATCGAATGTAGCTATGCTAGAATAAACGAAAACGAAACTGACACGTTTTTTAAATACGCTCATAAAGTTTTAGTAACTAATTACCCAATTAAAGATAAGTTTAAATAGTTTATTTTATTAAAGCTTGACCCAAAAATTCAAGGATAACCCGAATTTTCCTTTGTATAATTCAATAAAAAAAGAGACTTTTCAAACTCAATACCTCCTCTTACAACTAAACAACAATGGCGGTTATAAAATAAACAATATTCTTCTCAGAGCTGCAGCAAAAATTTTGATGTTCTTTTAAGGATAACCCGAATTCATAAAAAGCACAGTGGGTGGGTATTAATAATATAAATCATCAATGACGTCACCAGGAGTGATGTGGTCGTTGCCCACGCGACGCCTGCGCTACAACTTGTCTCATAAAATCCTTCAGATTATTAACTCAAAATAAAATGTACTAAAGACAAAAAATAACTTAAGTGTAAGTTGGACTCACGTACGAAGAGTTCCGTACGGGAAAAGTTACGGCTGTTAACACAGTAGATCGCTATTTAACAGAACAAGAGCACGGTACTTGTTGGTGGTAGGTTCGAGACGCGCTCGTATCATTTTCTTTTATTTAACTTACTTTTGCAATTCATTCCGACATTTAAGTATCTTGTCGGAAGAATTCTTTTCAATGATTGATATTAGTAGCTGTACAAAGTTCTCATAATGTTTTTTGTGAAAACAACAAAGGGAGGAAACAGTTTTTGTACATATTTTCGTTGCAAATGAAAAGGAAGTTCATCATTATAACAAATTTTAATAGTATATAATATCACTGGCTTATACGTGTAGAACACGTAAAATAAAACTGATAAAAACTTGATTTATACACATTTTCAGATCTTGCAACTACGACTACTAACGTCAAATCCTGTTTAAAATTCACAACTTTATTTAGTTCGCAATAAATATAGTTGATAAGACTACATAAGTTACTAAAACAATCTTTAAAATCGTAAAATATACTAAAACATAGTTCTTGGAAATTTGCAAGGTAGCCTTCGAATATTAGAGTTCAACGCGTTGAAACCGTTTTAAGATTGGTTAATGATAAATCTAACTTATCATGGTGAATAATAATTAGTTTGGATTATGAAAATGTTGTAGCATATAGTTTTATAGACGAAGTTAATATGACAGATAGTTTTGAATGTTTTTTTGAACTGTCTTCTTTTAGTAAAGACTGTCACATTAACCATTTGTTCTTACGTACTCCTCAGAATTTGAATTCAGAATAATTAAATATAAAAAATACCGCAATATCCAGCTGCAAAACTTCCGCTGAAACCGGATTTTTCTAATTTGATAAATTTTATCTTCCTTACAAATTATAGCACAATTTTAAGTCGCGTAGCGCGTCATATCACATTATTAACCGACGCATTTACATTTTTATCACGTCATTTATTTTTTATGAGTATTTATGTACCTATTAAATTATTGTTTTACCATTAGTTCATTATGTTCATTCTAACACACCTTAACAAAGTATTTTAAATTTATTTTGTAGACAAGTTAATTCGCATAAATATTTACTTATACCTGTGTCAATGTATCATCTAACATTCTTATAAATGAAGTTACAATATTAAACCACAAAATGGGCACTGATATTTGAATTAGTTGCTATTTATATCAATAACTTATTTACCCTGGTATGTATTGGTTAAAATATGGTATTGTTAAGCGTTAACCCGTAGTTATAGTTACTAAATAAAATTAATATCAAATATCGAACATAAGGACTTACTGAACGTAAATCCGGAATCAGTTCTAAATTCGAACACTCACTTATCACAGACTAAAACCAATAAGCACAGTTGTTATCTGGCCACTAATAAACCGGCAACACGCGTTTTTTTTTCACTATCATTGATGACAGTTAAAACGGCGCGAAACAACCATTCTCCGCTTGGCGCCGAGGTCGACTGAAGTTTAAACTTTAAAATTGTAGAGCGTATTACGTAGTTAAAGGTTCTACTGCGAATTATTTTTACGAAGGAGGCTTTGCAAGGAAAACGGCTTGATGGTGTCTTTATTACTTTTGTCGTGTAGAATAATTATAACTGTCCTTTTATCTGCCATCTAACGTTGGGCTTTGCGGATAGTTGGAATTAATATGATGTTAGAAGAAACCTTGCGAATTATAATCAGCTCATAAGTTTTATAGTTAATCAATTCCTTAAATTAACTTGTGCTACTGCACAGCCTGGCTGTGAGCTGGTGTATTGATTACAAAAAGGACTATATTATGGTTATATTGTAATTTATAGCCTGTAGGTGACAACAAAAATTCTATATTAAACTGCAATAATTGTTACTTATCTTTAAATATTTATAATTAGGTATCTTTTAATTATAACTATTTATTAGTGTTCTTATCCAGTTTCTAAGTAGTGGGTGCTAGTAGCGGCATCTAGTCGTTATATTATGAGGTATGTACTCCTAGATGACGGGAGGTGATAGCGACATCTAGCGGTGAAATAGCGGTCTTTAGCGACATAGTCATGCTAAAACTATGCTAAAACATCGCATAGCGAAACACCAAAAAGATTTAAAATATTTTTACACTTCGTTATGTAAGGAATATTTAGCGAGATCAATTTAAATACTAACATTGTAACTGTCATTCGGTAAGTTTATAAATTTCAAAACTTAAAAATTTATCCTTATTCTATATCTCTTGAATAATAAAATTGATTAGGAAGCCTTAATTAACTTTATATTATGTTTGCTATTTTATAATAATTTATAGTGTTATATACAACTGAAATACATTGTCTATGAATTAATGCAGTTATGCAGATTTCACAATAAATACGTTATACAATTGTCTTATATAGTTTTACTTTACGGAAATATTCTTATGTAAATCTTATAAGCCTATTAATATCATGTTAATATTATTACAGAATCATTGTACAAGTTCTAACAATCCACAGAGTATATGCCAAAAGCCTAACTGTATTGATCTGTGACGTCAGAAAAGCCTTATGAACGAAGTCGGGTTTTATCAATGATGTGTGCGCATTATACGGACATTTTAAAGAGCACTCACTTAATCTAATAATATATGGGTAGCAATTTCTTTAATTCAGGTTATAGGGTTGAATATGGTAGAATCCATCGACTCTTTTGGCTTAACACGTACCTACCTATGTTTCTTTTAGCCTATAGTTTTCCAAAATGTGACATGTTTGACCTTAGTAACAACGTGATTTATTTTTAAAAGTTTTCGCAGTGTCTAATATAAGTGCGAATTAAAATCTTATTTTACCAATTAAACGTCATGTAATTCAGTTCAAATTGTGCTCTAATTCAACGTTACTGTGATATTAAGAAAATATTGTTTTATTTACAAAGTAATTACTTATAGCAATATTTTTCGAAAGCAATACGTAAGTTAATTATTGAGACGTGGTTATTATAAAATTGTTAGAGTTGGTCTTATTGGAAGTTTATTTATATATTTACTACGCCCAAAAATTTTATTTTATTGAAGAGTAAAATTATTAACTCAAAAATGTCTTTTGTGAAATGTTGTTTTGATGCTGGTGAAGGTCATGACATTCTGGAATCATTTGTACAGAAATGTACGGACCCTGGTTGTAAGTGTTATTTATACTTGTAGAAATAGTTTTAGTGACCACAGCATTTTTTTTCGTAATTTAGATATTTTACTTTTTAATTAATAGTTTGTTACACAAACGAAGTAAATTTAAAAGTGCTACATTATATTACTCGTTTTTAGTATTGATCTTAGTTCTCAAATGTAATGTATGTCTTGTAAGTATAAAGTAGAAATTATACTGTACGTACTAATAAGTAGAGTACTCTTCTATTGATCTCATATTTCAAAAGCACAAAATCTCAATTGCCGCCTTAAATCTGTATCCGGATAACCGAAATGTTACCATTTTCTGTTTTAATTTGAACATTACTTTTTTCATCTACAGATGTCGGTAATCTGTGTTTGTCAATAGTAAAAATGACAGTTAACATTTTGATTGATATTTTTATGAACTTAAAGTCACGGAAACAACGCCCAAAACCAAAGAATTACATTCTCTCATGGCTCATTAATCTTGAAAACATCCTTAAATTTTTATAATGTTGCAAGGTGAGTCTTCATTTTATATTTCCTGTGCACCGTTACTCCAAAACTAGTATTAAGAAAACATGACATATGTTTTTGTAGCGCCATCTTGTCTAAGTTCGTTTTGTGTTCGAGTTCGGTCTCGTGTCATAAATATACATTTTGAAGCTATTTAAATTAAAATATTACCAACTTAATTATTATAATACAAACATGTGCTTAATATTACTGTAATCATAAATAAACGAAGTGTTAGTGACATTGTTGAATTTAATCTAATCGATTAAAATGACTACATCGACTACAACCACTACCCAAAACCAAACCAAAAGTAATGGAACTACTGCGACCAAACCTCAAAAGACCTATGGGAAGATAGTGTTAACGCTACACAACTGCCTTTTACCAGAAACTGCGTTTAAAGAGACGCCATCACAAGCTGATGGTTTGGATATTGAAACCGAAATTGACCTTCGTGTTTTGGGGTGCGAGATGATACAAACGGCTGGAATTCTCTTGAAACTACCTCAGGTTGCAATGGCAACGGGCCAAATGTACCTGCAAAGATTTTACTATTCGAAGTCGTTTGTCAGATATCCTATGGAGACGACTGCCATGGGAAGCATTTACTTGGCATCAAAAGTTGAAGAGAAGCCATGTAGAATCCGAGACGTTATCAATGTTTTTCATCACATCAAGCAAGTGAGAGCCCAAAAAACAATATCTCCACTTATAGTTGATCAAAATTACATTGAACTAAAAAATCAAGTTATAAAGGCTGAGCGTCGTATTCTTAAGGAGCTCGGCTTTTGTGTTCATGTGAAACATCCACATAAACTGATAGTTGTATATCTACAGTTATTGCAGTATGAAAAGAATAAACAGCTCATGCAGATGGCTTGGAATTACATGAATGATGCTCTTAGAACAGATGTGTTTATGAGGTTTCCACCAGAAACAATCGCCTGTGCTTGTATCTATTTGACAGCTCGTAAAATTGGCTTACCTCTACCAAACAATCCACATTGGTTCCTATTATTTAAAGTAACCGAAGAAGAAATTCGGGATATATGTGTGCGGATCCTACAATTGTATAAACGGCCTAAGGTAAACCCTGAGGAATTGGAAAGTAAGGTGGATTCACTCAGGAAAGTGTACCAGGCTAACAGACAAATGCAAGTACAAAAAGAAAGAGATGCCAAGTTAGAGGAAAAGAAATCTGAACCATCAACCTCTACATCGAAAGAGACAAAGCGGGATGTGAAAAACGACAAGTCACCTAAGACACCACCTCTGTCCTCAAAATATCATACAAGCCATAAAAAAAGAGAAAGAAGATCTAGATCCCCATATGATAGAAAACGAGAGTACTCAAGTAAAAGACATAAATCCAGGTCTCGTGAACGTGAAGTTGACAGATCTAGAGAGCGGAGGTCGGATGATAAAAGAAGTCGCACTTCTTCAAGGAAATATGATGACTATGAAAGGTCTAAGTCAAGTAGAGATAGTAGAGATGAGAAGCGAAAGCATTGATGTATGAATTATTAGGAATAAATCCCTCTTTTCAGTAAAAGTGTTTCTTATTTATAAAACCATGTTATACATAATGTTAGTTTCCTTATGTTCACAATTGTAAATAAAATATTTGATAAATTAACTTTATTATTTTTACTGCAACAATGAAAATATTGTTAAAGCTGAAATAAAGATTGGTTGAATATATATAATTAAGAACAACTAGTTATTGAATATTTGACTTCCTGCAATGTAAAACAAGTTCTCAAACAATTGAGTTAATGGTTTTTTATAAATAATTTGAACAACACTACTACTAATCCGAAATAAAACATAAAAAGGATGAGGAATTCTAACTAAATTGTTTTAATATTATTGGAAGATCTAAAACTAAATCTTTTATAAACTAAAAGGGAATATATTAACCTGTTGTACACTGTGGAGAATACTGAATGACTCCAGTCGGAAGTCTATTTATAAGTGATATATTTAATGGTTAAATATAACTTACACCTCAGCTAGATTTAGTCCGTCTGGTGACGTTGTGCTCTCAACGTGTATATGTTTATTTAAATTCGTAAAATACACGTCTCATAATTGTGTTTGTCTTATTGATTGATTGCTAAGAGCAATTTGTATTAAATTCACTCGCTCAATGTATTGAAGTGCATTTAATGTTAAGTGTGTCATCTTTTAGTGTTCCTGATGATAAAATTAATATTGCCGAATTAGATTTAGCCAGAAGCTTATCCTCATGTTCTTTGGAGATTAAGAATGATGATTCTCCTTTAATTTCACTACTTTTAAAGCACGCCAGAAGGAAATGGCTTAAGTAGTCAGCTGATCGTGTGGTTTGTACACCCGGCCTTCTATTGATGTCCCCAATAGAAAATAATAATACGGAACCACGAGTTTTTAAGATAAACGCACTTGTCAATAATTTTATCAGAAGGCTGTTATCTCTTACGACACTTTTCTGTGTCATAGTATAACGAACACATGCGAATAGTTAATCAATTCAATTCTATATTATAAAGCATTATTTAATGTTTTGTCTAGAGAATTTGTTTTTTGTGGAAATTATGTGTGCTAATGAAAATTGTGGCTTATTCAGTGTTTTTAAATTTGTTTTTTTTTGTCAGGCGACATAATAATAACAATTGAATAATTAACTTACATTTATTTAATATTAAGTGCCTGAGGTGGAAAATGTTGCCAATGCAAAAAATTGCACATCGGTTATGCTTTTTAATGAGCAGGACAATGTATATGACATGTAAGTTAGCACTCAAATAAAAAAGAGGTACCTGTATACATGAAAATAAAACAACTTTTTGCTTCAGTAGCGACCCCGATTCATTGTACTCGAGAAAAATAACATATAATGTGTTTTGTTTCCTCGTATTTTATCAATAAAATTACCTATATGGGTTTTGTTAGTACTTAACATGTGCCCTGTTTTAATCTTAACAGCGTTTGAGATAAATCTATCGGTTGAACCTTGATGCCTTGTGAATGTCAGCGTCAATTTAGTACTAAGGAATAAATACTGAAGTATAATAAAGTAAAATGTGTAGGAATGCCCTGTGAGGCGAATTTCTATGTTCCGTTTTAATAATCTTAATAGATTATGTGACGTTTGATAATGCAAACGATTTACTGTTTCCCCGGGTTCGAACCCAGAACCTCTCCTTAATAGGTTGCTGGGCATCACGTGTATTCAAACATTTAATATTCTAAAAATAAGTTACTTCAAAATTTTACGTTTTATTGTTAAGTTTAAGATCATCAATTGATTTCGTCATCCGCGACGAGAAAAAAAGAAAAGTTAACCTTGACTTTTTTTCGTATCTAAACGCAATGTAACAAAAAACTAAAGTTTTATCTTTTAGCAACTAAATAGCAAATTATTAAAAAAAAAAAGGAAAAGGATACATGCAAAATATCGTCGGCCCTCTTAAACCTTAATAACACTTTAACAATAACTAACCGACCTTATATACCTTAACCTTGTTCTTCTTTAGGTTGTTGCGGTTGTTGCTCTGCACTGCGGCCGCGATACAAACGCCTGGTGGACAATATATTCCCGGCGCTACCTCAAGATGGCCTCGTCAAGTCCAATATGGAGAAGCTTACTTTCTATTCGCTCTCGAGCCCGGAGAAGCTCGACAGAATTGGAGATTATCTCTTCCAGAAAGCATCGAGAGATATTTATAGGAGGAGACATGGGTATGTATTAAAAATATGAAAAATTTTAATAGAAACTCGAACAGGCCCTGATCAGTACAGTATACCTACTGATATATTTTTACTTGAGGAGACTAAAACCAAATCGCGGATTAATAATAATAAAACACTTTTTTGCACAAAAAATAAAATATAAATATTGCATATACTAAATTAATTATTTACTATTAAGAGTTAGTGCAAACCCGATTCCTTCCTGGCAACCTTTGTATACAAGAAACGAAAACAAATTATTAATAAGAGAGCAAAAATTCGGATTTAGACATACTCGCTTACTCCACAGTGAGTGGTTCGTAATCCTGATCCGAAACTTAGATATTTGTAAATTGTATTCGATGTCAAGATTTCTTACATGTTTTGATAAAAGTGTAAAATGTGTAGAAACATGTGGGATTTTTCGTGAATTGATTTCTACTTATAAGTCATACATTGTTACCACTAGACCATAACGTGCCCCAATGAAGTTTGAATCGTATAATTAAATGAAATAAATATTTATGGGGCAAAAATATATTTTTTCTATTTAGTAATATAGTTCGTATCACTTAAAAGAAAAACAATATTTTTGATACGGTGAATAAGGAAATAATTTATTTTACTTAAGAAATGTATTGTTTGGTCACTGCCAAATTTTACTTGGTCAAGGTAATTTGGCCGGAAAGTACTATATTTTCATTGAACATTTTCAAAATTGGCTCCCACATTCCGTGGTTTTTATGGCGTTATTTCAAGAAAACTTTAGACAAAAATGTAATTTTCAAGGTTCGTGATAATAGCAATGGAGGCGATGGATCAGCTTCTCCTGGCCTGTCATTCGCAGACCCTGAACCTCTTTGTCGAGAGCTTTCTCAAAATGGTGCAAAAACTCTTAGAGTCTACCGACCCACAGTTGCAAATCCTTGCTACACAAAGCGTGAGTAGTTTGAAATTTGGGAATGTAATAATTCATGAAAATAATTTAATTACACAAATTTAAAAAATCTGTCGAGATGTAAAATTATTTAGATATCACATTATTTAAGTTTGTTAATTAAAAAAAAAACTAAAACGTTTTTATTGTTGTCATTTGTTACCATGCGATATTTAATTATTGAACATAAAATCCTAAATTATGACACTTTTTTCTGGATATTCGAATTCAATAACGTGGTTTGAACTATGTACCCTTATATTTTTATGCAGTTTGTTCGTTTCGCGAACATTGAAGAGGACACGCCGTCGTACCATCGTCGCTACGATTTCTTCGTGTCCAAATTCTCAGCTATGTGTCACAGCAACCACAGTGATAAGCTAACCAGGGACAGCATTCGTCTCGCCGGGATTCGAGGGTTACAGGTATTAAAAATGCTTCATTCGATTAAAATACATTATAGCGCCTGTGTTTCGGCTACACTTCCTTTTATATTGTTAATTTAAGAGTCGCAACACGCAACGGAGGCTATAGTCAATAGATATTGAAAAATGTCAGTTTACGATAACTTTTGCCACACAGTCAGACATTTGTAAAATATACAAGTGACAACAATGTTGGACCCTTTCATCTTGTGACGCAAAGATATGATCAAAAAATACGTTTTCCGTGAAATCCTTTACGTATATGTAAATTATGTTAATAAAATAAAAAACGTAAAGACGAGTTTTTTACCTTGTAAAATGTCTAACCAACTATTACAAGATTAAAACCATTTGGTTTTTTCACGGCCTTGGGATTAACTTCCTCGGCTTCTTATATGACGTGTAAGATTTGTTGTTAGTTTGTATCACTTTATAGAAGAAATCTTTATTAGATCATAATATACAATAGATTTTGTGCGGTAAATAAATCTGTGGATAACATATTGTTTCAGGGGGTCATAAGAAAAACGGTGTCTGATGATCTTGTTGAAAACATCTGGGAAGCGCAACATATGGACAAGATAGTACCTTCCCTACTTTATAATATGCAGGTGTGTATTATCTTTGATGACGTCAAACTTGTTTATAAAAAATGATACACATTTTATCGTCCTATTGCCAACATAAAAATTTAAAGATAAGTAAATTTCAGGGCGCAGAGAAGTATGAGACAGTATCGTGTCTAGAGACAGAGACGGACACACGGGACGGAATTGATGACGATCCACCCAAACTGGCCGAAGCTTGTCTCCGGGAGCTTGTGGGGAGAGCTTCCTTCGGCCACATACGCTCTGTTCTACGCCCTGTGCTAACGTAAGTGGTTTTTTAATGACAGTGGAAGACAGACAGGACATGAGGTTCACTTCATGGAAAAAAGAAGATGCGCTTGCGATGGACTTCCGACATTCGGAAATCAACAAACTGAGACCGAAAGGCGATTAAAAAGCCTCTATTATACGCCTATATAAGCGATATATAACGCCTTGTTTCCTTTCTTCCTTCAGCATCATCCGAAATTATTTCTCATTTTGGTCTTGGTATTCGGTTGGAATACCAAATACCTTTCATGTTTTTTTAGTATTTTTAAAGTTAATTAATTATTCTTTAATTTGTTTATAGACACTTCGACCGACATGAACTGTGGCTGCCCAATGATTTCGCAGTACACGTTTTCAAGATCATCATGTTCTCTATTCAGGTAAATTATTAATACAAATCTTAAAATAAATAATAGTATAAAATATACGTATAGTAATAATATACTTGTGGACTAATAGTGGCCTCCTGATCAATTATTTTATATTTCAGGCGCAGTACTCCTACAGTGTGGTCGAAGCGCTGATGCAACATTTGGATGCTAGCGGAGGTGGGGCTGGTACTCGCGTGCGCGCTGCTAGGGCCACTGTACTTAGCAATATTGTGGCCATTGCTGCAGGAGATAGTGTGGGTTAGTGTATCCAAAGCTTTAAAGAAAACACAACAGTAAACAAGCGTAAGGGAATGAGTCTTATTGACTGTAAATATTCAGTTAATCTAATTATAGTAAGAAAGACATGCAAATTAAAAAAAAATCTGTGTCCTTCGCAACCAAAACAAGTTATTGTTTACTGGGAAATATACTAATAACCTCGCTTAACGCAATGCTATGCAAAACGTTCAACTTTTAAGCTACGCGGGAGGTTTTATTTGTGATCGTAAACTTTACAAGAAAATACTATTTTTAGGTCCATCTGTACTGGAAATCATCAACAACTTACTTACTAACTTACGAGCGTCAGTGGCCAGAGATTCCGAAGTAAGTTCTGAAATTCATAATCACTGAAGTACACATTCTAATTCATTATATAAATTATCTCTATCTTTTTCTAGAAAGAGTCAGACGAAAGGCTCTACCAAGAAGCTCTCATCAACGCGCTAGGGGAGTTTGCGGACCACTTACCCGACTTCCAGAAAATAGACATCATGATGTTCATCGTTAGTAAGATTCCCAGTGGTGCGCGCGGGAAGCCGACAAAAGCTGATTGTATGCTGCAAAGTATATTGCTCAAGTCATTGTTGAAGGTACCTATTATTAATTAATATTTAACATTATTTCTTTTAATTATAGAAGAAGCCTGACAAGCATCGGGTTCACTTGATGGTAGGTGAAAAACAAAGCCACACAAGATGCGCTGTTGTCCTATATTATTATAACATATCATTCCACAAATCATTGATAAGATTGAACTAAATTAAATTTAAGTAAATTGAGTCTGTAAGCCACAACAATGCGGTTTAACCTATACACTCGTATTATAAAACAAGGACCTCTCAAACCTGGTTTATTTGAAATCCTTATTACAAAACAAAGTTTATCGTTTATACTGGACTAACTTGATTCATTTAGACCATTTAAAAGTTAAACCAAGACTCCGCAGTTCTGCTTTAAGTTTTTTTTTAATAAGGCCGCAAGAGTCTTACTTTACTAAACACTGCCTTTCTTCGTAAGATATAAAAAAAAGACGGTCCAAGTTTAAAATTTCCTTTACATCTCTCTCTAATTCATCTTTAGGTGGGCACAACATACAAAACTACGGAACTAAGTAAAGCGTTCCCCGCGGCGTTCTTGGAAGCGTTGTTGCGTGTATCAAGCGCTAGTGAGGCACGTACGAGAGCTCTGTTACAAAGAATTCTACACACGCTACTGGATCGACGGGCTAATGCCCCGCTCTTGATTGTACCTACGTAAGTGGATAATGCAACTTAGCGAGTAACTTTTAGATAGATATTTTTTCTATAATATAGGAGAGATAAGCATGGTCAAAATCAGGTTTCCTTGATGGAGGGTGCACCGTTGATCTATTCCTATCGCTCATTTAATAATAATCCGTCCAATAAAATGAAATAAACTTACAGAATAAATAATTAATTTTATTGTTCTTTTGGGTGTATATTGTTATTTCTTGTATATTTAACGACTAATAATAATTGTAGAGTGGAGTATGCGGAATTGGGACTGACCGTAGAGAAATGTTCTCGCCCCGATTTAATCTTCATTAGTAAACATGGATATGCGATATTCAGCTCGCTTTATGAAGGTATTTATTTTTGTAATAATATTACAAGCTAAACTTTCGTCTAATCCTGTATTATACCTATAAATTGCAATTAATTATGTAATAATAATTACACAAAATTCTTAAAAATTTGCATACTAAGGCAACGATTCTCCCGACTCTGATTCTAACCCTGGAGCTCCGGATTTGCAGTTCAGTACAGCCGGCAGTGTCAGTGAAAAAATAATCTTATAAAGGTACGCAGGGGTTATGTTAGATATTTATCACTTATTTTAATTACAGGCCTTCAACTTGAGTCGAACACAGCTGAAAATATATCAGCTATATATACCACACTCGCGTTACTGGCTATAGAACTAGCCTCCGAAGAGACCGTGTGCGATATGCTTCAACTTATATTAGCGTGAGTTTGAGTTGACATTAGTAACTTAACAGTGTGTAAAGAAATAATTTATCTATTTATTTCCAATTTTAATTATTTTGTAAAACATATAAATGTTTCCTAAGAATGGTTCGGTTTTTAAATTTGGGTGTGTGGGGTAAAAATACGTATAAAGTATTAAAAAATCGATCCTAATTAAAAACTATTTTAGATTGAAAAAAATTATGTCCTGCGGCTGTCTTTATCAATTTTCAACACAAATAAAAAAAATAATGTAAAAGTAAACAATTAGGCGTGTATTTTTTGAGGGAATAAGGGGTAAAACCTTGATTTAAACACTAACAAATATATTTTTCATTTACAGTATCCAACAATCAGCGATATCAAACCCCGTACTATCGACGTCTCAACAGTGTCAGTTGCATGCGATAACTATTGCGCTAGCGGCACTGGTTCCACACGTTCTGGTGTTGCCGCCTCTAGCTGATTATATTAAACAGGTATTTCATTCAAAGTAACTAAAAAGCAAGGAGTTTTTACATTCTACATTTTTTTATTTCTACTATAGACTACAAAATAGGCTGTATAAAGTATACATAATATTTTTGTAGTGACAGTTCTTTTGCATCCTGAAACTTAATAACATACAATTAACCACAGATTATAGAAGCACGCCGTGAAGAAGCGCCGCATATGCTGCCGCCATTATCCGATGACTACGACCACGTTTCTCCAAATAAAGCACCCAATAAGCTGCCCTACTTGATGATCGATCAGGTATTACTTCACCTTCCCCCCCCATGCTTTTGTTTCTTATGTCCTACTTAGATATCTAAGTATTAAAAAGACATAATTCTTTTCAAATGTTACAGATGGCACTAGGCGAGTGTCTGAAAGCGTGCGGTATAGAAGCCAGTCGGCTACAATCACCCTCTCCTTATACGAGCGGTTCGGCCATTAGTCTGGCGCATAGGCATAGCTGGGTTGAAGCTGGTATGTAGAAATGTAAAAATAGTTAAGTTTTATTTTCTAATATTATTACCTAAACTTAACTTATCCAATCGCATTGAAAATGTCCATAGAAGTGATGACAATTTTTTTAATAACGGCAATTCTTATGGTTATTTGAACGAATAGCGATGACAGTATAGGGTTAATTAGAATGAATAAAAAATAAAATGCAGAGAAAGAAAATACGGGTGCCAAATAGTAAACAAAGTATTTTTTGAGACAACTTTTCAATCTAATATTATATTTAATGCCTTATCAATATATATCAATAGGAATCTTTAAAACAAAGTAAACAAATGAATGTTACAATATATCTGACTTTCTTAGGTGCAGCACAGGGCCGCGACAGCTTAGCTGATATATCGGCCGGGCCAGTCACTGAATTAGACAGTGCTAACAGTTCGCCTGGAGTGCAAAGGGTGAGTTTTCAATTTTTATATACATACCGACTTGAAAGACCAAAATTTGTTTTAATTAATTTTGCTTAACATCCCTAATAAAATCTTTATATAAAAGATTTCTAATTTCTATTCTTGACGAACCCATTTTTCAAACAGCAAACCCAGTATGACGCGTTGGACGAAGAGTACAGAATGTTCATAGAGAAATACAACTACAACCATAGACCGTCTATGCCTAACTTTGGAACTTATGTAATCATTTGCTTGTTTTATGTAGACATGTCTAATCTATTTACATTCTCCTTTTCTTCTCCTCTTTTATTTCTATTTTCTTCCCTAGCGAACTGACAATGAGTTCTGGCATTGGGGTCACGAAGATGCGCATACGGCTAGCTTACACGATATCCGACGGGAAAACGCGGTATTCGTTTAAAATGCGTACATTGTAGGGGGTTACAAAAGTATAAATAGTGGGAAAGGGAAATTGCTATGTTATCACTCTATCAGGGACATCTGGCGTATTTTTATTGAAATAAATATATCACTTGGTAATTATATTAAGGATATATATTAGTTGTACACCATGGGATAAAAGATGTTGATATAATATTGTAAAAGAGGAAGAAAGAAGAGGTCCCCCTTCCCGTGGTCGTAGCTAAAATAATTTGTAAAGAAGTTTAACTTACATATTTCGGTTATTATACCGTTAAGTGTGTTATTTAAATGTGTCCTACTGACGTAAACTACAGACAGTATTTAGTACATATATCCATTGTAACCTTAATGATTGTAGTGGTAGTTATTTGAATTATTCATAAACATGAATAATTTATTTAAAAAATATGTACAGTTTTAATTCTCGAGTCTATTGTCAACTTTTGGTACAAGGTCCCCCGATGTACCAATTTTGACCCAATGGTATATAGAATATTGTATTACTAAAATAATCCCACATAATTTCAGCACCCAATGCAAAGTGAAAACGTAAGTCTGGAGGCACTACGACGCGCGGCGAGTGGCCCCACGGAAGCGGAAAGACGCGACGCAGAACGAAAGAAAGTCTCACTCAACAACACATTCCGGACTGCGCCGTTCGACCACCTATTGCATATAACACAGCCTAAGGTGAATTAATAGAAATAAATATAGGGAAGACGAAGTCGAGTTTGTGCGTCAGCAGCTCAATCGTGGATCATCCAACATGGACTGGTCTTTTAAAAATAATGCATATTTATATTCCCATATTATATTCTTTAAACAGTGCCTTAATTTTATATTTCTGTGTATCAATATTAAACACTTTAGTTGGTTATTTATTATAAATGTCAAAATATTTATTTGTACACTTAAATATTTTTTACGTGTTATTTGGCACTATATAAATTAAAAATCGATTATAAATTGAAAAAAAATTACGACACGCACATGACTCGAACCGGCAGCCACACGGCAAGTAGCTAGATTGTCCTGCCCGTGTCAAACATTTGTAATGAATCTTTTCCTTTACTGTTTCAGTACGAGATACAAGATAAACTTGAAGAGATCTTCAACTCGATATCTGAAGAACCGCTGTTGCCCATGGGCGCGAACTCGCCCACAGGAAAGACGCAAAGCCAGCCATACACCAAATACTTGACTGAGTTATTCCTCTACTAATGAGGTAACACATTGTTTTATATCTTTTAGTTTTTCAACACAATATTGTTTACTCATCTATATAAGATGTATGATGATTATATAAGAATTACATTATTTTTACAGTTTTTTTATATCTACATATTATCTTGATTCTGTCAACAAGTATATATACTACCTGTTACGCGAGTAGTACACATTGAAATTAAACACATTAGACCGTTTAAAACGCGGAATATATTAGTTAAACTCAGTTGTATTTTTTTAAGCTGCGGCACGGCGTTTCGGGTGCTTATCAGCAGACGTTGTCACGGGGAGACTAAAGATGGGAGTGTTTCTAATGTCAAAGTAAAAACTGCTACTCTGAAACGTCGGGTCGTAGTTAAAATAATTTTCAAATAACTTTAATTCATATATTGCGCGTTTTAAACCGTTAGAGTTTTTATAAAATAAAAATATTTTCCTTGCAGGTGGACGAATCTTCATTTCCAAGCAAAGGAACTTAGCTTTTTAGCGTTTTCTCTTATGGTTGTTGGTAGCGGACACATTTGTAATCTTGACTAGATCACGTTTTTCACATTAATATGGAATTATTAAACTTACCTCTACTAATATGGCTTCGGCTAAGGCTTGGACAATTTGCGAGGTGTTTCGACAATATAATATCCCGTGGGTATCTTAGGTGATCGCAGTGTTGAGGGTAGATTATTCAATCTTCATTTTTAAAAAGTCAGTATTTTGAAACTTATTTAAAATATGAGATCACGGTAGGTACTATAGAACTTCTTTAGGCCAAATATTCTCCTGGTCTTAACTTGATGACTTTGTATCGAAATTAAACGGTTCACGATACGATAAGTGCACGAATAAATCGAAATGAATCTCGTTATTTCGTCATATTGCCACCGCTCTACAATGTCTATAGTCTATTCACCTAAATGAGTTAGTCTTTACGAATTGAAAATCGAAAATAAATTGAAAAATATTACGACTCGGGCAAGACTTGAACCGGCATTCTCAGCATTCCGTGCTGTTGCTACCGAGTAATTAGTCTTTACCAACATCCCTTACATAGAAAAATAACTTTAATATTAAATACTGTCTATAGTTTACGCGACTAGTACACATTTAAATAAAACACTTTAAAGGTTTAAAACGCGATATATTAGTTAAACTTATTTGAAAATGATTTTTAACATCGGCCCGACGTTTCGGACGCTTTGCAGCAGCCGTGGTCACGGGGTGTCTACCCGTGTTTAACTAATATATCGCGTTTTAAACCGTTAAAGTGTTTTATTTAACTGTAATATTAGTTCATACTGACAGGAACTAGGTACAGCTTAAATTATTCCACTTATGTGTTTATTTAATCAATTTTAACTCATACCGAGGAATAGACTATAGTCTATTATACTCTATGCTTTAACTTGTGTGCGGTGAGCTTAACATAGCGAGTTTTTGCATTTTACCTGTTATACTAGTTATACTGCCAGTCATAAACGCCATGTTTCATACACAAACATTCCTTGTGAAATATCATGTACAGTCATTTTGGGAACAGAGGTCTGATTCAGAATTAGCTAGTGCTATGTCAGGCCACAATCGAACAATTCCTTTAATGGTATTTCAAAAATAAATATAGTGATTTGTATTCTAAAGATTCTTTGGTGATTCGTTGCCAATAATCAATGGGTCTTGGGTTTGATCAAACATCTTTCTAATCAATGTATAATTTTTATGCTGAATATTAAATGGGCTGTAAGAAATACTAAATCTCGTCACGAATCTGATCATCATCGTCCACAGATAAAAATGTTGCATCACGTCGAAAAGCTTCTTGAATGATAGAATCTTTCGTTATACTGATCCCATTAATAGTGTCCGGTTTGAAGAAAGTCGCCACACAATTTGCTGAAATAGTTTCCATTCGAAAGTGTGTTATATTTTAAAGCTTATTCGCGATATTTCTACTAAAGAAACTGCTAACACATTGAATACTGTATCTGTGGCGACCAACGATAAGAAAAATATTCTGAATATAGTAGACACTGTGGTAGAAGATGGAATGGAGTATGTAGTAGTAAAGAGCAATTGGAAATTTAATTCGAAAAAAATGTGAGCCGTCACGGGACGCCTGGCAGATGTGAAACATCGCCATTATTTTGTAAAAGTAATGTGCAGAAAAGAACATATTGTGATAGGAACTAAATATGTCATAATGATAAAATAAAATATTACGATTGCGCATGGCGACGCGTCGCCACACCGTACACACTACTGCATATATGTACCATCGTATAGCGTGGCGACGCGTCGCCACGGCATGCGTCGCCACGCCAGAAATCGGTTTTACGTGCGCTATAGATGTTCCACATCAAAAAGCCGTGAAGTTTGATTGGTTTTCGGTTTCCAGTCTTTCCTTTACAAAGTCAAAATAGGTCAACAGCGTTAGATGTTGTATTAGAAAATTCCCGGTTATATATATACTAGCGGCTCTGTCCCTGTTTCGCACGGGTAGACATAAATAAGTACAGATATTAAAATTATAAGCATGCTAATTAAAACGACCATGAATCACTAAATTAGAAAAAAATTGCATTGCGCGTCCTCGATGTGACAGGAGCCGCTGACGAACGACGAACTTACGACGAACTAATCTCGCTTGGGAACTTTTCCTAGATGTCTGCGATCTTCTAGGATATTTATTTTAAATGAGAGAAATTAAGAATAAACTAATAATAATACAAAAGAACATTTTCAAGTTCAAAGCAATACTTCTGATTAGAATCTTGACAAACATTATGCAAAATGTGATTCCTAATACTAAACTAAGTAGCTTTGAAAAGAACTTTTTAAGTGAAGCATAAAAATGTAAAAAAAAATCGAAATATTCAATGTCGTTCGCGCCCACTGCGTAAGAAGCCCACTCACTGCCCCTCTATCGTCGAATTAGTTACTCGATGCGCGGCGTGGCGGCCGCCGCCAGCATGTATTTTTATTTTAATTTCATGATATCTTTTGAAAGGCATGTCCGATTTCAAATAATTAAAATATATATATACTTACTTTCAAATTGTAATTTTTATTCTCGATCTTCACAAAAACCTATGAAAACTACATCCATTTTCTGGTAATAGAATTTAAAACATCGGATGCATCAGACCTCTGTTCCAAGCATCCTCTAAAATGTATGTGATTAAGCAATTCTACTTCAGTAGTGATATGCCTTCTATGATATTATTTTCTATTCTCTTTATTGTTGTTTGTTCCTACTTATATAGATATTAGGTTGTGTTTAAACAATAATACATGTGGTTCAAAGAATTTTTCGTTTTATTTGAACATTCGATGCTTCAACTTAGAATTCCCTGTAATTGAATATTGAAATCAAATATTTGTGTATAATAAAACCGATTATTAAAACAACAGATCTGTCCCAGACCCCACATACAGGAAAAAAGATTGTATACTTATATTAATATTATATTGTATAAATTGTCCACTTTTGGACAGACTAATTTTTACTTACTTTTAAAGTTTGAAGCTATGATCAATTATACTATGAGGCTGCTAGAGACAGAGTGGCCTAGTAACAAAAACATGATTTTCAAAAAGGAGGAAAAAAAATGCGCAAATAATTGAGACGAAAATGAATTTATACTATTATTTTTGTTAGAATTATACTAATAATTTTCAGTCACTGTGCTCTTGTAGATTAACATGTAGTAAGTTCTTGTTGATTTTTATGTATTTATTTCTTTATGTAGACTATAAAAATATAAATAAGTCAAATTATAAAATCGCAGTTACTCTGCCTTTAGCGCCTCATATTTCAAGTCAAATCTAAAGGTCAGTAAAGGTCAACTTTATTACACCCACTCACTACGTTCATTTTGGACATGTTTTAATATGACACATTAACAGTTAAAAATATATTTTATTACATTACCTATCTAATCTTCACATTTTTTTTTATATAATATTAGGATGTTATTAGACAATATGATAAAAATCTTTAGCTTTCTTATAACATTAATTGGATTAGTGAAACACTGTTAAATATATCAGGGCTTAGTTAAGTATATATCGTTAAATTTAGTATTAATTACGAATTTAAAAATGGAATAGAGATGAAAATTAAATAAAACTAGAGAAACAATCCACAAGAAAGCGTAAGTAATGACGTCACATAACTCTTGTGTTTGTTTAGGAAGTATTTTTTATTTCTTTATAAAATAGATAAAGAAATGTTTATAATAATTATTATTGAAAAAAGAGTCTATAGTAAGAAAAGTAGTTGTGTCTATTACATATGTACCTTTCTTAGAAATCACGAATGTATCCGTTAACTTTATCGTTTAGACGTGTCTTGTGTAAGTTACGCAATACTAAGTTTGACTTAACTCCAAAAAATAAAAGGAAATAAATAGTTAAATATTTCACCTAATCCCGAAGCCCTGATTTTCATTATTGTAAACAGCAAAGTGATAAAGTATCATTAATCATTATTAATAATTTTAAAACCTGGTACAGTCTTATTATTCCATGTTTACAGTAAAATAGTGAGGAACACAGTATGGACTGTTAAGCGTTTAGCGGTAAGTGTTTATACAACCTAGTTTACAAATAGGTACAATTATAAAGAACTTATATGAGATTTGTGATACGCCAGTAGCACATATTTTGATAAAATAACAGTTTAAAACGCGAAAAATTCCTTATCTTATTTTTGGAAGTGACCCCATGCCCGCCGCGACCAAAGCATCCAAATCATTATCAAGAAAATTTCAATTAAATATTTACATTTATTTAATATTTACATTTCAATTAAATATTTACATTTATAGGAGTATTGGGAATCAATTTCGCTGTAAATTATTAGGTGTAAATATTGCATCTATAAAATAAAATAGTGTTTGGACACCGGTGGAAGATATGATGGCACGTTCTGGTAATTTGTTTAAATATAATAAAGTTTCATCTAAAATAGATGTATAACACAATAAACTCTAAAATAACAGATAATGCCACAACATAAATAATTTTTCGATTTTTCACTTAACTAACAAGTTTATTGCAAACATTTGACACTAGGCTAACTTTGGTCTTATTTTGAGAATTAAGAAAAATATATGCAATGTGTATAGAGGACGACAAAATCTCGATATAAAAGATCCCTAATGGAAAAAATAGGAAAAATTTTAAAACGAATTCGCCCACTTAATTTCATAAAACAAAGTCAGCATTTTCGATATAAATTTGTATAAAATTCTGTGCGTTTGAATATGCGTGTAATACAGGTGCGTTAGGGGAATCTTATGACGGTGGTCCCGACTGCTTCTTCGCTGCACGCGTGTGCTAGCGCGGCTTCAAAATCTTGAGGGAAATATACCTGAAAGGAAAGAATTTGCAAAGATGTAAAATTCGTTCCTATATTTCCTTTCTGTATTCCTTTTTTTGTACAAGACCGCCTTACTAAGTATAAAATAGGGTAATGAAGTTTATTTAAAAAAAAAATTAGTATACATTTGTTTGCCTTAACGTCCCTATCAATAACTAGCATGTATTAGAAATATTAAATTTTATATGTTATCAATATACAGACAAATGTCCTTACGACGACGTGAATCGAGGAGCTAACATCTCCTGATGATGTCTGATATGATAATTATTCGAGATTAATAAATTACCTTATCAAGTACAGGAGAAAGTTGTCCTCCTTCAACCAAATGTCTTAGGGTTTCGAGACCTTCGGTTAGCTGGTGGCGAGACTCCAGCCAGTCCGTGTGCCAACCGCTACCAGATATCCACTGGAAAAACAAAAGAGCAGCTATAGGTTGTACACTCACACGCATATTTATGTTACAAGCACAATTTTTTAGGATGTCTGAAAATATTACTAATAAATTAAACATAAAATAAAATATAATTTATAATTCATTTATGGTAGAAATAATAAGTACATATTATGTAAAGTATAGTATGTAGTTTGCGGAATACGCATTTTAATAAGAAATTTAAACGGTTTTAAATACAATTTTTTTTTAACTACATACAGTAACGTCAGTTGTACTTGAAAATAAGTGATACTATAATAATACATTCCGCGTTTCGAGCCGTTAAATATAAATATATATATGTTTTTCACTGTAGCTAAACACTCACAGCTGTCATTTATCCTTTTAAATGTCGTTATTTCTCTAAGCGAACTTACCCTAAGCATATGGAAAGTGTAGAAGGAAGCAGTGTATAACACCCACAGTGGTGTCGGTAATCGATCGGTTATCAACGCCCGTGGTCTTAGTTCTAGAACCGCACTGCGGGGTGCCGTGGCTCTGAAATTGGGATATATCATATGATATTGATTAAGATTGCCCCTACCTCCCCCTAGGAAACAATAATTTTTTTCGGTCCTGTAGGGCCGGGGAGAAGTCAGATAATCTATTTATTTGAAACGGAGATAGAAATGTACCGCCCCTAGCGTTTGTAAAAAAAATAATACAAAGAGCGTAAACAGACAGATACATGTTTAAGTTTAAAACTTAAATAGATAAAGTTTTAAGTTTAAATATAATTAATTGGTTAATTAAACAAAACGGTACCAGCACCATAGCCCACGTAGGTCATACAAAACTCAACTTATATATAAAAATTTACTTTAAAAGCGTGTTATACGGCGGATGGTTGGGTGGGGCCCCAGTGCAGGCGACGCACGCGTCCCAAGGCCCCGTACGACTCGCATGTTGCTCCACCACAAGCCATGAGGGTGCTACGTGATCGTTCTGTCCTTCTAAATCTATGAAATCTTGAGCACCTGGAACATAAAGGACCGTGAATATTTATATTTATTATTATTGTAAAAAATATATATAAAGCAAGAAATGGATAATATGGACATGGCTGAGAAAGGAATAACAAGCAGTATTTTGTTCAATTCAAGCTCATACCCCCATAGCGGTGGACCAAGCCGAGGCCGAAGCTCCCTTGGGAGCACCTCAAGGGGGCCGCGAGCACAAAACGCTAAAACTTCACTCATAAAGAAGGGTACTTTAATACTTTTAGGCGATTATTTATGACCTTATATCCTAGGTCTCCTAGGATCAGGGTCCCCTAACGTTCTGCCTCCGAACTTTGTTGCGAATAATTTATATCAAGGTATATTTAATAAAGGCGTAGAAGTCTACGTGTACGTACACGTACGGTACGTGTAAATAAAATCTGTCAGTAAAACGAAATGGGGCGACCCATGTTTCATTAAAAAATAACGGGATTACACATATACAACGAAAGAGTAGTTAGATATATGTGAATACCTAAGTTTCTGAGTGTATTCCTACTATGTCTGGGTGCGGCGGCTGTGGTCCTAGCGCCCCAGCAGCCAAGAAGTTGGACCAATGCACATCCTTCGCCACTCCCGGCGCCCGCTATCAGCACACTAAGCAGAGGAAGGATCGGTAAAAGGTAAATAACTAAAATTACACATCAAACTTAAGATACATTTGAAAACTTTAATATTTTTCATATGTGAAAAAATCTTTCTCCTGCCCGAGTCTTTTTTTCCAATTAATTTTCGTTTTAAATTAAGATAGTGTCTGTCTATAGTTTACGCAAGTAGTATAAATGTAAATGGATTATCTTTAACAAACAACAACTCTAAAAACGGAAGACATATTTAATTTAACTTCGAGCTGAGGTTTTGCATACTTTTCTAATACTTTGCAGTGTCATGAGGGACAGATGATAGAGGATGTCCCTTATATCAAATCAGTCTATATATTTATAATATATTTTCGGTATTCAACCAACCATTGTTATTACACGTATTTTTAACATATACAATAAGAAATTTACATGTGCAATAAGAATTTATTAGGCATTATTCTGTCTCTCTCTATCTGCAAAAGACAAAGGCAGCAGGCTTTGTTTGGAGTGTATCACTTTGTTTTACTTTTTGGTTGCCAAGCAACAGAAAACATTTACCGTTTGCCCTTGCAAGTGTCAGGAGTGTACAGCAAAGTGTCTAGAGCGATAAGAGCCAGAGATCCAGCCCACGGCAAGGACGCAGCGGAATCCGCGCCCAGGGTCCTAGGGCGTTTGCTTATACGGGAACTGTAAAAAAACATTGTGATATTTAACGATATATAAAAATTGTATAAATAAAATTAGAATACAATGTAGTATTGTCATAGAAAAAATAATTGACATTATTATAGTTTCCATCTATGCGGCACCCGTTTGTTTCTTTGTATCGAATTTACAAACAGTAGATTGAACTTCTGTGCCATACCTGGCCGAAACTATTTTTTGTTTCCCAGAACCCAGGACTTTTCCTGCTTCACACAATGCTTAGGCAATTAACCATTGTGTTACAGAACCGGTTAAAGATAACTTTTATGATAGAGGAGGACAAACCAGCAATGTAACTTGAAAGAAGAAAAACTCCAGTTATATAACATCTCGACAATTTTGGCTTTGAATATTCACAGACGGAAATCGATACGTGATCTGCGGACGGTGGTTCGTGACACGGACGGAATGTTTAATATTTCTACTATTCATTAATTATTCAGACATACAGACAAAATCATATTTAAACTAACTACCATTAAACCAACGAGCATGTCTAATATGTATAGTTATTTATTATGTGCTATCTCTTTCATTACCTGAGTGGTAAATATAGAGTATGACATTATTTTAGCTTTACCGAATAATGGCAATACTTCCTAAAGTAACCTGACAAAGAAATTGTGTTTTATTGGAAAGAATGTATATTATTTATTTATTCACCTTCTAATAGCAAGTAACTCAGTAGCAGCTCCACCACTCCACTCGCTTATACAACCCCAAACTTCGTCACCCATCTCAAAATCTGTGACCCCTTGACCGACATCTAGAACCACCCCTGTGTCAATAAATTAATTTTCATTAATACAAATAATAATAAACATTGAAATAAACACACATTATATGGGAAGTACTACCACTGTTTAAATTAAACACGTTGAACAGTTTAAAACCAGAAATATATTTCTTAATTTAAGCCTTGTGTAATGTCTAGTGTTTTATTTATAAATAAACATTGTCTCTAAATGCACTATCTATAATGAACTTTAACACAGTTAAAAACAAAAGACTATAGTTAAAAATGCAATGCTTCAGCGAGCGAGAAGCGAACTCATGATCTGAGCGTTATGTGCTAAATAAACACGCGTAAGTTAATATATTAATCTCACCCGCAAATCCTCTACCAACAGTAACATGCGAACGAGTTATAAGAGAACGAAGTGCGGCAGCTCTGCCCCGCAACACGCTCCTGTCGGCTGCGCTTACGCTGAACGCCTGCACTCGGACCAACACTTCACCCGGACCAGCGCCTGTGAAACAGACACACAAATAAGTATAACTTGCCATGCTAAATCAAATGAAGGTAAAAGCTATTCTGAACTCTGTCTACACTTTTTTATTTATTTTTGGAAATAACATCTGGGTCGCAGATAGTCACGGACATTTTTTTAAATAATTAACATTGTGGATGCCACTTTAAGTCCAACCAATTTTTTTTTTCAATCTAAAATCGTTATTGAATTCTTATTATTCTTTCATTTATAATTATAATACTCTAGAAGGATTAGCACACATAAATAATTATTGTACCATGAGACACAGCATCTTCGACCAGAATGACACTCTGGTCAGCCTGTGTCTGCAATGCCCTTGCATGGGGCCCGGTGGGACCTCGAGACGCAGCGCGAAGCCCGATCACCAGGCCTGTGCTGCCACCTAATACCACCCCACAAGCGAATATTATCATGCTGCGCCGCCATACTGGAACATACGGAGTGTTTTGGGAAGAAATCTTTACAGAGACAATTGAATTTTGACCTTAGTTTAATTCCTATATGATTGGTAGGTAGTATTTGATGTTTAAGTTACTAGAAGCTGGATCGACTTAGATATAAAATCCCGTTTCCCTTTATGGGGCATGGACCGAATTCATTTCAGTTTCTTTTTTACTGATTGATTTGGTTAACCTGACTTCTGGGATTCAAACCCAGGACCTATAATTCTATGAGGGGGATTCCTAGCTATACATTACTATAATTTCTGTTTATTTTCACTCATTACAATATTTAAATAACAAATACATTTAATTAGGAAGTTAATGGGTGAATATATAGAGGAAAACTAGAATTAGTGTTACCTCTGTCCTTAAACAGTGTAACAAGCTCTTGATAAAGAACAGTTGGTGAGATTGGCGGTGCACCCTCGCGGATGCGTTTTGCAGCTTCTTTTCCCCAGGCCACTGCACGCGCACGGCCCTCTAAGACTAGTTCATTTTGCCATATATCGTTGAATATTTCACGGAGCTGAAACAAGACTTTTCAATCAATACATTACAGTAAAAAAGAAACAAGGCAGACTATAATTAGGTATGTACTACATTTATGTTATATATAAGATTACATTATACTATGTTAGTGGGTTATCCTTTGTTTGTTTTTATTTTATTATGCATTATTAGGTATGAAATATTTATAAAAATGTGATTGGTAGTTAAACGATGTATATTTTTAATATTAATTTAATTCTTATACTCATAAAATATATACATACTTATTTAAAACAATTACATTTCGATAATACTTATGACAATGTTATATACCTTTGACAATGCTTCTGCAGTTTGCTGATAAACACCTTCGAGTTTATGTTTGCCATTTGATGCAGCCACTACAGCTGCATCCTGAAAATAGTAAAGTAAAAAAAATTATGAAGTTCATTTATAAGTTCATTGGTACTTTTACTGAAGTAAATTAAGTCAAAATGTGTTTTCCTTCTACTTAAACAATGTAAGTGCAATGCAGTGGGTGTTACCCAGTAGCCACCATCAGACTAAAACTATAATAAAAATAAAACATACTGTTTTCATAAACTAATATTACTTAATTACGACAAGTACTGATAGCATAAATTACATTACTGGACTATTTCACTCCTTATCACACAATGATATATTTTAATGATTAAGTAGTCAACATAGAAATAAATTACCATCCTAATATAGAAATCAAATTTAGTTCAGTTAATAATTATAGTAACTTGGCTCTAAATAACTTTGTTACGTAAGTTTCACGGCCATTGATGTCGTATCATAATAATTAAATAGCATTGTTATAGATATCATACAAGTTAATTACTGCATACTATACTTACGTCACGTAACTTCCTCAATATTTTAGACACAATATTAAAAATAAATGCGCTTTCCCCGCCAAAAGTTTGTTTACGAAAACTTATGAAGTAACAGTGAAATCAACAAGTTCACTTACATGTAAGGCATCGAATTTTTCACCAGCCCTGTGTTTAAATCCATCCATATCCAACACGAATCACCGGGGACGATTGCCCTTTAGGATACACTATTAACGCATCCCCAATTTAATAACAATTCAACCTTTGGCCACAATCCATTAGAAATATTTGCATCTCAAAATAGATCGTCATTGAATGCATAATCATACACTTCGATGACTTTGATGACAAAAGTTCAACTTTGAATTAGTTACAGTTTCGTTTTATTGTCGTATTTTGATGGCGTTAGTACAAAATTGTATAAAAATCTAGTTAAAACCTTATCCAAACATAACCTAGATACACATTAGAATTGACAACTCTATTGTCAACTACAGCTGATTGCACGAGACATTTTCGTTTGACAGAAATGACAGTTTACAAAAAAAATACTACAGACTATACAACTCGTAGTTCAAAGCATAGATGTAAGATTTGTATAAAAAATGAAACTAATTGAAAATGCTTATTTGTTTTGCTTATCATTTAATTATTAAATATTTTATGATAAAGAATGATTAACATAACGTTAACTGCTAACTGTGTCACTTAAAAAAAACTACCAATATTCAAAAGGAATATCTTTTTAATTATACATCTAAGGGTATTATATTATCTCCACTATCAATGCTCTCGTTGATTTCTCGGTCGTTTAACACATTATCAATCCATTTTTTGCTGTATGAGACCTAAAACATACATGATATAAGGTTAATTCGTTTTTAGTCTTATATTTTTAAAATCCACAAAAAAGAAATATCTATAAAACTAAATAACGAAACTGCTCATTGTAAATAGTTTACCTTAGCGTAAACTCCCGGCTTTAGCTTAAGTGCACACTCTTCAGTTCCAGAAAACAAAGCTATTCCAAACAGTGTGCCCGCGCGATTTACACCGCTAAAATGGACGGCTGGATCACCTGTATCTCCCTTAAACAATAAATACGGTGTTGACTGCTTATTCTGTCAAATAGTCATGTAGTCGATGAAGTCGCTGATCTAACGGCATGGCTAATAATTAAGGGATCGTGGATTCGATTCCCATTGGGTGTAATATATTTTTCAACAAACAAATCTTTATTTAATCATGTTGGATTTGATCTAGAAATCTGAAAATGATGATAGGAATTTTGAAAATACCGTCGTGTCATGAAAAAGCTTCCACAGGTATAAAAGCCGTGAGGGTTTCGGCTCAATCTGTGGATTTCCGAACAACATCTTGTAGGGATGGTCTTTGGCTGCGGTATTTCAATTAAAAACAAGCATATATAGCCTTATACATTCTGTTTTAACGTAAATATTTTTTTATATTCATAATTTACTTTACAACACTATTCCAGCTGTCTTCAATCCAATCGACAACGACGTGATACCTGGCTCTTGTTATCTTATACAGTACTCTCTAAACTTTTTAGCCGGGCTGAAGTTAGCGCGGATGGTTGCGCAGAACGCAAAAGGCAGGTGTCAATTGTGACAAAGGAGGTGTGCGAATGTTGGGGACTCGACTTAAAAACAGTACACAATGCGCAAGATGGCGGTCGCGCTAACTTCAGCCCGGCCAAAAAGTTTGGAGAGAACTGTACTTACAGCACACAAAGCGACGCCCTTCATCACACTTTGCAAACACGTGTGGTCGTGCTGCAAGTGATATTCGTTTCCGTAAATTTGCCTACACTCAGCACGAGGCATCTCTTTCACGATCATCCGTCGGAGTTCTTGGTTTTCACCTTCTCGAATCTGGCCGGTTACCTTTAGAAAATTAAGAAAGTATAAGAGACTTAGCTGGTATTCTAACACAAGCTTATTACAAAATCACTTATTCTAGGAACTTTCATCTGACAATATCGATATCTTGTTTTACTGTTAACGTTAAATTAGAGTATTTGGTAAGGGAATCATTCCTCCATACATATATTTTGGGCATTTTAAACCGTTTTCACAACGCACGTAACGGAGAGCATCAAAGATAAATAATCATGTGTTGTTATATTATGTCTTTTCACTGTAATTTCACTACTATTAATCGCAGAGTGATGTTTTGTACCTTCTTCGATAAACACGAAAACGATTATCGATTGGAATTAACAATAATTTTTTAATTCAAACCAGTAGTTCTTGAGATAAGCGCGTTCAAACAAATATTTATGATATTGATAATTCCTTCCTTCTTTAAGCCAATTAAAAAAAAGTTTAAAATTTCTACTTTTATTAATAATTAAGTGTAGCGTAGTTTTTAATGAAGATTAACGAAACTGGTCTTACCACACTTCCATATCCAGTGACAATGGTCTCGCCGAAGAGAGCTGGTAGTTCGGCTCCTGGCGTTGCTATAGAAACGATTTGCACTCTACTACCGATCGCTATGGGAATATTAACCTACAGCCAAAGCCTTTTATTAAACGCGGAACGCAAACTCTCTCTGTGATTTGCGGATTGAAAGAAAAAAAATAAAAAGAAATGCAGACGTAAATAATTTAAATAAAACTTTTTAACGGTTTAAAACGTTATATATATGAGTTAAACTTGTTTTAACTGTCGCTCGACGTTTTAGATGCTTTGCAGCAGCCGTGGTCACGGGGAGACTTTATAGACTAATCTACTATCGCGTTTCAAACCGTTAGAAGTTATTATTTAAATGTGTACTACTCGCGTAAGCTCCAGATAATTTTATACTTATATGTTTTAGATTCATAGTTTTTAAGTTACAGATTAAAAGATAAGATGTAAATAACAATAACGTGGCAACAGATAATTATATATGTTGCCATGTTATTGTTGTTAATTAACAATGTGTATTATTTTTTTATTTATTATTGAGAGGTTCATTTTTTAAGTTGAAATGTGCCATAACTAAGATTTAGCAAAATTTATAAATGATTATAAATTTTATATACCTTTACTAAAGCCAAGTTATGTTCCGGATAGTATTGGTCCGTGCGATAGTCTGGATGACGTTTTATATCTGTGATAGACAAGATTCTCCCGCCAAAATCACGAAATACGGATCCCATTCGAATCGTTACTTCTTCCTTCGTTACACTGTTTATTTAATAAATGACGTAAGGTTTTTTGTGTTAAAATACAATGTAACTTTTATAACTTGCACATATTATTGCCCAGGACAGATTCATTTCGAGGAATGTTGAAAAAGTCCAAGACAAGTGGGACTCGAATCCACAGTCAGTCATTACCATACCCAAGGGTTTAGTTATAAATATCGATGAAAAAAAAATATATTTTTTAATGAGTAATTTTGTTACACTATGTGATATTCCTAAAAACCTATTTTATTTTTTGTACCTATTAGTAATCAACACTATTCTTCTTCAGTGCTTTAGTGTATAAAACACGCACATGTCTGAGTCCTTTTCGCTAAGTAATTTTATGTCCTTGGCAGTAATTACCTTTTTTTTGCGAGTTTACAACGGAGGTAGTTATACAATTATCACTTACTAATCGAAACACTGTGCTGCTGTAAGTACCCATTGATTACCCACGATGGCTCCTCCGCACCAATGTTTACCGTGTAATCTATAATTTTAATATTTCTAAATCAAAAAAAATCGGCGTAATGTATCATACGGAATTAGTTACAATAATAGGGGAACCTTCTTATCTTCTTACTTTAGATTACAATGAACAATTTTAAAAGGAATAATAAACTAAAAAATAAATATTTATTTAAAAATTACAGTTCTTTTAAAATAAACACTGTTGGTTTATTTATAACTAACATGCGTATCAATCATCAATAAGTTCACAATAAAGCATATAGCTTACTATCAACACTATAAGAAAAGTATACTTCTTCTTGAATAAAAAAACGTACAGACATATTGATTACAATAAAAATTTGTCTGTAATTAATATTTTATTTAACTAAGTAGACATTTACCGGAACCCCGAGACCACGGCTGCTCCAATGGGTCCGAAACGTTGGGTTGTGAAAGATAAATGCGTGTTTATTTGAACTTATATTAATAGAGATTCAGTTTGATAGACATTTTAAATTTATTCTCTCAAAAACAATTCTCCTCATATCGTTCACCATTCCACCATTCCCTAAAATTACTCCAAACACTTGTGTCGTTAAATTTCTTTTCGTTGTTCAATTGTTCACATAGCCTACAGGCGTTTACGTGATTCGCGCTTTTATACACGTAATGGTTTCGCCACCGAAAAAAAATCATAATATTGAGTCTTGTTGGAGATTATCTCAACCATTTTCTCAGCAATTCTTTTCGGACCAAGCTCTATCGCATTCAGGTAACTTCCTTCAGGGAGGAACCTAAAAAGTACAATTACGATTAGTTTGTGAAATGATTAAGTAGATAGAAGTTTTTTTTATTATTTAGTAGTCCTTACCGCGTATAATCTGCTCCTCCATATACAATAGGTACAGCATAGTTATTGAGAGGAGTCAACAATTTCTCCGTCACATAGTCCTCAGCGAAGGAATTCTCGAATGATAAATAAAAGAAATAATCTCGTTCTAGCATTTTGTTACACGAATGAAACCCACTTAAAGGACATGTTAGCGCCCCACAAGCACCATAGATATCAACATTCCATCCAAATTTCTCGAGTTCTCCATTTAACACTTCCACATAATCTTCCCTGTGACGTTTTGTTGTGCAATGTGATACGAACCAGGCTACTGCTTTAGTCTTTATATCTAATTTAGATTTCAGCTCCACATTTATCGGTTGCATTTTCTCAATCCATTTCATGTGGATAGCTGGTCCAACAAGATTCCCTTTTAAGTCATAAATTGTAATGTAACCCCATTGAAAATCTGAATCTAGCTTATACGACCATGTCCAATTGAAGAAGCCATCCAAATAATCATTGCAGGCTGGGAAGAAGTCAGGTGATTCCATGGCGCCGAAAATGTATTTTTGTTTTAAAGATCGTGAGTTCGGTAGCTGAAAATTCCACATATTGAGGTCTCTCCCATTGAATGCCACTGCGTGAAACTCCTGTTGATCTATAAAGTAATTTCTGTCATCTGTGACGAAGCAGTTCGTGTATTCGCAATTGTATTTGATGAAAACACTGTTCCCTTCTTCTAGATAATCGAAGGGCGCACTGAATCTTCTCGTCCATTGGAGGATGTATTTCAATTCCGCGTGATTTAAGTATGTAACAATGTTCTTTCTGTTAAGCCGTATTTCATACAAACGCGTATTGTATACTAAATATAGCGACGAGATAACGTAAATAATTAAAACTAATACCAAAACACGATACGTTAGTACCTTCAACATTGCGTCCAATAGCGGTAACTGTGGTACAAAATGTTTGATAAGATATCGGACTTCGGTGAATTATCTGTTATCTATTGGGTGCGGATGAATATCGAGTTCTAGTGGAAATTACGACACTTCCTAATGTATGTAAAATCTTATCTACTACCTTAATCCTTTCGATACTTTGAAATAGCCTTTTTATTATTATTTTGGAGTTACAAATCACAGGTTTTACACAAATAAAAGAAATCACATTAAATGTTAATTTCAATTATTCTTCCTTATTGTCAATGAGGGTAGAATAACAAAATATTGCATATTCTTAGCCAGTTTGTGTTCGTGTTGTTACAGTTCTTGAAAATGATTTTAACTCCGAAATACTTATACACTAACTACTCGTAAAATAGATAATAATAAATAAACCATTTTTAATCCATTTAAATTTAAATACGTACGTATATCCTTACGTAAACTAAATACAATTCTTATTTTTAACCCGTTAAAATGTTACTTACTAATTACCCGACGGTTGGGATACTTTAAACTTTACAGCCAACGTGATGGCAGAGCGACGGGTCGATTTATTTAACATGTTCTAATCGCGTAGAATATAGATATATAATTGTCGACGATAATATGTTAAAGGTACATATATATCATATGATCATATACAAGAGCAACAGCACGGAACACTGACGATGCCGGTTCAAGTCCTGCCCGAGTCGAAAATCTTTTCAATTTATTTTCGATTTTTAAATTATACATACATAACATAATAGAAAACTCACCTTATAGACACAGTGTAAGGATAATCTTCAAGACAGACAAGTCCCAATTCAGTCGTGAGACGTTTCCGGCGAACATGAGTCAAGTCTTCTTCCATTTTTGGGGGAAATTCGCATTCTAGCTCAGCTTTTGATGTGGTTGACGCTTTAAAAAAACTCTTAGTTCAATTTTTTTATCATCGCGTTGCCGAAAAAATGACCTTTTTACATGTTATATCTTGTACCCAGTAATATCCTATTACTTAAATATAGGTCAAAATCTCGTTTTCTTATTTTGGTGTCGTTTTATTTACTTGTTCACGCAGTAATAAAAATATGCCCTGATCGAAAATGTTTATTTACATTTTGAACCCAAGACTTAATGAATTTATAAGCAACATACCTATTCAACCTAGACCACAAAGATAGTAATCAATAATTTATCTATCGCCTACATTTTTATAAAAAAAAGCATGTCAAACTGTCACATATTTTTTACATTACTAATATTAGTAAGGTTTGCGCAATTTGCTTTTCCCCATTAAGATAAGATCGTCATATGAATACTACAAACCTACTGCATAAAATAACTTACCACAAAGTGTCAATTCTTTTATGAGAACAATATAGCAGGTTATTAATGTCTCCAATACAACCATTTCTTCTAAGCTTCATTTCATCGATGGAATAACTTCGACACTTGCATTGCATAACGAAGCCTAATGATAAGGTTTGTTTAAATCTATTGTTAACCGTAGTTTACACTAACGATAACCTACGAAGTAAGTTGACGGTAAAGGTTGATTGAAATAATAATTACACGTTAATGCTTAACGCTAATTAATCGACGGGTGCGTTGGTGTAATGGTAGCAATGTACAGTTAATAATCAACGGGTCGTTCAAACCCCACCGGGTCCAATATTTTTCTGAAAGATATTGGACTTAGTCGGGATATTAAATTAGTGGTAGGAATCAATCTAATCAATTAAAACCTCCTGGGAGACTATAGTCTCCACTTAGTACACCACCAGTCCGTTACGGTCCTTCGAGGGAACCCTGGGAACACATTTGTCTGACTCCAAAGAACATCTATAACCTAACGATAATGAAAGTATTTTTTTCGAAAATAGTTTAACAGAAATATCGCAGTAAAATTACTGAACTGGATCATTGCAAACTAACAATCAAGCCCTTATTTATCACCTTAAAATTATTTGTAACTATTAAAACACAAGGAGAATGTACGAAAATAATAGATTTATTTGTGTATACAGCAATAATAGAGAAACATATAGGAGGACAAAATAGTTGAATGGTAGCAATGCACGGCTAATAACCAACGTATCGTGGATTCCATCGCCGCCATGTTCAACATTTTTTTTATTAATTTATGTTTTTCAAAACATGTTGGACTTCGTCTATCGAGTTAATCACGATTCGGTTACAGTCTGTGGAATTCCGAATATTCAAAGCCAATACAGGTCTTCAGCGCTTATTGTTTAGACGCTATAGGCTGTGGTACTCCATGTTTGTTTGTCCTCTATCATTTAAATATATATTTGATCGGAATATTAACCGCTAATGGAAAGAGGAACTTGTTTTCTGTTTTTGTCTAACTGCCCCAATATTTCGTCGTCACTTCTCCCTCTAGTCTCAGGAATAATGGCAGCAAACACCATACCGAAGATATTTATCAGACCAAATATTAGAAAGGTAGTGTGCAGGCCGAAACTGTCAACTAGTGGGGCAAAAGCAAACAGCTGCGAAGACACAGACGTCCAACCAAATGTATGGATGAGACCCATAAGCTTTGCTCGGACCTGGGGAGAGAAAAACCTTTGTTTAGTCTATATAGCCTTTGGAACTTAACATAAGACACATCTTCAAGACACACAAGTCCTGTAAATAATTTTCAACAGTCTACGTTGAAAATTAATTACGTGCCCAAGTCGGATGTTATTTGGTTCTATATTCTTAATATAATTTACGTTATTACATTTATTTTTTTAATTGTTACAGCGCCAATCTATCTTTATATTTGAATTTATACATTTAGCTTATCACTTAAATGATAAATAGTATACTTAGATTAGTTTTAGTCATTTACCTCAGGTGTTCCTCAACGCACTGGAGGATTGTTTTACGGTAAATAAAATTTAATGTAAGTTGTAAAAAAAAACAATTTAAATTATAAGCAATTTTAGTAAAGGATAGTTTTAGTGGGAAATATAGAATTGCATTGACGATAAGCAATATCAATTAATGTTAGTTTATAAAAAAAATACCTTATTATATAGTATTAATATTTTACGAAAACTTATTACCTGAAAATTAAATATTTCAATACTAATAATGTATGGTAAAGGCCTTATACCACCAGCATACATGGCCACGGCTCCAATCATGCACACGATAGGAAGCCAGCTAGGGATGGTGTAACCGAGAGTGCGAAAGAGCAACGCCAATCCTAATCCGGTATGAGAGATTGCCGATAGCAGATAAGCACCTACGTGGAGAGGCTGAAACAAAACAACACGCCAGATAAAAACGTCCCTACTCGTACTTTACCTACCAGAAGAGGAGTTTGTAATGATGGCAAAACTTGACTTTATTAGCAACTTTATTAACTATTTATACTTAATATTATAAAGCTGAAGAATTTGTTTATTTGAACGCGCTAATCTCAGGAAGTACTGGTTAGAAACGATATAAACGAAAACATATTTTTGTGTTGGATAGACTATCGAGGAAGGCTTTAGGTTATATAAAATCTCGCTGCGACAAATAGGAGTGAAGCAATAGTGGATAATGTGAAGAACGGTGAACATTGTTCTTTTTTGAGGGCTTTCGTTGCGTGCGTTGCGAAAAAGGTTCAAGAAAGTAAATAAAACCATTCCTCTTTAAATGATCTCAAAAAAGTCACGCGACAGAATATGTTTATTATTTAAGATCAACTTGCAAGAACGACTTCCATTAAGGAGAAGCTTAAAAATGGTCCCTTCTAAGTTATAAAGCCAGGCCAGACCACAAACATCTCGACCACTTGCCTCTACAAAAAGAGATCAGTAAGCAGAAATATCTCTCTCATGCCTCCATAAATAAAAGTGGCAGGAATCGAACTCACAGTCTATAAGAAGCCAAATGTTTACTACGATAAAAGTGCCAATAAAATAATACTTACCCGTCTCCCACATCTCTCTGCTACAAGGGTCAACGTGAAAGACGCAATGATCATCACTATCGGAAAACTAACTGATTGGATTTGAGGACTAATGTCCAAATCCGAACCAGTCGCTTCCAGGATAGCTGAAGCGTATGTAACAATTGAAAAGGAACCGCCCCAGGTCTGGGTAAACCACACCAGTATTAAAACTATGAATCCACGTCGCCACGCTTTGTTTTGGACTGAAAATAAAAAGTGGTAGTTTAACAAGGTTTTCAAAATACACAGACTTAAACAGATAGCAGAAGAAGATGTATCCACCAAATATATATTTTTTTATTATTATTATATAATTCAATTAATTAAGTTCTCATGTGCATGTGTAAATGTGATTACAGCTGATGCAAAACTAGGCTTGTTAACCAAAATGTGTACAAAAAAAAACTTTTAGCTTTGCCATACTCGTCTTCTACGCCTGATATATTTGTCACTTTAAAAAATATATCATGAAAGATCATTGTTATGTTAAAAACATCTAGATTAAAAAATACACATCACGCGAGATTCGCGTGTGATGCATGTATTATATATGAGAAAATTCGACGGGGAACGGTAGCTCAATTACTTAGCAACAGCACAGAAAACTTAGGTGTTGGGTTCGAATCTCACCCGCGTCACGTTTTATCAATTGATATAGGTTTTGCATTTCAGTATAACATACGATCCTATTCTTTATTTAAAATCAAATGTTTAGATTGCATCATGTAATATTTAAATTATATAAGGAAAAAAGTTGTGCGAAATACAAATTCGGACGAAACTGTACATACACATAGTTATTTGAGTATTTGGATTGCGTATGAAGGGATTAATTTGACGAGTGAGTAAACAATATTCTATTCTTATCAGAGTTGATAAGATGGTGCATAAATGGCGTAAACTCTTTACTTCTTCACACAAAAGAGACACTTCTTATAAAGTCTAAATCAATTGGCTCTAGGCGGTTTTGTTTATCCTTCTTACAATCATGGTCTCCATTACAAGTAGTACATAGTACAAATGTACTTTACATTAAAAAAAACTGAAAGCAACTGATTTATTGGTAGAATCCTTACTGCAAGCGTAATTATCGCAACAAATAAATAAAGTAAATATAACAAAGTTGCAACAAAAAACAAAAAAATGTTTAACGAGATCTTTTTATAAATCTCTTATCCACATCGGTTTTCAAATTATTTTTTTATGTTAGACTAGGAAAAATAAGCACGGGGCTCCCTTGATGATTGAGAATGAGATCACTGTAAGATGCACTATCGATCTATTTTGGCTTTAGATGTTCAGATATCACAGAATAAAATCGAAACGCGATTAAACTTGACGGCTTTTTCATCTGAGGACGGTGGTTCGTGACCCGGACAAAAATTTAATATTCCTACCGCTCATTTCCATTTAAACATATTTCAGCAAATTTATAAATTGATTAGAAAAATGTTGGACCCGGCGGGGATCGAACCCGCGTACGTCGTCGATGAAAGGTGAAGCCCTAACAGCTTATGACTAAGACATTTTATCTCCGGATTTAATAACTTTCTGTAACATTTAAATATGCACAGAATCTGCAGTTTCATTATTCATAAGACATCAAAATATAAATACGTTCATACATATTTCTTTCAAGGTGATGTTTGGTAGATTCTTGAACTCCTCTTCCTGTCTCTGCATGAATTCAATTTCTGTTTTCACTTCTTTGTCCTCTGTTTTGAGGCCCCTCAAAAACGCTACGGTCGCGTAAGCTTCCTGATAAATAATAAGGCATATTTTAGCATGTTTTATGAATGTATCTCTTCTATGGTATTAGATTCGAGTTCTTCGATCATGTACCAGTGTATGTTTAGGAGAAATTGATCCTTCTTCGGCTTAGCGAAGACTGATGCCACTAGTGACGGTAAAACGTACCATTTCTCAATTAGACGAACGAATCTTTAAATTATTTTGTATTGGTTAGAACATTTATCTAGGAAGGCTATAGGCTATAAAACATTGCGCTGTGACTAATAGGAGCGAAGATACAGCGAGGAATGTGAACAAAACAGAGGAAATTTTTCATCTCTGTAAGTTTCAGATGCGTACGCTGCGGAAACGGTTCAAGATAACTAAAAAATGTATATCAAAGAATTATTCCTCTTTAAATTATATAAAAAAGTCCACGACGTCTATATTTTAAGATTACCTTGTAAGAAAGATGGGAAGGGACGCGATCGACGTCGTGGCTAACAGCTTAAGTTTATAAAGATGACGGGACTTGCAAAACCTAATTTGGATGCCCAAAATAACGATTCTCGCGGACGAACTCGCTGGCACAGCTAGTTTAAAATAAACTCAAAAATAATCTGTTTTATGGTAATCAATTTTCGTCGAATACTTCATATGGCAAAAGAACGTTTACCAGATCAGCTAGTAATATAACTAACTATTTTCCTAAATAAAATTAATTTGTTTTCCCAATAACTTACGTCAATCCTCCCGCGTTTGACAAGATAGGCTGGTGACTCCGGCGCCAGCAACAGAAGGCCAGTCATGAGAATGACGGTGGCCATGTAAATCCACAGTACGACGTAATAGTCGAAGTATGCCCCAATGAGGTACATTATCAAGAAACCAGTGTTTTGTAAGACAACGTTTAGGGAACCTATAGTACCTAAAATGAGAAATAATTACATTTGAATATTGTCTAGTAGCGCCGATTCAGGTCCCGATAAATTGATATATTTCTAAAGTCAATAGAGACTATATGTATATTTAGAGAGGTGGGTTATTTGCTTTTAACTGATAAATAAAAAGATAAAAATCGTCTTCTGACGCAGGCATGGTATTTAATTAAATCAGTTTTTATTTAATGAGCACCTAAATTTTAAATTAAAATAGAATAATAATAATTTTACACAAATGGATTGTATCTAACTACAGCTACACCTCCTAGCATCTATACTAATATTATAAAGCAGAAGAATGTGTTTGTGTGTTTGACCGCGCTAATCTCAAGAACTACTTTAACGATTAGAACATAAATAATGTTTCTTAGTTGTATTTACCCAAGAAGGCGAACATTAAGCTGATAGGAGCGAAGAAACGGTAGGAAATGTGCATTTAAAGGAAAAAAATCGTCTTTGATGGTTTCCGTTGCGTCTTCTCTCTTGGTCTTACCTATGACGTTTGTTTGACATAATTCTCGTACGTAAATTGGTATTACGACAAAAATCCCACTCGCAGCTATTCCGGAGAGAGCACGCGCTATCAACAGAGCTGTCAGCTTTGGCACCAATATCCTTAGGATTATTGATAGCTGGAACAAGAATATAGCGATTATTACAAAGAATGGATCATAATTATTATATTCTTGTTTATGTATGGGCATTGTTACGATGTGTTCTTGTCATTTAAAGGTAACTAGGAGTAATCAGACGAAATTAATGTACCTAATATCTACTTTCTATAGTTTACGCGAATAGTACACATTTATATAAAACACTTTAACGGTTTAAAACGCGATATATTAGTTAAATTTATTTCAAAATACACGGTGTAGAGCCGTGGTCACCGCTGTTACGGGCCGAAGTTAAAAATCATTTTCAAATAAGTTTAAGTAATATATCGCGTTTTAAACCGTTAAAGTGTTTTATTAAAAAAACCTAATATCTACTTATCTGAATAGTGACACGTGAACTTGGTTTAATGAAAATCAGTTCTGGCTCTTGAATTGAATACAGTTCTTGATTTATCAAATAATCCAAGAAAAACTAATGTTCTTACAGCATTAGGTATGATGATAGCAAATACGACCCATTTCCTGCCAAATCGATCAGCGGAGTAAGAAAACGGGATCACGAAGAACGCCGATGCAAAGCAGGATATGCTACCGATCCAGGATATAGCATTGTTGGATAGAGGATATCCTAAGGGCGAGGTAGGTGATTGTAATGTCTTCGTTACAGGAGACACCCAGGCAGCTTCCAGACCGTATATGAGAAATCCCAAGCTAGCTGAAATATTTTATTAAGATTTTTACGACTGTTTGGCAAGTCTATAATTTTGAAAACTTTATTACTTCTTACATCTTATTGCACATGAAGGCACTATATAATTTAGGAATCTAAAATGATTTTTTTAAAAATTCTACTCGGGGAACGCTTACGATGCCGGTTCAAGTCATGCCCGAGTCGAAAAATTTTTCAATTTATTTTCGATTTTTAAAGTCTATAATTATTATATATCTATGTAACTGGTAAGTATGTACTTGAAAGCTTTTTATATGTTTTTTAGCAAAGGCCCCAGTTCATAAAGAAATTAGTAATCGGGCCCACGTCCCCTCTTTTCGCGTAAATCCCTTCGAGTGGCGCGTTCCAACATTATAGATAGGAACGAGAACACTCAATTTAAAAGTCTTTGTTGCTTTTCTTCTTTTCTCTTTTCAAAGATGAGATTAGAGGGCCTATTTAGATCCAGGGCCCTGTTTTTCTCCACCACGTGGACCAACTATGAACGAATAACTACTACGACACTGTACGAAACATGTTAAAGTTTTCAACATTCAGAACTTAAGTGGACTGAGATTTAAAAAATCCTAGTGTTCTTGTTTGTCTATCTTTGATTTAATAAGAATATACGTCATGTATTCTATATGTTTGTAAATATCAGATATAATTTATGTAATTTACCTATCGTGCCAAAGATCCATTGCCAGTAAGTGTGTCCACGAGACTTACTTATTTCACCCACCATGACCACAGCTCTATTTTTTTAAATTACGAGCTATTTACCGTGCACAAAACGCGTACACATCCGTTTGAGACGAACATTACATTAGTAATAAATAAATCTTCGTTTAATCTCACCTAAGTGCCTTTTGATTTACTGCAGTATCAATAATAATAGCATTATTTGAATTTCCTTATCACTATATTCTTGATATTAATAAACCTTTCTCAAATTGAAACAACCGACGAATAAATATTTGATACTGTAGTATTTATTTAAAAACTTCGAACACGGAATGTCTGTTGTCTATAATCTATAATCATTTCTAACACATGCTTATTAAATATATAATTCTTCTTCTTAGTTTGATGGCTTCCCCAAAAAGCGCATGTAAGTATGTCAGAAATACATTTTTACTGTATAAGTAATTTTACTCGTTACCTAGAAAGCGACGTAAAATGGAAATTGTCAAATAAAATCTCTCATAATATTTTGGATCCTGGGCTCCAGAGTCTTAGGTATATTATTTGTGTGGAGATGATTTTTTAGGATCGTTAGGACAATATAATGTGACAAAGGAACAGATATCTATAATAGTTGAAAACAGTAGCATATATGGTACTTGAAAATTCAAAAAGCTGCAATAGGCCTGCACATCTTATGAGATCTTATATTGCTTGTCTGTCCTTGTATCTCTATAAATTATAAAAAATTTGCTTATAACATATTAAGGGTTATTCTTATTACAAGTTTGTAGACATTGTCACTTTACGGTTACTCTATGCTCTCAATTTGTTAATAGACAATTGACATTAATTATTACTCATTAACAATAACGGACGCACAAAAAACATACACAACTCATACAATATAACATTCAAGGTCATATCATTGAAATATGCCTTATACGCTATGTTTAGATAGAATCAATATACGAAATACGATTCAATAAACAATAGTCTAGATTTTTTAAATAGGTTATTTCTTTAAATAAAAATTAGAAGCGAAATGTGTCTTTTTTATGACTTTAAAATATTAGTCACTTTTTAAATAAAACAATAGAACACTTTAACGGTTTAAAACGCGATATATTAGTTAAACTTATTTGAACATGTTCTATTAAATTGTACTACTCGCGTAAACTATAGACAGTATTAGTCACTTATTAAATGAAATGCAGAGTATTAAATATATTAGGTTTTTTAAAGTAAAGTCATCTCAGTTACGAATAATAATGCAAAATATTCTATATATTTTTTTAATTCCGGTTTTTAGAAAAATACAAAACTTAAAGAATATCCACTCCTTTACACATCCCGTACGGAGTTGAGCCAAAATTTGACATTCTCGTCTGAAATTCTAGTGAATAGAGTTGGACTTGGCTGTTCCGTGCACTGATCTGATACCCAACCAGATGTAATGCCCCATAGAAGGTTGTCAGCTATTACAGGGGCTCCAACATCCGGCTGTAAAATGTGGTTATTTCAATTTATTGATTAGCTTTTTATATATTTATTTGTCGATTAGTTTAAGTACAAATAAGGCTTAGTTTGAATTACTCTGAATTCCTATGGAATAAACCAGCCTTTTCATTTAGCCCCCGTGGGGCGTGGGGCACACATTTCTGTATCCGTTTCAATGATGGGTTCTTTTGTAAGTTGTTCAGACTTCTATGCCCAGCCCGACCGAAACATCCCTTGTTTCCCTGGTATTCGAACCCGGAACCTCACGTGCTTAGTGCTTATTGCATAGGAAGCACGTACAACCGTTTGACGGCAGATGGGTTCGAGCCTAAGACTAACTTAATGCATAACAGATTCTCGATATCCACAACCTGATAGCTTAGTTCGGCAGGTTATGCTGTGGGTCATGGGTTAATGACTCGCTTTAAACTTTTACCTGATAACATCTACTCACCATTTAAATAAAACACTTTAACGGTTTAAAACGCGATGCATATTACTTAAAATTTAAATAAGTTAACCGTTAAAGTGTTTTATTTAATTGTGTACTTCTCGGGTAAACTACAGACAGTACTTAATCTACTCACCATGCAAGGGCTGTGTAATGTCACAATTGGTTCTAGACAAAGTGAAGATTGTCCTAATGTCTGGTTGTGTAATTTTAACTCTTTGTTGCATTTTCGCCAAGGAATCAGCTTCTGTGTAGACACGCGCATACTATTGTGTTTCACTCTTTCTTTAGCAGATGCTGGTAGAACACGGCCGTTCACCTGATGAGGAAGATATTGTTTTTGTTGAAATATAGATTTCATTGACTAGTAATTTTATATGAATCACACGTCATTTAAAGGAGATTGAGAATATAAGAATGTAAATAATAAATTAAAATAAATAATCCGAAACGCCTGGCCGTAGTTAAAATAATTTTCATATAGGCTAAACTAATATATATCGTGTTTTTAGCCGTTAAAGTGTTTAATTAAAATATGTACATTTTGAAAACTTTGATAATTTTTTACATGTTATAATTGTTAAATTAAAGGCACTATAGCCTTCATGTGCAATTAAGGCACTATATAATTTAACAATCAAAAATAAATTGAAAAAATTGTCGACCCGGGCAAGACTTGAACTGGCATCGTCAGCGTTCCGTGTTCGCGTAAACTACAGACAGTGTTCAATATAAGCATTTTTTAAATTTGACATATGTTTCCAAGCCTTGACACTACGTAGTAAGTATGTATATTCGAATGTTATAGAACATTGTCTTGCCTATCAGGCTTAGGCAATTAGCGTAGCTTGGATGTGCTACTGACGGGGAACGGTCCCAAACGCCTCGCAGAGTCAGAAAGAAAGGGAACAGCAAAATCCCAAAAATCTAAGCTGGGCCATTCGAAGAGAATGTAAGATGATTGGAGGGTCAAGAAATAGCATATCCGATAAGGCCGGACCCAGCTAAGTGCCAGGAGCGAGTCACATAGTGATAACAGTAGATGTAACTAGTAAGGATTTCATTAATGTGCGTAAGTATTTAAGAATATTTATTATTTATTTAATTAAAACCATTATGTCCATTTAGTGGTCCTAAGTCCTGGAACCAGCTTAAGTGGAGTCATGACCCCCCATGACCTTCTGGATGCTTTGTTGATCTTGGAATCCTAACCGCCCTAGATATCTATAGGTAACCGCACAAGATCTTCGAAAATGGCGCTCTTTAGTTTCAGAAGCTAAGACTCACTTTGGGTCGCTGTGCTAGCTGTATTAACAGTATATACTAAACTTACAAGAAGCCGTGGCCAATACGTGGTAAAGAACTTTCCGCTGACAATCTCTCCAACAGTTGACGCTATTGGTATCGGTTTGATATGATCGCTGAAGAGCACCGGCTGAGACATCCTCAATAAAGCAACATCGTAGTTTGGTTCTTGATACATGTAAAGTGGATGAACTTCAATCCCTTTTAAAGCGACGAGGATACCCCCTTTTTTGTAGTTCACAGTACCGAGGCGAGCGCGTAGAAGTTTTATCGACTCTCGAACACTGAGAACAGACACTATCTATTATCATCCATGTATATTTAACTAAACTTTTTTATATAAGAATATAATAGTCTAGAAATTTTAAATATTGTCTGTGGTTTGTGCGTTTGTTACATATTTAAATAAAACACTTTATATATTAATTAAACTTATTTGTAAATTATTACGGGGAGCCTCCCCGTGACCACGGCTGCTTCAAAGCATCCAAAACGTCGAGCCATAGTTAAAATAATTTTCAAATAAGTTTAAGTAATATATATCGCGTTTTAAATCGTTAAAGAGTTTTATTTAAAAGAATAGAAGTAAGTTTATTTAGAAACAACACAATTTACAACAAAAACTAATTTAAAAACTTAAAATTAGTAGTATTAAAAAAATATTATATAACTTAAAACGGATAAAATATAATAATACAGTTGCCTCTAAAAACGAGTCCATTAAGCTACGTTTGGACTAATGTCCCATTGGTGCAGCATCAGAAGCCGAGCTGACGTAAGTTCAATAATTTGACACTTGTCTGCACAGCTACCGTAAAATTTTTGAATTAAATTTGATTTATTCTTATTCAAGATAACGATAAGTTCTTTTCTTTATCCATCCTTAAAGGGTTTTTAAGTTCTAAATTCATAATTAAAATGAATACATTTTAATTAAATATAACTTATATTCTTACTTATAAAAGTCCCCAGCAGCTGTTATAATCCATTTTGTATCTAATAGAGCACCAGACGCGTAGTGGGAGTTTTTCTTCTGAATAGACACGGAAAATGGATAACTGGTCTTTCTTGCCATTTGGCTTTTAGATGGTAGAGACACTTGTTTTAAAGCTGAAATATTGACATTACATGTTAGTGTTGGTTGGATATTGATTTGTTTTGTTTATGAAAAAATAATCAACGGTAAGAAAGAAATTTGGGTTACGTATGATTCAAGATAATATCCAAATTTATCATCAGTCTTCGGTATGACTGTCCAATACCGAAAAGTGGTTTGAAGTGCAAACATATGAGTCCGTTAGAGGAAGAGTGACCTAACTGCAATTTTCATAACTTGAGTTATTTATATTTTCATAGTCTAAAAATGTGAATCTACAAAAGGAGAGTGACCGAAAATTGACAATATTATTCTTACACACATAGTACAAATTCACTATCGCCTAACTTACTCGTAATTGCGCATTTTTATTTTCATGCTTTTTTTTTAAAAAATTTTTTGTTAGGCCACTCTGCCTCTAGCAGACTCATATATTCACCGAACGAGCCTGCGAGCATTTGCAATATTAACAAAACAGACATTTTCAACTTACCTAGAGTTTTTTGATGATTATTATCGACGATATACTTTTTAGGAATCCTCTCTGGTTTAGATAAAGAACTACTGTTGAACACTTCATTACTTTCAGAATCAACAGAAGCGCTTAGATTATCTCTGTCGTAATCCACTTCTTCATAATCTTCACCTTTTATTTTACTTGTTACAAACAAAAGAAAAATACCAAATTTTACGAAATCCATTTTCGTTATGATATCACTGAGTAAAAATACAAATTTTCTCGTGTCAAAGAAACATTAATTTATGGGATCTCGCCTTCTTTGGATAAATTGAAATGACGTCTTTATTGTTAGCCCTTCCACACTCACGCGCAGATAGGTATAAACTAGATGTTTTAGGGAAATCAAAAATTATTCATATTAACTTCATTGTCTTAAAGAAACAACAGATGTTGATAAAAGTAAAAAGATCGAAGTGTCAGGTGTACAACAAAGACTTGCTCAAACACCTGATACTTTGATTTTTATTTTTTAGCGCATTGAAAACAATCTACTTTCGCATTTCTTAGTATTTATTTCGTTGAGCTGATAGACATTTGATTATATTCTTAACTTCCTTCTTTATTTCGCTTGCATACATTCTTTTTTATATGGAAGTAGTATTTAATATTTCAAGACAATACAATATTTCTATTACTTCAAAGCGTAAGAAATAATGTTACTTATTTTGACTCAACCCTTGTCGACCAAAAATCTAAAAAGACAACTTCAAACAATAATTCGTACATATTAATTTTATTTCGAAACCTAATGAAATTCTTTTGTCAATTTTTATTTTCAACATCTGTTATACACTTCTTATATTTATACTATTTACAATTTCATATTAACCACTTACATTATTCCATATAAAAAACGTATTTTAGGAAGGGCAAGGAAAGGGAATTCAAGATCCAGGCGGACTCGAACAAGCAACTAACAGCGTAGAGTTATCTACCAATTTTCTTACTTTACCGGCTGTGTCTATCGTGTTTATAAACGGTCTATTTAATTAAAAAACAAATTAAAATGCCAATATTTATGCTGTATTACAATCCACTGAGTTTTTATACAACTGTTGTCGTATCTCATTGTCCGACTTTCCCCTCGTCTCGGGGAGTAAAAACGTGAAGCATGTTCCTAGAAGATTAAAAACGCCGAATAATATGAACGTCAGTGGTAGACCAATGGCTGCTGATATTGGCGCATAGGCGAAGAGCTGAGTTGCTCCCGACACCCAAGCGTGGGTTACCGCACAACCCATTAATCGGGCACGAACCTGAACAAATTAAAAGCTGGTTTATTTGGCTTAAAGATGCCTTTCATAATAAAAGTGATAATACAGAATTAGTAGAATAGACTCCCTGTTTATTCTGCTAACTATACTTATATTAAAAGCTAAAGAGTTAGTTTCTTTAAACATGCTTATCTTAGGAACTACTGAAATAAGTGTGTTGAAGGACATTTATCGAGGACGACCTTAGGCTATATAGCATCACACTGCGACCAATGGGAGCGATTAAACAGTGCAAAATGTGTATAAATCGTTGAAAATTATTCATCTCTAAGGACTTCCGTTGGTTGTACTGTACTAACCAAAAAAATATGTGCAAACGAATAATTCCTCTTTATAGGGCCTAAAGAATATGCGCGACAATATTTGCGCAAGATCACACAATATTTTTAAAAATTGTTTCAACCTTATAATGTTGATAGTTTTTTATATACCACAAACAATTCTAATAAAGATAAAGATGCAAATTAAGTCTTCAACGGTACAAGGTTATCTGTATGGTGAAAAAGAAAAGAATATCTATTTTACTTTCCTCTGTGTTATGTATGTCTAATAACTTATTCTTGTGTATGAAATCTTTCAACACTCACTTGAAAACTGAACAATTCGGTCAGTATGATGTATGGAAGCGGTCTGACTCCACCAGCATATCCCGCGACCGAGATAATCATACATATCACTGGCAACCAGCTTGGCACTGTATAACCATACTTTTGCATCAACATAGCAACGCCAAGAGTCGTTTGAGAGAAAACTGACACGAGAAAAGCGCTTGCTAGTAGGGGCTGGAAGAACAATAGTAAGCAAAAGATTCATAGTGAGCAAATACATTAATCTATATTATAATTATAAGTGAAATCCCGTTTCTCCCCGTGGGATATGGGGTGAACACATTTCTGTCTTCGTTTTACTATTAGCTGATCAGACTTCTGTGCCTTGCCTTACCGAAACAATCTTTGTTTCCCCTGGATTATAACCCAGGCGCTCTCATTCTTAACGCAATGCTAGGCAACACGTTTAACCATTTAGCTACAAAGGCGGTCGAATACTATAATAAGGTATAATATTTTTTACATGTTATTGTACATTTTTTTTGCGCGAGAGGTGCATTTATTAATAAGTTTAAAAAATTTGACGATGAGGTATGAGACTCGGTAGCTAAATTGGTAAAGCAACAGCATGGAACGCTGATGATGCCGGTTCTAGTCCTGCCGAAAGTCGAAAGGTTTTTCAATTTATTTTCCATTTTCAATTAAGATAAACTAAAGTAAAATAACTCTCGTATTTTAATGTAAACGAAAATTCACTAAGTTCATCAGCATAAAGACTTTCTATTCAATAACTAAATCTGAAAGACCACTGCCGAAACAAACTTAACCACGTACGAGCACAAGCTAGTAATAAAAAATAGTAAAGTACTAGTACCTTCCTTCCAAACTTCTCAGCAAACGCTGTCAAAGTGAAAGAAGCTAAAATGCTGACAATTGGGAAGCTGAGAGTCTGTAGTTCTGGACTGATATTGAACTCTACTCCAGTAGAAGAAAGGATACCCGAAGCATACGCGATAATGGCGAAAGCTCCATTCCATGCGTGTAAAGAGAATATTATTAAAATGATGATCAACCCACGTCGCCAGGCTTTATCTTTTACTGAAATAAAAGGTAATTGAGATACATCTAAAATAATATCTTATGCGTCTTCTTCTATAAGAGATACTCAGGAAAATTTCACACCGATAGTAAAAGTTTTAGAAACTCTTATTACTTTTGTTTAAAAGGTGTAAAAAAACTTGCATGTGGGAAATGCTTAAGAATAAATCTTCCACCTCAAGCTTTAAAAAAATTAAAAAGCCTTTTACAAAATAATACTCTCTTTGTCATCATCCTCATCTTTATAAATTATAGCTATTATTATTATTAAACTAGTATTACTATACCTACCTATTGTCGCGAACATTTTTTTTGTTTATTTAAAAAAGGATTCATACAAACGTACATATTTTTTGAGTAACGTGAACCGTTGTTCCAATTTTTTAGGCTACAAAACATGACGATGCGAAACGTGATGTTTTGTCTAAAGCCTTCTTCGATACAATATGGTCCAAGCAACATACAAATATTTTTTCAATTCGATCCAGTAGTTCCTGAAACTCTTGAGCCTTGTAATATCAGTATATTACTAATTGTATGACTTGTGTATTTTTAATTTATACGTACGAATGCTTATAAAGTCAGGTTTTGTCATCATTAAAAACTCCTCTTCTTGTCGCTGCATAGCCGCCAATTCAGATTTAACAATTTTGTCGTCTATATCTAGTCCCCGAAGGTAAGCTACAGCCTTGAGCGCTTCCTATAATTTACACATCATTGAAATTGCGCCTTATTGTAAACAATTTTTGCTATGAGTTTTCTAAAATTTATTTGAAGTCGCTCAAGCTTATAAGCTGGATTGTAATGGACGACGGGAAACAAGATTATAGAAATACATACAAAACTAAAATAATCCTATTTAAGAAACAGTCAAAGTACAGGCTGACATTAACCTCAAATGACAAGATATTTTAAACTTTCATTCGTATTAAATAATGTTAATATAAAAATGAACCCACCTCAGTCTTTCCTAACTTGACTAAGAACGCTGGCGATTCAGGTGCTTTTAACATAAGCACGGCCATCATTACTGGAAACACAGCTGTGATATATAAAACAGTGAAGTAATCAAAGTATGCCCCGACCAAATATATAATGAGAAAACCCATATTCTGCAACACAACTTGTATGGAGCCAAGCTTTCCAATCAAATCTTGCTGACTGATTTCTCGGACGTACATTGGACCTACAACGAAAAGTCCACCAGCACAAACACCAGCAGCAGCCCGGGCAACGCATAGTGCGATAATATTTGGAAAGAATATCTTTATAGATACGGAAACCTGTAAATAAAAAATAAATACAGTAGAACCCGTTTAAGACGATCACGCTTAATACGATTTCTCGCATAATACGCCACTTTACGCTAGTCCCCCTGCAACTTGAGACATATTTTTATATATATTTCTTAACGTTTAATACGATTCGTCATCCCGTTTAATACGCCCGAACGCCACCCAGCGGACAGGCCCCCCGCCCGCACACCGTTTGCCGCGATCGTCATTTCTTGATTTGACATGTTGTGTCGCGCGCGCGCTCTGATTATTTTGTATTAGTGCATCATTTGTTTGTTACAATATGATTACAATTAAGCGAAAGGCATTGTCACTTCAAGAAAAATTGAGATATTGAAAGCTTTCGATAAAAAATCACAAACAACAAATCAAACTCAGGTAGCTGCTGAGCTTCACTTACCAGTTTCTACGTTACGTACTATTATTATTATGAACCTGTATTGTCCCACTGCTTAGCAAAGGCCTCCCCCTATCCTTCCACCTATCTCTGCTTTTTGCAGTCTATTTTAAATAATATAACTATGAATAATTACTTAGTGTACATAATTTATAACTGTATAATTTAATGCCTATGTTTACAGTACCAAAATTAGAATAAAATACATAATAATATGTTTTACCCTATCCCGCATAATACGCTTTCTCGCTTAAGACGCGTTTTTGGTATGGTCCCTGAGGAATCGTCTTAAGCGGGTTTTACTGTATATTTTTAAATTTTTTAATCATGTTCTCCAAGTGCAAATTAAAGAATTTAGTAAGTCCTTAGCTGCCTGTGACACTAACTGCCCGAAAACTACAATTTTACCGCAGGCAGGGTCGTGCTTGTGGCATTATTATTATTTGTTGATAGAGGAGGAAACATCCCAGTCATATAACATCTAAACAAGATATGCTTATGATATATATTTGATATTATGATATATATTATAGATAAAATCTAAAGTAGTTTAATATATTTCTTAAATGAACGTTGTGCCTGCACCTAAATGACAATTACAGTAATTATACAATCATCATTATTTTTATCTTATTTTAAAAACAGTCTCCTTAATGTTGATATTTAGATGTACAGAGTATATAGCGAATTAATTATTAGTTAGTTTTGAGATGATTATAACAAAACTGTGACGGGCATTAAACTTAATGTGGAAAATTCCTTTAAATCTAACCATGATTCTTAGAAAATACCAACAATGGAGGAAATTAATGTCTCTCAGAGCGTGATAGTCAAATGGGACTAAGCCAAAGCAAATATTTTAAGAAATTGATAATTATTAAATTGTTGGTGCATACAGTACTCAGTAGCTATATTTACATAGGAGTGATAATATTCTACATACACAATGATCAATTTATTAGTTTTTCAATTATTATACAAGGTGTTTAAGTTTAAAAAAATTGCGCTCCAAAATTGCATTATTATTATTATTATCTTTACGTTAACAGTAAAACAATAACTTGATCTTATTTAATTCTGTAAATAGGTGTAGGGATTGCCTCAGAAAGATTTTAATTAACTTGGAGAATTTAGGTGCAACAAAGCTTGTACTTCGTATAAACAATTAATTTGATAAGTAAAATAGGCGACTTATTTCACTTAAATAACTGTTCATACGTAATGAAAACTTTTTTTTTTTTTTGAATGACTTTAATGTATTGTGCTCCTAAGGAGCCACGAATACTAACCGGGCGTTTTGGGCGAGCGCGTTAGCGCTCGCCGTGTTTACGGCTAGACCAAGGGTGCCCCGAGGGGGGCATCGGCCTCGGCTTGGACCGCCGCAATGCGGGTGGGCGCTTGAAGAGCTGGACGGAAGCTCACCCGGGTGAGCGGCGAATGACCTCGCCTACGCCGGCGTAGGCGGTTTTGCGGGCGCTCGGCGCCGTTGTCGACCGATCGCGTTGCGATGAGTAAATCGACGGCTTTGGTTAAGTCGTCGTCGGGGTCGGTGAGTACGTTACGCGGCCTTCTCCAGCGTGTATTGACGGGAACGGTGTAGTTGGCGGCCCGGGCCACCAGTGGGTTCGGATGCGTCGCGGCTTTTTTAAAGAAACGTTCGGACGTTTTCTTGAAGTACCGACTGAGGGTCGGTAATTCGAGATCGGCGTGGAGGTTTGCATTCCGTACGCACTAGATGGCTCCAGTGGCGGTTCGAGTGAACCGATTCTGAAGCACCTGGAGCCTGTGGAGTGTGCTAGGGGCGGCGTGGGCGAACGCGACGCTGGAGTAGGTGAGAATCGGACGAATACACGTTTTGTAGAGCGTAACTTTGTGTCTGAGGGACAGTTTGCTACGCGCGCAGATCATGGGATATAGCCTACTCATAACGAAGTAGGCTTTGCGGCGGACTCGATTGATATCTTCGCGAAAGGAACTGTTTATCAAGCGTGACGCCTAGATATTTAGTAGATTTTTGCCACGGCGTTTGGACGGTTTGGTACGAGTGCTGTGGGGACTACGAGTGAAGTAGATTGCCGCACTCTTATCGGGGTTGACCTCGACTCTCCATTTCCGGAACCATGCGCCTAGGGCATCGGTCGCGGTCTGGAGAGTGGAGACGATCAGCTGCGTTTTGCAGTCGGTAGTGTAAACGGCCGTATCATCGGCGAAAAGCGCGAGATGGGCTTTGGCGGTTTTAGGAATGTCGCTAGTAAAAAGCGAAAATAGGATTGGAATGAAAACTTTCTTTTTATTACATTACCTCAACTACGTAGACATAATTACTACACGTTTACACACCAGGTGATAACAAACACATCACTTAATATAGATGATGGCTTACCATTTGCGGAATAGTAGTGGCGAACACCACCCATTTCCTACCATAAACATTAGCCAGATACGAGTAAATTGGCACGACAGTAGCTGAAAAAAATACTACTATGCTGGCTATCCAAGATAACATATTGTTGGATATTGCATGTCCGAGTGGGGAGGTGTCTCATTGAAGGACTTTTGCCATAGGCGAAGTCCAACCAATCTCCAAGCCGTATATTAGGAATCCGATGCTTACTGAAATGATAATACTGTGATTAAAAAGAAACAAAGGAAAAAGCTAGACACGAGTTATTAATAATTTAGCTAAGATTTGTCAAGTTGTATCTGTATTTTACGCAATACATATAAAAAAAAACTGTTTAAAATGCGGAATATAACTACGACTTAATACTTTTTATATAATTCTATTTAAGGGAAATCATATTAAATATAGGTACTCCAGTACTTTTCACGTCACAAGTTAGCCCAAACGTGAAGAAAAAATAAGCATTCATAATCACAGGAATAGGTAATATTGAGTACGTTTTCGAAGCAGTTTTTATATTCTAAGCTTTGGGACATGTAAAACATGATCGCATAATTAAAATGTAAATTATATTAAGTGAAGATATTATTTAGGCGAATATATGTAAACAACCAACTTACCTATTAAACTATACATCCATTGGATATAAGTATGCCCTTGTTTACGTGGTGACATGTTTTTTTGACGATAAATTCGCCACGTCAATTTAACACTATCGACGTTAACACCGAGCGACACACTTTTTATATTTTATAGCCAAGAAAAATATTTCCATACGTCTTGCGCCAAATACTAAATTACAATGTTCAATAAGACATATGATAAAACCTTTTGTTGTAAATTCAATACAATATTATTATTAGTTTGTATGTGTAATACCTTTGTCTGTTTAGAGGATGTTCCAAAAGAGTATTTAATTAAAACAAAATATACTAGAAAAGTAAAAAGCCGTTATTGGTCTGTCGGATTCGGAAACGTAGAGTTAAGTAGGACACCATTTTATTCCAGATCCCTAAACGTCTTTGGTTTTTTTATGAGGCACTTAGTAATAGTACGTAGTAGACAACAGAAATAAACTTATCACATATAAAATGTGTAAAATATTCAAATTTTTTATTCTTCAGATCGCCTAAAATAAAAGGATGAAACACTAAAAACATGCTATCGATCTCTAATAGGCATACTGTAAGTAAATGTGAGTCAATTTAGAAAGTATGTTTCCTCCTAATAATGGACTGGACCTCTTCTTCAGATTTTCCCTTGGTTTCCGGTATAAAAAGTAAGGTAAAAATAAAACCAACAAGGTTTATACCAGCGAAAATGTAGAACAAGGTATGGTAACCGAAGAAATTCGATATAGGAGCATAGATAAGTAGCTGTAGCGACTCCACAAACCAAATATAAGTAACTACTACTCCCATCACTTTTCCTCGAATCTGAAAAAAGTTAAATTATACATACGTTGTTAACTCTTTCCCAACACAAAAAGGTTTTTTGATACCTTTAAGAGTACAGACAGATTTTCGACTACTTTTAATGGAACGTGAAATTTCTCAGTTCATAGAACCACAGTAATAGGATGGAAGAAATTCACAAAGCCCATTAAATAACCCTAATAACTTACTTGAAAATTAAATATCTCCGTCATTATGATGTATAGCATCGAAGAAATACCTCCTGCATACGCAAAAACGCAAACTATCATAGCAAGTAGTGGCAACCACCCTGGTGCTGAACCTCCATTTTTATTCAATAAGAGAGTTGTTGCTAGAACAGCGAAAGATACCGTTGAAGCTACATATGCTCCAGCTAATAGTGGCTGAAAAAATAAATTTTGAGGGCTTTTAGAAAATACAAAATATTGAATTAATAGTAACCGTTAAAAGGCATACCTTCCTTCCCAGTCTATCTACAAACACAGCGTTAAGAAAACAAGCAGCTATCATAACTATGGGAAAACAGAATGACTGTACTTCAGGACTGATGTCAAAATCTGCTCCAGCGTAGCTCAGTAATGTAAAGGCATAGACAATTATAGCATATGCACCACTCCAGCCGTGTACAGAAGCTGCCACGAGAACTATTAGCACACTGCGACGCCATTTCTCGTCAGTGACTGAAAATTAAAGTGAAAAAGAAAAGAGATTAAAATTGCATCTGAGGACTCAGCAAAGCAAGTCCGGTATTTCGTGGGTATATTTGCACAATGCGTCATTCGGTTTAATCGTTTCGATTAAGTTCTACAATTATTTCTCATTCTGGGTTTAAATTAATTACACGAGAGACTTATAACTAATGAGTCCACACCAAGTAGTCAGTAATTAGACTCGGTAGCTCAATTGGTAGAGCAACAGCACCGAAAGCTGACGATGCCGGTTCAAGTCCTGCCCGAGTCGAAATTTTTTTCAATTTATTTTCGATTTTTAAATTAGTCAGTAATTAATTTTTAATTATTAAGGCTCATCGCATGGGTAGTTGTAAATAAATTAAAACGAACTATAAATAGGCCGAGACGGTAATATCTGGTGGTTAAGAAAGAAGCAACTTCACTGCAGCGATGATCCAAGTGAAGAATGATTTATTTTTATTTATAGTGTTTAAATAACATTTATAAAATATTTTTATGTAAATTATGAATTGATATTATATTGTTAATAATAATAAAAAGCTATACGAGTTATTAGTTTTTAAGAAGTAGTTTAAAGAAAAGCTGTTGTGTAAAGTCAATTTTTATAGATATATATATATACACTTTTTGACAAACTTTACCCGTTTGAAAGGTTCGTATGTTGAGGAGAGATAAAAAGTCTGTTCTTTTAGGCTATTATTAAATATTTTTTTTTCCAAAATGTACACAGTGTTACAGTGTGTAAGATTGTTGGTTATTTTATAAATTAGAACGCAAGTTTTATATATATAGCTGTTGAATTCTCAGTAGATTTGGGTCACTATAAAGGTATTTTTTTAAAGTTCGAAAGTCATATTTATATAATTTTGTTTTGTAATTTGTTTAGTGGGTTTAAATCTGTTTTGGAACTAAACAATAAAAAACTTAGGTCACGTCCAAAATTAGTTGTCCTTTTAAATTACTTTGATATATATTATTGTAGTTCTTAAAACATGTATACTTATATCTGTTTAATAACTACAATGGCCCTAAAACTGAGCTTTGTGGTACGACACGATCTAGTTGCTTTCGCCAACTTTGAAAACCTGTCGGTTGAATAAGGTTTTTAAAGTTAAATTTTTAATGCCTATATTTTTTAACTTTTTTATAAATATAGTGTGACTAATTGTGTCAAGGCTTTTCTAAAATCAATATAAACATAAGTGCTACATGATTTTGATCAATACTTTATCTTATACTCATGTTTATGATTGTCTATGTTTGATTATGCTCGGATGATTTTTATTATTTCATCTACTGTAAAACTTTTTGAGTGTTTTAGTTGAAAAATCTAAATTTAAACGTGGTAATATGTAAAGGTCAGTCATGTTATTTGCATGATTAGGAATTTGACTAGTGTATTTAGATCGGATTGCAGAAAAAATATATTAAATGCTTTACAAATTGGAAGTGGTTCCAAAATTAATCGATTATATGCCCTATAATAGAAGGCGGAACACAATTAATAATAATTTTGTTATTTGAAAGGTTATTAATAAGCTGCCACGTTTTTTGGTTTAGGAGTGCAGCTAAAGCTTCATTAAAAAAGATTTTCTCTCAGAATCTTGTAATTTTTAAAATTTTCTATTTTAAAAACTCATTGATTTTCAAACTTAGCCGAGATTTATATTGTTGCAGTTTGTAAGTTCACATAAAACAGCAACAATTTAAAACACGTAAGTTACTTACATAGGTCTTTCAGTGCAATTCGCGGCAGATTCTCGAACTGTTCCTCCTGTTTTTTCATTTCGTCTATTATTTCAAGCACTGCTTTATCATCTTTGGGTAGACCTCTTAAAGATGCTACAGTCTCAATCGCTTCCTGTAAAAGTAGTGGATCGTGAATTAGATATTTTGATTTTATAATGAAGTTGTTTGAAATTGCCGTGCTTGTTTGAAATATTTCAAAAATAATTTTATATTTTTTTACACCTAGCAATCAAATAGACTGACGGAATAGAATATTTGCAATTTTCAATAAGTTCTACGTATATATTTCGTAGCGTCGTATATTAAATAACAGTGTATGAAAAAGATAAAATAATATCTTATATAGCAGAATTTCCCTTAGTTTTAGTTAATGGTATACATTAAATACTAAGGGAAATACAACCATAACAGCATTTTATTATCTTAGTTTATTTTATTCTCAACACAATACAGGTATTAAACTCACACCAATTTTCCCTTTTTTAATCAAGAACGCGGGAGCTTCGGGCGCCTTAATCATCAGAATCGCTGCCACAAAAGCAATGCTAATAATAGCCCATTGAACACTGTAGTAGTCCAAATATGCACCAATAATGTACATGTAAAGAACTCCTAGATTTTGTGATAGGATTAGCAATGATCCTAAGGTTCCTCGTATGTTATCCTGGCTGATTTCCTTAACATACATCGGTACAACATTAAAGCAGCCGCCTGCTGGAATTCCACCCACTATTCTGGATAAAGTGAGTGTAACCGGTGTTGGATAAAGCTTTAAAGCCCACGAAAGCTGGAAGCGCACGATTGATCAACATAGATATACTTACTGAAAATTTATTCTCATAACGATTTCCATTACAGTTTCTTGATGATTATTTCAATTAGAAGATGATATAGGGTAATTAGTGTAAAGAAGTAAATTAAGTCATAAGTCATCGTTCTTAAATTAAGTTATACTATGACAAACGACGCTTCGAATTCGTAGGCTATTGTAACTGCTAAAATAAATCGGTAAATCTTTATGTAACATCGCATTATATTGTCGAAAAGTGTAAACAGATTCATAATACTAAAAAGCTCTTACTCCTTGGGGATACAAGAGTCCCATAACGGCGATCTTACGTCCATATCGATCAGCGATATATGCATACATAGCCGTTCCGAAGACAGCCGAGAAGCACATTAGGCTGGCTATCCAAGATATCGCGTAATCCGAAAGCGGTTGCCCAGCCGGGGAGTTTTGCGATTGTAATATCTTGGTCATTGGGGAAATCCAACTGTTTTCGATACCATAGACAAAGAGAGCCACATTGGCTGAAAAATAACGTTTATTATTATGTGTTTTACTATAGAATAAATAAGTCTTATATGACCATAATAGACCATATAAATCCTAAGCGTAATTTTTCTTTCTACGGCTTTGTCTTGTTTATAAACATTCGTCTTTAATTAAACGTACTTCCTCTCAAACCATTTCTTATTTTATTGCACAAGTATAGTTTATTTAAATGAATAAATCAACATGTATAATAACGAAAAGTTAATTACCACGATAAAAACAGCACGGCATTTCGTTTTTTTACGTTTACTAATTGAAAAGTAATTTGTCATATAGCAAATTCGGGTTAAATATTTATAATAATTAAGTCGATATTGATTTTTTCCATAAATAATAATGATTGATACCAACTAGTCAATTATTTTTAGGAATTTAAGAGGCTTTTTCGTCAATCATAAAAATATGATAAAGTGATAGTCCTTAACATCCAAGATGATACTAACTCTAACTACAACAACGAACACGGAAAAAAGCAAAACCTTTTAGTCTCACCACCGAGCATACAAACCAAGAACAGACCCTAGAGTTGTTCTTGACTAGAAGAAACGAATTTTCTACCACGTTAGAAAAGGAGTCAACAGAACCAAAAACTAACATAGAACAATAACAACGAACTAAGGCCCCTACTCAAGACAAGCATAGGGATACAAGTGAAGATATAAAATAATAAAAAGAAGATATAAATCTACTAAGTGAACTGAACATATATTCATACAATGTCAAGACGTCTAAAACACTTCGGGTGGCACCAAATAGGACTTTTGGAGATCCGACGCCAAGACGAAAGCCTTTTGCATCTTCAGTCCGGAAACCTCCTGTATTGCTATAGCGTTAATAAGAGACTGCATGGAGTACGTTTCTTAATTAATGGAAAAATACAACGATACATAACGAAAATAAATTACACGTCAGAGAAAGTAATAAGACTCAAAATAAATAAAATCACACACACATGTATCCAAGTTTGTGCGCCCTTCAATCAAACCACACAAAAAAAAGGCAGAAAAGCACAGAAAGACGCCACAAAAATGGAAAGGACACGTTTCCAGAATGTGAAATGACAAATGGGCAAAAATTGAGACCAAATGGTGGCCAAAAAAACTACAAAAGGAAATCGTCGGATGACATCGAGCAACTGACAAAAAAGTGGTGGAGAAAATCAAGGAACAGGACAGATTGGGAAAAAATGGGAGAGGCATTTTACGACGCAGACATATATTGCGCATAATATTAAATACGTATTTTTAAAAGTATCAAAAACAATGTCAGAATATAAATAAAAAAGTATGTATTTCTCATAATAAATGATTTTTATAACTGGTTTTTCGTATTAACCTACCTAAAATAGCTATCAGCCATTGCTTGTACGTGTGACCCTTAGACGATTTCTGATCCTTCATGTTGTTACACTTCTTCACACAGTTTCGCACAATTTATTCCAAACATGCAATGGTGGTGAATTTCATAAATATACAAAATAATTAAGGCACACGGTATTTGTTTAGTCGCAGACTTGATAAGCTGAATGATGTAATTTATATACTTGCTTGTTAAATCTATACTAATATTATAAAGCTGAGAAGTTTGATTGTTAGTTTGTTTGTTTGAACGCGCTAATCTCAGGAAGTGTAGGTTTGCATAGAAAAGTTAGTTTTGTAAAGATATAGGCTATAAAACATTGCGCTGCAACTGATAGGAGCGGTGAATGTGGGGAAAGCAGGGAACGATGTTCATCTTTAAGGGGTTTCCGTGACGTGCGGTGAAAAAACGATTCAATATACTCAAAAAGTATATATAAAAGAATGATTGCTCTTTTAATGATCTAATAAATTGTCCGCGATGGTATTGTCTATCTTTTCAGGTTTAGGTATATACTTGCTAAGAGCGGGACTCGACTGACGACATGGTGGTAACCAAAATTTATGAAGATGCGAAGGAGATTTTATAAAAACTAATTTTGATTGAAGATATATATTCTACGAACGAAGTCGCGGGTATAGCTAGAAAGATATAAATTACCTCTAACAACATCCTATTATCTTAACGAACATAAATATTGGCTTTCTTCTAAGATCCAGCGCGCGTCGAAGAACCTGTAATAGTAAAAAATGTATATATTTTCTTAATTGTTAAACTTAACTTAATTTTCTATTAATTTAATTGAGATTAAATTACAACATACACGCTTGGGAGTCGAAGCCTCGAACTACATAGTCACGTGTTGTTGATCTACCGTATCAGTTACATTACATCCCAGTTCTTCACACATCTGCAATGCAAATTCAAACTTAACACTTAAATAATGTCTTTAGGTATACGTACTTATATTTTATTCTATATAATATTAAAAAAAAAAATCATTTCATCATCATCATTTTATATAAACATTAACATGCAAAAGAAAAGATTTAAGCATTTTATTGTAAAGATTAACTTTATTCAGTCGTTCTTGTTCTATTTATTTACTTTCCATGAAATTCTTATATTTCGTCCTTATAGCTAAACAGGGATCTCTTCCAGATTATTTGAAGTACAAAAGAAAAGAAATGAAAAAAGGCTTATTAAATAAACAAAAGCAAACGATATATCGTATAAGTATACACAGCAAGTAAGAGTCTTAAAAGAATGGAGAGATTTAGTTCTTCTGATATTAGAGGGGAGAACTACGGTTTTAACGGTGACGGAATTATTAAAAAAGAGGTATTATATTTAATAAAAAATAAGGGGAGATTATCGATAGAACGCAGAGTTAAAAAGGACGACGTTCTTCTTAAAATAAGAAGAAATTTTAGGATAAAAAAGGACACGGTAGAAAAGATGAAGCGGTCCGGTATTCCGACGCGCTCGAATAGGGAGCCAGTTAAGAAATTCATCAACGTGATCATATTTGCTAAGTCCAAACGCCGCTCTAGTTTGTCAAGCAGCATTTCAGTTAAATCTGTGAAAGAGACAGAATGGTCTGCTGTCTCTTTCACAGATAGAGAAGAGACTGGTCAAGTAAAATTGTTGTAAGAATGGAAAGGAAGTTTTGTAACGGCGGCCTTATATCGCTAATATGCGATTTCTTCCAGACTACCCAAGATGACCGACGATAAAGTTTAAAGAAAAACGAGATGTGCTAGGTGGGCGAAACAAAATATACAATTTTAACAAGATATAATTTGTTACAACTTAAACAGCTACTGTTACCTAAGTAGAGATATTGCAAGGTATGTCGTATATAGATTTTAAATAATTCCAAATGTAGGTAGATAAGTAGATGTTTCAAATAGCTACTCTTGTTTTGTTTTTCAGGTGGAGAATTAAACTCTATTGTGCACCAAAATGCGTATCATAAATTGAAAACATGGTTGGATAAAATAAATTGATATCTTGATAAAACTATCGCTGATTTAAAGCAATGTAGTAAAGCGGGAGTAGATAAAAATGAGGTCTATATTCTAACGTAAAGAACTGATTATCTGTAATTATTTGGTTTCGTGTGAACGGACAACTTTTAATGGCCGAACTTTGGAGGACTCAATAGCTAAAACAATATACAATATAATAATCCACGACATTGTAATAATCTTAAAAGATCAATTTGTTCAAACTTCAAACTTGACAGTTGGCCTCGACATTTTGGTTTTTAATTTTGTCATCTGTCAAACACATGTTTATTGTGTGTCTAGGCATAATTTGTTTATCGATATGCCTACTGTCAAATGACTTATATGTATACCGCTTTCAATGTTTTTTGAAAATATCTCTAATATTTAGGATAGTTTGAAGTAATAAACAGCATTTTCCATTAAAAATACACACTATCACTACTTTAACTTATGTGTTTTACTTAAGTTATCTACAAATAAAATGGGCCTCTTATCCGATCCTGAATATGGCTCAATGAGGTTTATAAAAGTTTTAAAAAGAATCCATTATCCATTATGTTTTCTTTTCTACATTGGTGCATTGGTGTGGTTCTTCCTGCTTGGACATCGAGAATTTAACAACGATACGTACTTCTCTGAAAATGCTCTCCTACCAGGCTTAGTGACGAATGAATTCAATGGAGAGCAAACTGCTAAACAATACCACAACGAATTTTTGCAGGAACTAGAGGTATTTTATTAATTGAAAACTGCAAACAGTATTATGGAGAATTTTAAGTTTATAATATTATGATTACGGATCATTTATATATTTTTCTCTTAAAACCTAATTTTTGTTTGTTCGTATGGAGATTTTTCTGCTTTTAGGTAGCTTTAAATTAAAAGTAGTCACTGACTGAGTTAAATTATTGATCGTAATAAAATCAATAATTTAACTTAGTCAGTGACTATATTAATAATCCATAATAGATTAGACACAATTTATTAACTAACAAATATTCAACATATATATTTTTTAGCTTATCCAGACTAATATAAAGTTTACTTCTCTTATTAAATAAATACATTTTCAGGACAAATATGAAGACACAGATGAGATGCCAGTACCGTGGCTGGTTGCCAAGATGTCACAACTCCATTTAGAAGTCTACACTCACAATTTTACCCTTAACTATCCTCTTGGACAGGGACAGGTAAAAAAATATCCTTTCATCTTTTGAGATTAATTTCTAAGTTCTTGTAATTCTTACGACTTTTGTAAGGTTATGATTGTTAAAATTTAACCTTAACTTTTAACCCATGTTTCCAGGTATTCAAGGGAACAAATGTTTATGGTATTTTACGAGCACCACGGACATCATCATTGGAGGCTCTTGTGCTAACAGTTCCTTATAGACCATTATCATCACACCAAAAAGGAACAACAGCTGGCGTAGCATTGATGCTGGCATTTGCTCAATTTGCAAGATGTAAGTTTACCCATTTATTACTTTGTTAAGCTACTACTTATTAAGAGGTCCCAGATTTGGACATGGTGCGGAGCTAAACAATATTTTCATATTTGGCATATGTCTGAGACTTTATAATGCCATTCAAGTTTGTCGAAGTATCAGTGTCATAAGCCCCATGCCATGTTGACATACATATAAGCTGTCAGTCCCATTTATCATCACTTAATACATTATATGACTTAAAAAGAAATAATTTTCAGCAAAAAATTATTGGGCAAAGGACATAATATTCTTAGTAACTGAACATGAACAACTTGGTATGCAAGCATGGTTAGAAGCATACCATGGTTTACAAAGCAATCCTGGAACCTTCTACACTAATCTTGGAAGCTTTTGGAAATCTACTGATTCAGAGAGGAAATCAAAAAAGTTTGGTAGTGGATTTGATTCTTGGCTTGATCATAGTCGATGCTTAGACCCAGGAACCTTAAAAGGAAGATCTGGCTCCATACAAGCTGCCATTAATTTGGAATTTCATACACCTAAAATCAGTATGTAATATTTTCTTTTATTATGATCCTTATATAAATAAGTGTTTAAATTTTTTTTCTTCCTACAATTGTACTGTATTTGTATTTTCGACAGGCTCGTGGTTCTAATGGTATCAATGTATGGCTAATAATCTACGGGACAAACATGTTTTATTTTTACCGTTTAGAAAATTCGCTCCAGGTCATGAACCGCTGTCCACGGGTGAAAAAGCTGTGAAGTTTAATTGGCTTTCGGTTTCAGCCTGTGGATTTTTTCGAATATCCAAAGCTGAAATAGGTTGACAGCGTATCTTGTTTTGATGCCATACATGATGATGGTGCAAATACCCCTGCCATATAAATGGCTGCGGTATTTCACCTCCCATCCAGTGAACCCCATGCTTTTCTGTCCTCCTCTATATTTAAAAAAAAAAAATATTTAGTTGATTATGATAAATTTGTGCCCCCAAAAATTTTCAGTCATTATTTTCAATTATTAAAAAAATATATTACTTCAGCATTACATCAATAATATGACTGAAATCTTAAATCTTATTTTTAGAATACATAGAAGTGAAAGTGGAAGGGCTGAACGGTCAACTGCCAAACTTAGATCTTGTTAATTTGGTGCACAAATTATGTGTTAAGTCAGGAATATACCACTCCTATAAAAACAGGTAATATATAAATTATTTAATTACATAGACAATTAGTACAAAATCTCAAGTCTGCTTATTAACAACGAAGTGTTATAGCAAGTGCCATTGTAATACACTTAAAGTATATACCAGAGGTGGATACAAGACATTATGTTATTCATTTTCAGTTATGCCTGGGTGCGACACCGCAACAATATGGATGCTTGGATGAATGGCATATGGACAATGCTAGGAATGATGTCTGCTCAAATAGCTGGGGTAAGTTAAAATATTGAAAATTCTGATCCTCTTCTCAAGTGAGCGACGAGTAGTAAAAATACTTTTTAAGGGTCCAGATGGGTCCAGATGACAAAGCATAAAACAAAATTACATTTCTTTTTTTAATCTAACTAGAAAAAGACTGTGACTTCATTTGTTTTGTGTTTAATAGGTGCCTAATGGTAATCACGGACTCTTCCACCGTTTTGGTATAGAAGCAGTGACACTCGAAGGCCGAGAAGCCGATGACCCAGCGGGGAACCCTCCGCGAATACACCAACTTACCCCCTCCAACTTCTACAGATTGGGTACAGCCCTCGAAAGCATTTTTAGATCGCTCAACAATTTATTGGAGAGATTTCACCAAAGTTACTTCTTCTATTTACTGGCGGCTACCGATAGGTTTATTTCAATCGGTAATTTTTATTTTCATTTGTAAGTTCTGAAAATTTTCCTTTTCTATCCAAGGTTTTTATTATAGGTCAATACATGCCATCACTGTGCCTGCTATGTGGTGCTATGTTAATCCGCGCTTTATCGCTATGGGTCTCATTACAAAAAGACGAAGAACCTGAAAAGAACGAGACAGAAATAACAGATAAAAAGAATGAAGATGATGATGATAAAGACGTAGAACCTAAAAATGAAGATATAGTGCATGAGGGTTTACGCAAACGTATAGTTAAGCCTGAAACAGCTCTTAAACAAGATACAAAAATGAAAGAAGAGAAACAATTAAGTGAGAGGGAAAGTAAAAAAGATGTGGTTGAGGACAGTATTAGCGTTGTCAGTATTGGTGCCAATTACTTCTTGGTGCATCTAATAGGATTAGGCGTAATGAATTCACCAGTAATTTTTAGTTATATTGGTAAGAACATTTTTCGATGCTTTGATAATAATTAAAGGTGATAATCGAAATTATTAGTCAATCAGATCATTTGTCTTCTTTACTTAAAACCAACAAAATAATTTTTAAATTCAATTCTGAAGATTGTTCTAGCTTAAATTTCAAATTCTGTTTCTCCCAGCTCGATGACCAATTTCAATTTATATACAAATACTTCATTTGTTTGCAGGTGCTAAATATTTCGATCAACCATCCGAAGTGTCTGTGTACTACGGCCTTATCTGTGTGTCTGCATTAATTGCCGTTATTTCACCTTTCTTATTGAAATTATTTCGAAATCGTCCAGCTAATAGAGAAGAGTTAACTATTGTGAGTATCTCAATACTAAACATAAGTATAATGGTGTTACGAGGGTAGTCTTGTCTTCTAGTGAATACTGAAATTCCTAGAAATGGATAGTACAAAATGTTATGCCTACTTTATGCCAAAAGCTGACTATGAACTTAATAAAGACTGCTCGTTTATATTTAAATAATTGTAATGATAAGTAAAGTAAATGTATATATTTTATGAATAATGAAACGCTGCGGGTGAGAAGCTGCCGTATTGTTATAGTAACTAAAAAATTATAGATTAATAGTCGATTTTAGGTTGACAAATTTACGACACGGGCAGGACTCGAGTCGGCATCCACAGCGTTCCGTGCTGTTAGTCTAAACATTTAAGCTACCGAGCCCTACACGTTATCGTCTATTTTTCAACCCATTGATATACCAATTTCAAACAACTCTCGCGCAATGTAACCTCTATTACACTAAATTTTGCAAACATGTGAAAAATATTATCCGAACGAAAAGACTTGTTTACACTTAACGGTTTAAAACGCTATACATTAGTAAACTAAAATGTTTTATTAAAATGTGTACTACTCAAATAGACTATAGACAGAAAAAAATGTTTTTTTTTTTATTTTTTTTTTTTAATTTTTTATTCGCAATATTTCAGATAAACATACTCTTACTTATCGAGATGGCGACTCTTGGTGTCAGTTTGGGAATGCATAATATATCTCTAGGATTATGCGTATGCGCACTTTATACGCCCCTTGCACTATTCGTTGCAGTTCGGTCGAAAGATGTTAAGGAGAGGTGAGCTTACCTACAATATCTTAGAAGAGTCATGGGTCAAAACAATTTTAACTATTTAAAACGCGAAATATAATAAACTAAACTTTTTTTTACAAATTATTTTAATCAGGTAGTCTACATAATTTATCACGACTGCTGCTAAGCAACCGTCAAAGTGTTTTATTAAAAAAAAGTCTAAAATGTTTTCTAACTCTTTTAGTTTGTCGTTGTAGTGAGTTGAAATGCCCAGTCCCCATGTACCTAAGAAGCACTTAAAGTCTAAATTAACAATAGAGACATATATTATGAATACGCCCTTAGTATTTTGTACGTTAGAGATCAACAGTATATGTTATACACAAAAACTGTATTTTTATACTTCATTAGATTTATTATATCAAAGTATACCGTAACGATTTTATTTTACAGATCGATAGTTGTGTTCTGTAAGCAGTGCCTCTGCCTCTTGCTTCACCCGCTGGTGACGCTAACCGCTTGTATGATGGTGTACTCCCGGATTCTGTTCCCGGAAGAGGCAATACTTGGTGCGTTGTCGAGAGGACGCGACGCCGCTATGCAGGCTATTATGTTCTCTATCGTGGATTCTTTGGTTAGTATTGTTTGTAAAAGTAAAAATCGTTAAAATACTGTATTTTTCTATATTCGACTCCTGATTCACACTGGCGATTGGTCAGCGTTGAGCAATTGCTAAGAGTAGTACGCATTTAAATAAAACACTAACGGTTTAAAACGCGATATATATGAGTAAACTTATTTAAAAAATATATTTCGGATGCTTTGCAACAGCCGTGGTGTGGTGTCTTACTCAGTTTAACTAATATATATCGCGTTTTAAACCGTTAAAGAGTTTTATTTAAATGAGAATATAGGTTTTAGTTAGCTATTGCTGGCTGAACAAAAACTATTAATATTGTTTTTTTTTTTTATATTACGCAATAATGGTTACGTAACGAAGTTCCCATATTCATATACTTGTTACAGATCTACGGAAACTGGTTGTTCAACGTGGCGACGACAGTTTTGTTACCAACCTGGATTATATCTTGGCAAATTTTATGTAATACCGTAGCGGGCTAGCTTAAATAAACCAAAGATTTCAATAATCGTTGTGATATGAACTTATTGCCTTATGCCTTTTCCTTTAAATACACAAAACTTGATTTCTAAGAACTAACTTTGATAGGAATGAAGTTTTGTTCCCACAAATTAGCCACTGCTTACTGACAAACAGTCTTTAGTGTTAGTTTGTTTACATTTTTTATTGCTTATTATTAAAACACTTTAAACGGTGTAAAGCGGGATATATATAAGTATAGTCTGTCGTTTCGGATGCTTTATAGGAGCCGTACCATGTATTCTACTCGTGTAAATTACAGACCTTACTTACTACGTTGTCTTAAACTTGAGACGTCCTGGCTTCGAGTCCCGAGATATACTTGCTAGTTTTGGTTGGTTGGGGCACAGAAACCTGAACAATTACGGACAATTCTTGTCTGTAAATATAAACTGATCAGTGCCCCATGCCCCACTTAATATACAAAGTTTCACACTGTGCTTTAATACTTTTTTAAACTGAAAAGATGTTTAGTTAATGGTGGCAGACAGGACCGCGGTTACAAATTTGTAGATCAACGTGTAGTGATTTGTTGGTAGAGCGTCCGAGTCTGACCCGTAGCAATAATTTTACTAATCTATTTATGCTAGTAATATTAATGCGTAAAGAGATGTAAGTAAAACAAGCAACGCTTCTTCAAACTTTATTCCGTGACCTGGGTGCGGCGAATTTAAGTTGTATAACATCCACAGTTAGTCCCTTCGTTTCTGGCATGAAGAGTTTACAAAACAATGCGGTAAGTGCGCATACGCCGGCAAATATGTAGAATATTCCACCCAAACCTGCAAAGTAGGTTGATTTAGTAAGAATTTTTTTGGAAAAAAAAGTGATTCTGTTTTTTTGTTTTATATGAATTTACTTAAATATTTGCGACAAATTCTAAGTATTTTTCGCTTGGTATCTTAAATGAGTTTCGTACAAACCTATACTATTCACCAGAGGATTAAAAATATATAACACAACAAAGAAGCATAAAAACATCCATTCCAGAGATATTATTGATGCGAAACTTTTTATCTGAAACAATCATTGCATTATTTAAAATAAGATGATATCGGAACAAAAAACCTAAAACTGAATCAGAAACAATTAGGTTGGCAAAAAGATTAAACAAGAGGATTTCATGAAGTGGAAATTACTTCATAAAACATCCAAACAGAAGTGCTGTGAACCTATTTTGTCTTTGGACATTCGTAAATCCACAGACTGAAACCGTAACCCGATTATACTTCACGGTTTTATAATCTGTGGACGTTGTCCGTTACCCAGACGAAATTGTGATATTCCTACCAGCTATTTAATATTCAGATTGTCTGGACGAAGTCCAACATGTTTTAGTAAAATATAGATTTATCAGAAACATGTAGGACTCGCCGGAGATCACACCTCCGACTATAAACATTAAACAAAGTAATGTAAAAATTATTTCGTTCAAACCTCAGGTAAAAATACTTCAGCGTTGTAGATATATGGTATAGTGCCGGCTCCGACTGTATACGCAATGCAATAAAGGTAGATAAACAGTGCTGCTATCCAATATGGACCCCACTTAAACTGTATTTGTGTGCCGAGCAGCACGCAGCATATAGCTGCTAATATTGATGAGTAAATCATAAGACTCTGTAAAAAACATCTAATACTGTAAAAAGATCGCTTATATGTTATGAAGACAATTTTTAAGGTATATGACGTCGTAATAACGAAATCACTTTTTGGCCTAGGCGAGGTAATAAAAAATGTGAGCCGTCACGGGACGCCAGGCAGATGTGAAACATCGCCATTATATTGTAAAAGTAATGTGCAGAAAAGAACATATTGTGATAGGAACTAAATATGTCATAATGATAAAATAAAATATTACGATTTTTTCCAGATAACGATGACTATTTATTGAATAAACATTTATTTTCATTAAATACAAAAATTAACCGCGCCGCCACACCGTACACACTACTGCATATATACTGTATATATAATATACCATCGTATAGCGTGGCGACTCGTCGCCACGGCATGCGTCGCCACGCCAGAAATCGGTTTTACGTGCGGCTATAGATGTTTCACATCAATAATAAATCTCTTTATCCGGCATTCATTTAGTACAATGTTAAAAAGAAATAAATGTAATTACAATAAAATAATTAATTGAAAAGATTAACTTTGATTTGAAGAAAAGTGATACCAAAAAGATCTAACGTCAGCATAAGTTGCACAGATATTTACAGTTGTTGCAACACTGATTTTCAGCAAAACCCTACTGTTTGTTAGACAGCCCTCATATTATTGTGATGTGAAATGGCGAAACGTCGAGAATATTCTTTCTCAATTGCGACGACTGAACAGCTAAAAAACCCAAACTTTGCGAAATGCCCCCTTAAGCCTTACCTATACAAAATATTAAATAATTATTTGAATGTAAAAAATAAAATTAGTTTGGTTTGATTGGTCTAAGTAACTATAGAGAGTTCTCAGTAAGCATTTTTCTTACTAAAGGCAATAACTTTTATGAGGGAATAGAATACCTGGCGTCCCAAGGCTTCCACGAGGTACGCAGCTATGAAGCCGGCGACCACAGTGACCAAGGCGAAGATCACACTTGATAATGTCGCTGACATACTGGGTATAGCCTCTTCGAAGAGCGGCTGGGCATAAACCTGAACCACCACCAAGCCTTGGAACACCGTCGCAGAACTCAGAACGAAACAAACAAACAGCGCTCGGCGTGACGAACGGGACTTTTCTGGAATTTTTATATACACAAGAAGTGTTTCAGGCTATAAACTGTGAAAAATATGTAATAGGAATCCACTTACTTAAAAATTGCAAAACCGACAATTTCTGTACAGGTTCCAGCTCTGGTTTCAACTTCTCTTCCTCTGGTGTTGCATCTGTTAATTGAATCACATTATTAAAATCATATTATTAAAAAAAAATCAGATTTCTTGTATGGCAGCCGTTTCTTAATATTAAGTCCCGTTTAACGTTACACGTTAGTTAGTTTGAAAACTTTAATAATATCACATGTTTTTGCACATGATGGCATTAAATATTTCTTTTATTAACAGACAAGCATTGGGTCGACTTGATGGACAGTGTTAACCAGCTATAACAGCTGAAGAAGATGTGCTGACTTTGAATATTCGGAAAGTCCCTTTTTTTATTAAAAGATATACAACACGGGCAGGACTGATTTATTTGAGTTGCCGTGCCTACACGTCATCGTCCAATTTCTTCAACCCATTAGTGCATACGGCTCTCGGTAGATTTTAATTCACATTATTTCAGCATAAAAAGCAAGAAACTGATTCATACCGTCTAGTTCTGGATTAAGTATTCGTCTTAAATTTGCCATTTCCTCCTGAACTTCTTTTGAAGTCTCTGGTACGCTTCTGTAATGCGCTATCGTCTTTGCGGCTTCCTAAAAGGTTTCCAATATGTTAAAATATAAAGATTAGTATAATATAATGGATCCAGAACTAAGTAGATATGTTTAAGTTGGCTCAACTTTAGTAGTAGTAAAATTACTAATGTATACTAAGAAATATGTAAGTATTAATGTAAATGTAAGTATCATTGTTATATATTGGCGGTAGTCATAAACTATAAATTAAGTCATAAGTTTATGTATCTAGGAAGGCTTTAGGCTATATAACAATAAGCTGCGACCAATGGAACCAATAAAACAGTGGAAAATAGATGAAAAAGCTAAAAAATATTTAACGTTAAAGATTTCCGTTGCATATGCTGCAAAAACTATTCAAGAAACCAAAAAATATGTATGAAAGATTGTTTTTTTTTTCTAAAAAAATTGCCCCCTCCTCATATGTCTAACTTTTAAGTTTAACTCGCTAGAACGACTGAGCGCCGAAAATAACTATTTACGCGGATCGAGTCGCGGGTACATCTAGTAAATAAATTCAATCCCAAAAAAATATGGGGCATAAGGGCTTAAGTATTTCTTTGTCCAATGCACGAAGTATTACCAAGTAGTGAATCAGATTTTTAACTTTGGAGGCAATATTTATTTATTTATTTATTTATTTATTTATTTACAGAAATCCTTACAGCTAAACGTACATGTTATTTTGTAGTTAGGCAATTAATTACGCCAATTACAAGGATTTACAAATAATAATTTAATAGGATTACCCAAGTGACAAGGTTCTATATTATAGGTGAATAAAACGAGAACTGAATTGACGTATCCAGGGATGGGGTGTGTTTTTTGTATGCATGTGTAAGTGTAAGTGAATGTATGTTCTTATTTTTTAAAGGTGCTAATTAGGGCTTTTTTAAAGACTGGGCGTGAAAGATGAAAAATATCTATGGATGAAAATTTTTTATTGTAAATATCGGGCAGTCGGTAAAGAGGGGAATGTTTCAAGTAAGAGGTAGAAGCGTACGGAACGTAAAAAATATTTGTATGTCTAGTGCGAAGGCTTGGGACTTGAAAGAAAATATTACGCAATATGTCCGGGCAGTCAAGTTTGTTATGGAGAATGTCGTAAAAAATCATCATGTCTATTATATCTCTTCTGTCTTCTAGAGTGTTAATATTATGATGTGCACAAGCTTCGTTATAATTATTAGTTTTGTATTGAGTTAAAAAATTTAGTTTCTTTATAAATAGTTTTTGAACTTTTTCCAACCTGTTTATGTGACAAAGGTAGTGTGGCCGCCAGATAGGACTTGCAAACTCAAGAACACTTCGCACATAAGCAAAATATAGAACTTTTAAACATGAGATATCATTGAAAGCGTCAGTAGTGCGGAGCACAAAGCCGAGGGTTTTAAATGCCTTTTGAGTTATATTTTCAATATGAATATTATGTGTTAGTTTGGCGTCATGGGTAACACCTAAGTCGCGTATTTGCTCCGTTTTTGGTATAGTTTGTCCGTTTAATGAGTAGTTATAATCTAGCACACCTTTGAGTTTACGAGTCAGTTGTATAACTTTGCATTTAGCGACATTAACTGAAATTTTGTTTAGTTTATAGTAATTGGATAACCTTAGTAAGTCGTCTTGAAGCTTAAAGCAGTCTTCCAAGCTACAAATTTTTTTATAAATTTTTTTGTCATCTGCGTACAAAACAAAATTGGAGTTATGAAAACAGGTTCTTAAGTCGTACAAATAAATATTGTAAAATAAGGGTCCAAGGTGTGATCCTTGAGGTACGCCGGAGGTAACATTGATAAAGTCCGATTTAAAGCCCCCAAGTGCCACACGTTGACAGCGATTTGTAATATAAGATTCTATCCATCTTAGAAGATTGCCCCTGATACCGACTGAATAAAGCTTCTGTAAAAGTATGAAATGATCCACAGTATCGAATGCCTTTTCAAAATCAGTAAAAATCACATCTATTTGTGTATTATCGTTAATGTCGTTTTTAACGGAATGAGTAAATTCAAGTAGATTACTTATTACACTTCGAGATTTAACAAAACCGTGTTGATTACTAGGTATGCATTGTTTAATGTGACTATAAATATAGTTGTAAATAACTTTCTCCAACATTTTACCGACTATATTTAATATTGAAATACCTCTGTAGTTTATTACATTCATTCTAGAGTCTTTCTTATAAATGGGGGTTAGTTGAGCCTCCTTCCACTGTTTAGGAAAAATTCCTTCATTAATCGAACGCTGAAAAAGTATTAATAACGGCGTTGTGAGGCCAGCTTGACTTCTTTTTAAGAAAACTCCCGGTAAGCCGTCCGTTCCGCAACCCTTTCGATCATCTAAATTTTTGAAAGACGTTTCTAAACATTTTTTATCTATGTGAATTGTGCAAAGGCTACTGGCAACGTCAGATTCTTTTTCTAAGTTCAAATCTCTGTATACAGACGGCTGAAACACACTTTGAAAGTATTCGTTAAAAGCGTTACAAATATCTTGGCCGTTTGTTAGAGGACGTTCCATATAACACATATTGCGAGGAATTCCAGAATCACAACGTTTGCTTTTAACATAATTCCAAAATTCTTTAGGAGACTTTTTTATACCGTCTTGACACCTGGTTATATAATTAGAATATGCTTCAATTTGTAATTTTTTAACCCGTGACCTTAATAAGGAAAAAGTTGCATAATCACTCAATCTTTTAAAATTCTTCCACTTTGTATGATATTTATGTTTTTCTTTCAAAATATTAATTAACGCGGGAGTATACCATTTAGGGTATCGATATCGAGTTGAAACTTTGGCTACTGGAATATGCAAATCTATGAGATTATTAACAATGTGGTAGAAAACATTTACGGCCTCCTCAAACGGAGTAGGAACTAAAATATCGTACCAATTTACAGACAATAGCTTAGAATTTATTGCATCGTAATCACCCTTAAAAAATTTCTTTAGAACTTTAATTTTTGGCGGTAAAGGTTTTAAGAATATATCTTGAATAGTTATCTTTAAGGGAATATGAAATTGGTCAATGTTTACCAAAGAACTCCGAGATGTAGTGCACTGAATAAATAAATTTGATAAGACGAGGTCTAAGGTGTTGCCACGGTTATTTGTAGTTAGGTTATATTGAGATATTCCCATTAAGTCAAAAATATGTAAGAGGTTAATGGCGGCCTCTAGGAGATCGGAATTACAATGTTTCGATACGTAGTAGGTGTGATCCTCCCGCCACGAAATGAAAGGTAAATTGAAGTCGCCTAATACTAGATAGTCATCCATACTATTTATGTCGTAAAAATCTTTTAATGACTTGCTTAGCTCATTAAACAAATAAGTAGCTTCAGTATTTGGAGGTATATAAGAAGCGATAATGTGTAGATTTTTGGGATTGCCCCTCGAGTGATTATTGAAAATCCGGTTAGGAACTGTAAGACAGAGACATTCCACTTGGTTACAGATAAATTTATGAGAAATATGTGCGTTAAGACTTTTTTTAATACATATTAAAACACCGCCGCCTTTTTTCTTATGTGTCCGGTCAAATCTGAATATATCATATCTATTATCACAGATTTCTGTGTTCAGTATTCCATCGCATAACCAACTTTCTGTGATAACAATTATGTCGTAATTATACATTTCGATGTTTCTGTACAGAATGTGCAATTTCGTGCGTAATCCGCGAGTATTCTGATAATAAATATTAAGGTTATGTGTCATATGAGAAATATTAGTTATGTTATATCTAAATATATTGTAAGAAAACGCAGAAAAAAAGCGGGATTACACAAGTTATCACCATAAAACACACCTTTGGTGTAAATGTTGACATTCCTTTTGTTATTATTTATTGTACAACAACATACCACATCAAAACGGTAAACAAAACGAGGAATATTTGAAATTATTTTGCAGGTAGACTCCAATTTAAATACACTAATTAGAAATTGAGTATAAATATTTGCAATACGGAGGGTAGTTTTAAATTGTGTGTGTGTTATAACTTTAAATATAACAAAGATTGTTATCTGTAGAATGACCGACTTCAGAGGTACAGAACATTTTTCCGCGAGTACAGTTAAATGTTTTATGATTTGAATGAGAAATGCGTAAACGGTGTATATATTGAGTATGTACGTGTTAGGCTGGATACGTCTTAACAATGGTTTAAATATTATAAAAAGTAAAGTAAAGTTATGTATTAATACACTTGCACTGACTCTAAAAAAGCACACAAGTCCTCATTAGAAGTGATTGCTTTAGGCGGAGATTTTTCGTTGCGGCGTACGTAAATGATGCAGTTCTTTACCCAAACGAATTTTATATTGTTTTCCTTGGCTCTAAGTTTACACGTGTTAAGGAGGATTTTGTTGGCCACAGTGAGATGCTCGTTGATGAAGATTTTGAAGGACGTATCGGTAAAGCCCAAATCATTTGAATTAATACCTTTCGACTTGTTATGTTTCTTGAAATTAGCCAATAGTTCCTCCTTACAGCTTCTGTTCTTGAGTTTCGCTACAATTTTCTTAGGAAGGCCTTGCTTCTGCTTTGTAGAATGAACTCTCGTTATAAATTCAATATCATCGGCAGCAATATTTGATCCGATAGTAGTGCCAACACACAAGAGTAAGTTGACCAAGTTCTCATTAGACTTTTCAGGAATGCCCACAAGTTCAACGTTCAGGAAACGACATTTTTGTTGACTAACCTTATTCTCTTTATCTAAATTAGCCACGATTTTTTGAAGATTATCAACAATTGCAACGTTCTTTGTATGTTCCTGGTCATACTTTTTTTGTTTATTTTCAAGCGTGATTATTTGGGTCTTAAGGCAGTTAAAATCTTCCTTTAGAGTTTCAACGAGAGATAACTTTGCATCAATGTTCTCTAACCTACTATAGATATCCTCAATAACGTTCATGTTGATCTTCGAAGTCAGTTCATTTAATTCGCTGCGTAATTTATCGACATGATCTGGTAATGTGGTTAGCGGAGTGAGCATATTTTCAATCCTGTTTAGCTGAAATTGATGTGATGTTATGTCGGGTTGGCTAGTCGTAGTTTTAGAACTTCCCACAACATGCACTGGACTTTTTCGACACTCAGGACATATCCACGAGTTCTGCCTTTCGCTTCCAAGTCTGCGCCAACCAACTTCAGACAAACCAACACAAAAATAATGATATGTTTGGCGGCATCCAGAACACAAAGCTCCATCCAAAACGCTTTCGTCACAACGCTTGCACAGTGAATCCATACCAAATGTTGACGACACCTTTACGTTACAATAGGCGAGCGAATGAATAAGTGAACACGTCTGTGTCACACCGGGGTATGACTGTTAATGTATCAAGTATAACAAAATCAAAAGGCGTCGAGCACGACGTGCTTACCGGTTCACACTAATTTTACCTTACCTTTTCAAAGCCCTTCTTCAATAACATCAACGGAGACTCCTTTACGTAGAACAGAAGGAGGACTCCAATAATAGTAATCGTCATACATGTATAGTTCATCGTCTGGTACTCCACCAGACCCCCAAGAAGATAGGATATTAACATCCCGATACCAAAGAACATCATCACGCCAGACGCCATAGCACCACGGATCGACTCTTGACAGAATTCTCCAATATATCTGAACAGACATAATAATATGAAAAATTAAAGAGATAAGTAACTTATATTATATAGTGTTGTTGAGCGCTGTTCGTGGGTACGAGTCCCACCGTTGACAACGAATTTTTCTACTCTAAATAGATTTGTAACTTTAGTAACTTACAAAGGTATCACAAGGAGCGTACAACTAGTGATTCCAGATACTAAGATAGAAATCAGAACCGCTTCCACTGTTTTAAAGGCAACGACGATAACCCAGCTGGACTGAAAAACGACAATTAATTTTGGTTTCTACATAGCATTGACAGTGCCACAGGTTTAAAATGATTTTAACACGTATTTCAAAAATATTCTACTACTACTTTTTACATTGACGGTAGAAAGTCTTACCAATTGTAAGATAGAAAACACAATGCACGTATATTTTCTTCCCAGTCTATCTAATATATAACCAGAGAAAGGAATTGTGATGACTGCGCTGATGGAGGAGAGACTCCCTAAGAGTGACAGCTCTGTTTCCGTCATGACTCTATTTAGTGTTGTGTTCGCTGAGCCGAAGAGAACTAACACCGACGAAGGCCACGTATACATGATCCCCATTGTCATGCACAGGTAGCTCACTGTAAGAAATACAGAAAATAATCAAATGCAACACTTTTAATGGTTTAAAACGCGAAATATATTCGTTAACTTATTTTCTCTAACTACAGCCTTACAAAACAACAAAACAAAGTTTGCCAGATTTAAATAAAACACTTTAACAGTTTAAAACGCGATTTAAATTAGTTGCTTGCTGCAGAGCATCCGAAATGTCATTCCTTATTTTAAATAATTTTCAAACAAGGTTAAAATTTCATAAATTCTTTTAATTTTAAAATATATTTATGTCTATCATTTATTTTTCAAGTCTCTCAATAGCAAATTGTGATACTATTTGCTATTATATCATTAAAAAACAAAATTGTGTCCTTAAAAAAACATAGACTTCATTTTACAATACTGAAGCAAATAAATATCTGCAATATTGTTAAATTATCATAAAAAGTTGTACATCATCATCATAAAAGTCAGTTGTACATTGCAATAAACCAACCAGTAAGAGACCATTCGTGCCAGTGACTCAAGTCTATCTGCTTTTAATAGTAAAGGAGGACAGACAAGTATGGTGTTATCTTGATGGAAGGTGAGATACCTCGGCCATACGACATCTAAATAAAATGCGCTATAATCCATAGAATATTTGGAAATCCACAGATTGAAATCAAAACTATGAGCGACTAAACTTCATGGCTTTCTTTCTGTTGACGGTAGTTCGTGACCCCCACGGAATTTCGATATTCCCATTTAATACCCAGATTTCGAGACAAAGTCCAAAACGAAATATGCATAAATTGATTAGATACATATCGGGGCCGGTAGGGATCGAATCCAGGATCTGTCGATTATTAGCCATACATCATTAGACCGAGGTAACAAAAAAGCCATTAAATTGCGTTTTATATACATTTATATTTTAACTATTACATCGTGTTTCTTTTTGTTTGTTTCCTTGTAGAGTAATTTTTATTATACTTCTATATATAGCAGTAAGTATTAAAAAGTTAAGAGGATGATAAATAAATATATATCATGCGTAGCCGTTGCGTCTCTTCAAGTATTTACAATCTCACTCAAATGGAAGGTGTAAAATGTGAGATAACATATTTTCTTGTTTGTATTGTTTATTTTGTATTTTATTGTGCTGTGCTATAAAAATCTCAAGGGATTAAGATTAGACGGAGTAATTGTGTTGTACTATCAAAATAAATATTAGTACTTATGATGCTGGCTCACAAAATTACGGAAAACATCTAAATCCCATACTCATAATGTATCTATTACATTATTTTATAAGATAATAAAATTATGTTCTATCTATAAATACTTCACTATATATTTCGTAGCAACCCCTACAAAGGATGAGTCCGTAGCATTAACAAACGCGTAGCGCTACGGCGTAGATATTACTATTTTATTGTTTTACTGTCAATGAATGCTTCGACAAATGTCAACGTTATACTCAATGTATGGCTGATCTAAAGGGTAAAGGTTTGATTCCCATCTAACAGGTCTAACAGTTTTCTAATTAATAAAGAATTTTTTCAAACATTTCGTCTTGTACTACGTCTGGAAATCTGGATATTAAATGTAAGCTAGGATTATCGAAATTCCGCCCGAGCCTACAAACAATCGTCCACGGATAAGAAAACTGTCAAGTTTAACGGAGTTGCGGTTTCAGCCTGTTTCCAAATATCCAAAGCCAAAATAGATCGAAAGCTCATTTTGTTAGGGCTGTGGTATTTTACCGACCATAACGTGAACCCATCCTTGTCTGTCTTCCTCTATCATAAAGAACAACGTTACATGTATAATATTACCGTTTTCTTCATCGTACCGTATTAGCACATTATTATCACACCATTTTCAACATTTTGTGCAAAATATATTTTTACTGCATCTACAATATGAGCTCTGGTAATCAGGTCAGGTCTTACAATTCTATTTAAGTAAAATTCCGTGGGGCTGGGGCAAACACATTGACCGTGTCCGTTTTACTCATCGGTTTTTTTAGGCAAATTAGTAGATCAGACTTCTATGCCCTAACTGATAGAAGCAATCTTTTCTTTATTTTTCGTATTTCGAACCCAGGATCACTTGCGCTAAAAAGATTTAGCTACTTAAGCGGTCAATTCTAATAAGTAATTATTTATTTAAAATATAAAAATGATTAGCTGAATTTGTTGCTGAGCGTAAATTTCATAAACAACTAAACAGATTCCGCTAAATTTCTTTCTATAATATTCCTTCATGTACGTAAACATTTCTTATTCATAGAAAATACAAAAAAATACTAAAAACGTGTAAAACAACAGTTTTCTATTTTTCATTTATAATTTCAAATCGATAGTGCGAAGGAAATAATTGAGTGACGACAGTGTCGTATACATATTGCTGTCAATATTTACACGATGGTAACTCAAAAACATCTTCTTACAATACTAACAAAATTTGCGCTATATTAAACACACAATGGAAAACTTAATTAGACTTTGTTTTTTTGTATTTTATACTATTCATCGCTTTAGGCGTCAAATAGGTACGAAGTAGAGTGTTAAAATGTAAAACGGATTAACACCGCGTAGCTTAACAGAACCTTAAATAACCATTCTACTATTGACTTATGCAAATTGTCGGAAAATGTAATCTACTTTAATTTTGACGTTTAAAAATCATTTTTTGTTTGAATACTTACCAACACCAGATGCAAGAACTTGGTTTATAATAGCCATTTTTGGTATTCCAAACAATATTGAATAAGATCAGACAAGACAACACTTCTAGATCAAAAACGCAAGCGTCTAATTCAAATCGCACAGAATGGAGAAGTGATATACAGATATTTAAAGGAATAATCCACTTACGTTGACGCTATAAATCTGACTATAAACATAATTTGACTATGCGATTAATATTTTTTTAAGATCGACGCGTTAGTTTAGCTACGTATGAATAATAATCAACAAATCGTGGGTTCGATCCTCATGTAGTTTCATCCATTTATCTAATCGATTTATAATTTATTATTGGTTGGGATGTTTCACCTACCATCACGTGAACCTCAAGCTCGTCTGTCTTCCTCTATCATAAAAAAGCTTTTAAATAAAATACTTTAACGATATAAACTTATTTGAATAAGTTTAACTAATATATCGCGTTTTAAACCGTTAAAGTGTTTTATTTAAATGTGTACTACTCGCATAAACTATAAACAGTATATAAAAAAGCTTATTAGCTTTTTTATATTAGCTTTGGCGATTAGGCGGCTTTTTCATTTGGGGGTCGGGACTTTGAAAGGATTTCGGCATAATGTCTACAGCCTAAATATACTCATGTACTGAAATCCTGACATTTCTATATAGTATACACACTTCTCTTTCATAAGACTTATACACATTTTCTTTGAGAAATCGCCCTGTGTGGACCCACCACGGGGAAGAACAGGGGCGGGAAAACTTTTTGCGGTTTTAAAATAAAACAAAGCCGGTCAAGGCAAGACTACAAATCTAAAAGTTTAAAAACATTGTTTTTTGAAACTAAAATATATATTTTTTTTTACTTCTATACTTTTTCATATTAAAAAAAATTGTCACCTTAGCAGTATTGTTATAAAAAGTACTCGATTTTTATGTTTTAAGTGTAGATAAAATATTTTAGGTTCAAAATAATATGGTATAATTTGAATTTTTGATGTTAACATTTTTTGTGAACTTCGGCGGCCGGTTACAATTTGTGACTGGCCGGATTCGGCCCGCGAGGCGTAGTTTGCCCGTCCCTGGGAAAGAACAATTAGAGGGGAGATTCTGGGACTCGGAACTCACAACTACCCAATAAAACTTTTGATTTAACGCCTAACAAGTATAGGGTAACCTGGAAAATCTCTCCGAACCCCCATAATCTAAAGAACTCTACTGAGTCCGTTTATCAGATCAGCAGGTCACCCTGACTACAGAAACTACTCAGACTTGACAATAAAAGTATTGTCTTCCCAGCCCAATGAAAAGTATTATATTTCCCAGGGATAGAACCTCTCAATCAAAGAAGCGCAATGTTACAATTCACTAGCAGTAAGAGACAAAGATGATGAAACTAACTTAAGCCTCTCCGTATTTATTTGCTTACCATATAAATTATAAACTATTTCATCAGATCTATCTGATTTAACACCAGAAGTTCTAATACCGCAAAACATTGCAATAATAAAACCCAGGATTGTTTGCTAGCCGCAGCAGAAAGTACCATGCGTTATAAATATTATAAATTAATTAGGATTTTTATTGATAAGGATTTTTTGTTTTGGATTATAATAAGTAATTCAATATTAACTACATTAGATTGTACCAAATTTTTCATTTTAACGGTACCCAAAAGGTAGACAACCTTTATAACTAAATGGTTAAAGTGTTGCGTTAAGCGCCAAAGGACCTGGGTTCGATGTGCGGCAACGATAGATTATATTTACCGGTCAGGCCGCGGAAGTCTGATCAAATTGCCTGTAAATGAACTGATCACTGAAACGAACACAGAAAATCTAAACACCGAGATAGCATGTATCATAAGTTTCACTATGCCCTTATGTATTTCTGTTGCCACAATGACAACATATATTAAACCTATATAAATGTCATTTTACCCGTAGCTACATGACGACAAATATTAAAAGGAAGGCTAGTTAGTTCAAATAGTAACATAGTTGCAAAAGGTCCTTAGTATCCGAATACAACTCGCTAGTTTATTTTACATAAACAAAACTATATTTTATGGAGTATGCACATTGAAATAAAAGGCGAATATCTTAGCTTGTTATACACCGCTATCCTTTGCTTTTATAACTTTATTACATTTACTTTCAGTTTTGTGAGATTTAAGATAACATAGGAAAAACATAGGTTTTTTTTAAACCTAAGTTATATTTTTTCTTTCCTCCTTCACATTTCCATGTATACATTAATGGCAAAAAATATATCAACATAAATTACTCCTAAATCTATACTAATATATAAAGCTGAAGAGGTTATTTGTTTGAACGCGTTAATCTCAGGAGTTACGGATTCGAATTGAAAGTTCTTTTCGTGTTGGTTAGAGCATTTATCAATGAAGGCTATTAAATATAGTCCTGTGACTGATACAAGGGAAAATACATCGAGAAATGTGTAAAATATTGAGAAAATTATCAGTATGGGTTTCCGAGACGTCTACCTCCACTGCATTAACGGCTCAAGATACCAAAAAATATGTAGAAAGAATGATTCTTACAAAGTCCGCGGCGCTATATGTCTATATTTTTAGGTTAATTTGCAAAAACGACGGAACGCGGACGATGTCGTGGGTAACAGGTAAAAGTTACGTAGATGAGAAGGAGGTTTGCAAAAACAAACTTGATGCCCAAAATAACTATTTTATATGCGACCGAAGTCGCAGGCACGTTTCGCGTTTTAAACCGTTAAAGAGATTAAATAAAATGTTAACTAGAGACAATACTCTCTTATAAATGGTACTAATTTAAGAACCTTTTTGCTTTTTGATAATGGAAATTATCTTCGCACGTTGATAACTTCTAGGGTTTATTTAAATTGTTAGGTATCCAAGGAAAGGTGAATTCTTAACATCATCTGCCCATATGCATCAGATGGGTAACGTCTGGAAAATTAAAAAAAAAATACATTTTATTGCACATAATGGTATGATATAAATGAAAAATCTATGTAATCGAAAAAAAAAACACAGGCAAAACTCCATTCACGGCGTTCCGTCCTGGTGCCCGTGTTGAGCTACCGTGTTTACGAACCGATAGCTTAAATTTTAATTTACAACGGCTTGTCTGTTCCAGCTATTAAAACTATTATTATTACTTCAAAATTCGAAAGAGCTATCATACTTTAGGTCCCACGACATACTTCATACACAAACAGTTGTGTGTTCGAAAACAAGTACTAATGAAATCGCTCTTTGAAAGTAATTTTTTATTATAGTCAAAGTAAGCATAATGTACGATTAGGAACAGACAATTCGCCCCCACTATTTCATCATGGCTTTATTTGTCTTATGACACACATCACGAGAAAGATATTTAATAAAATATTTAAATGCAATTCAAACAGAAACATAATCCAATGATCTTTGCCAGTTATAAATTAATTAAATACGTAACCACAATACGTAATTATCTTGGTTACACAAATATTTCTGGTTTTCATTTTATAAATAACATGTGAAACTATCAGTTGGGTGAAAAGGGTTGATCTATTTTTTACAAAATGGGTATTAAGAACCAAGTTTTGGCATCGATTGTGGGTAAGGAGTATTTTAAAACATAAAGTAAAGCACATCCATATTAAAAAATATTTAATTTATTATATAATTAAATAATATGTTATTTTACTCATAACATTAAATGCATCATGTGAAAAATAACTAAGTTTCAAACTTTTATATATGACATTTGTAATATGAAATTTAACGTCTGTTTTTAATTTACGCGAGTAGAGCACAATTAATAAAATACTATTAGGTTTAAAACGCGATATATATTAGTTAAACTTATTTGGAGATTATCCAATGAAGTCTCCCCGTGACAACGGCTGCTGTAAATGGATAGATTCGATGGGGCATTCGAAACTTATTTTAAAATAATTCCAATAAAATAACAACTTATCGCGTTTTAACCAGTTAAAGTCTTTATCTAAATTAACATCGTGCGTTAACTTAAAATTATATCGCGTTACCTTTAAAAAATACAAACCTATTTTGTGCGATATAAAATATTTATTTTGGTGTCAAAAGTAATGGGTTCGTGTATAATAAATCTTCTTGGAACTTTTAGTGAGCTACCTCTGCCTTACCACTGGAATGATATCCACATGGGCGTCATCAGTGATAAATTTGTTTTCTTCTGAAAATACGACGCTAAATCGACCCATGACGGACACCGAAGTATCCCTACTTGGAGGGTTACCGTCCGCCGCTTCTCTCTTCACAATCCCCTTATCTGGAATTTTTCTGGACTATTTTGGAAGAAAGTACACTTGCATAATTATCTCCTTATTCCAAGTGGTATGGGAGTTATTTCTTTGATGCTAGTATTAACATTTTTGCAACACATCTTAATAGTATAAGCTGGCAGTTGGGCCGCATAAATAGACTTTGTACTAAAAGTGAAATCTGATTCCCCTGATGGGGCATGGGGCGAAAACACTTCTGTGTCCGTTTGGTTTACCGGTTTTATTTACAGACATGTAGTTGTGAGTGTATGTGCCCTGCCCAATCGAAACTGTATTGTTTTCTCGTGATATCGAACCTAAGACTTTTTGCGTTTGATGCAATACTAGGCAACACGTTTAACCATTTAGTTACAGAGGTGGCAGTGTACCAAGCTGGTCAATTATTTTCATTGCAAACCGAATTAATACGTGCCGCTTACGACAGCTTCTTATGCCTGCCATAAGAAGCTGTCGTAATTTTATCTGCATTATATTTATAAGTAACTAAACAATGTATTTCTCTGTCAGCCGCTATTAAAAAAAGACGCTATATGTCTAGCTTTTAGGATTAACTTGCAAGAACGACGGGAAGGGACGCAATCGACGTCGTGGCTAATAACTTAAGTTTATAAAGATGACGGGGTTTGCAAAAACTAATTTGGATGCCCAAAAGAACGATTCTCGCGGACGAAGTCGCTGGTACAGCTAGTTATAATATAAATTGCTACCCTTCGAAGCTTACTTACATTTTTCCTGTTATATGTAAAAAAGCTCTCCTTCCTTTTCACAGGTTGGCTGGTCTGTAATCGTCCTATTTCCTTATGTAGAGGCGGTTTTAATTGGTAACTTTATAAACGGCTTCAGTTTCTGCATGTATATGACTGTGCCAGTTTTCGTCGGGGAATACTGCCAGGAGAATATTCGAGGTAATTATATTTTTTAGTTTTTAATTTTAGTTTAAAGCATTGTTTTATATGTTAATAGCCTATATACTCGTATAGAGAGCTTATTAAAAATTTGAATCAGAGGTCAATTACCTATCAATTTATTCCTAATTAACTTATAGGAATTTGAGGAAATCTATTAATAAATTTATAATCAGTACATATATATACAAAACACTAACACTTAACGGTTTAAAAAGCGAAATGTATTACTCAACTTATTTACTTCAGACCCCCGTAAGTACGGCTGCTGCAAAACATTTGAAGCTATGGCCGTCGTTACAGTAAATTGTTAATAATTTGATTAATATATTTCGCGTTTTAAACCGTTAAAAGTGATTTATTTAAATGTTGTCACGTAAACTACAGACGATAATAAGGAATACATTTATCATTCACAAAGCAATATTTTCAGATAAAATAAATGACACGGGTGGGACTCTAACCCATGATGGGATCGTGGGCTGGAGTCCCACGTTTAGTCTTACCTTTTTTCACACCTTTAGATATTGTTTTCGAATAACTTTCTTCGTACTGAGCAAAGTAGCATTACAATGTGTTTGATTACATAGGAACCATGACTTCAGGAGTGTTATCGCTATTTCCTGTTGGCTGGATGGTCTCCTACCTGATGGGAACCTTAGAGTACAATGTTATGAACTACTCCAGCTTAAGCATGTCAGTGTTCGGGACTCTAATACTCTTCTACATGCACGAATCTCCTTTGCATTTATTGAAAAAAGGATTAGAAAAGGTACTTTTGTAGACGAAAACAGACGAGCGTGAGGGTCACTTAATAGAAGGTGGAATACAATAGCTTTAAAAAATACTATTTTGGCTTTGGATATTCGGAAATCCAAAAATTGAAACCAAAACATGAATAAACTTCACGGCTTTTTCTCCTGTAGACGATGTTTCGTGACCCTAACGGAATTAAATTATTACTATAACCTATTAAATATTAAGATTTACAGACGAAATCCAACATGTTTCAGACAAATTATCGAACCCACGACCTGTTGTTTATTAGCCTGCTCTATTCTGCGTCCACTCACAATAACTACATTTATATCGAATACTGTCTATAGTTTACGCGAGTAGTACACATTTAAATAAAACACTTTAACGGTTTAAAACGCGATATATTAGTTTAACTAATATATCGCGTTTTAAGCCGTTAAAGTGTTTTATTTAAATACATTTATATCGGTTCAAATATTCTATTCAATCAGTTGATATTAGACAATGAAAATTATTCATAAAACAGTTAAAAGTAAACTAGATTAGATTGCGCGAGAGGTGCATGTATATTGTAAAAAATCGACAATGAGGACGTATGATGTAGGACTCGGTAGCTCAATTGGTTAGAGCAACAGCACGGAACGCTGAGAATACCAGTTCAAGTCCTGCCCGAGTTGTATTTTTTTTTCAATTTATCATCGATTTTTAAGTTATGTAGTAATGTAGTTAGTTTGTAGGAGGCAGCTGAATCGATAGCGCACTACAGAGGAGTAAAAGTAGATTCGAAAGAAGTTCAGCAAGAGATAGAAAATATCAAACGTACATTAAACCCGGAGTTAGATGGTAAGTGAAATGATCATTTCAGGTTATATAACGTTAGAAAAAGATGTTTTTTTTTATTTAATCAACGAATTAATGCCAGTTTTATCAATGTAACTAAGCTTTCTTTAAGATAGAGGAGGACAGCGAGCATGGGGTTACTTGACTCCACAGAAAAAGAAAACGCGAATAAACTTCGGGACGGACTTTCGTGATTCAGACGGAATTCGATGTTCCTACCACCAACAAGCAATGGCAAACTTTTTTTTTAGTTGGTTTTTTTGTTTTTCTGCCATATGAAGTATTTCGACAAAATTTGAATACCATAAAAACGATTCTTTCTCATTTTTAATTCGAACTAGTTCCTAAGATTAGCGCGTGCAAACTTCAAACAAACAAACTCTGAATATATAATACTAGCTGTGTCAGCGACTTCGTCCGCGAATATCGTTATTTTGGGCATCAAAATCCGTTTTTGCAAACCGCTGCTGTTACCCACGACGTCGGTCACATTCTTTCCCGTCATTCTTGCAAGTTAATCTTAAAAGATAGACATATAGGGTAACGACTTTTTTAGAATACTTAAAAGGTACTTTTTTTTTGAACGATTTTATGGGTATCTTGAACCGTATTTACAGCGTACGCCTCGGAAATCCATAATGAAAAAATTTCCCAATTTTTTTCACATTTTACGCTTGTATTAGTCACAGGGCAATGTTTATATATAGTCCTTGATAAATGCTCAAACTAACCAAAAAAAAACTTTTTCAATTCGAACTCGTAGTTGCTGGGATTAGCGCGTCCAAACGAACAAATCAACAATAAATGCTTCTTCAGCTTTATATATTAGTACAGATATAAAGTACTAATTTTTACTCTATTGTTTTCAGATGCAACACCAGAATTGGAGAAACTACAGCCTGATTTACAAAAGAGAGAAAAGCTTACTACATGGCAATTCTTGAGTAAGTATTACCATTTTGTATTTTCGGTTTTGTTTATTCTTATTAAATAATACCAACAATATGTATAATATATACGGAGAATTTAAAATTACCCATCAATTGTTTATAGAGAAATCGCGGTCTACGCGTCGTGCATTAGTCCTGTCGTTGGCGCTGTTTGCAGCTGCCGTCTTCCAAGGACAGGTCGTGGTGCAGGTGTACGCAGAACCTCTGTTCGCCATGGCGGTTCCCAGCATGTCGACTACTGTCGCGAGTGTCATATTTGCTGTAGTCAATATATTTGCTGCTCTTCTCGTTGCTGTTGTTATTGATCGTTTAGGCAGACGAGTAAGTATACAGTATCTTAATAAAAAGCAGTTAAGCAAAGACACTAAATGTATTATAGAGACAGCACGGAAGCTGTGGATGCCGTTTAAGTCCTGCCCGTATCGTAATTTTTATTTGGTGAAGTGATTACGTGAGTACAAAGTAGTTTTATTCTTGAAATTTCCAGCTTTGAAAGCATATTTTTTTCTTGTCCTGAGCTTTTTGTAATACAGACATTTACAAAATTAACAAAATATACGTCGTAGAATTGTTGAATATTTAAATAAAACACTTTAACGGTTTAAAACGCGATATATTAGTAAAAACTAATTTGAAAATCATTTTTAACTTCGGCCCAACGTTTCGCATGCTTTGCAGTAGGCTTGGTCACGTCGGGCCGAAGTTAAAAACCGTCACGGTAAAAATTGTGCTCTTGTCTCTTCTCTTAGCTTTTAAGACAAGATATCGTCCGATCGAGGCAATTTAAAATAAAATTTAGGTACCTTTTTGTATGATTCCTCATTGCCATCAAGTTTTGGTTTATACAATTGTTTAAATGTTTCCAATTCACCGACTGCCCGACGTTTCGCATGCTTTGCAGTAGGCTTGGTCACGTCGGGCCGAAGTTAAAAATCATTGTCAAATTAGTTCAACTAATGTATCGCGTTTTAAACCGTTAAAGTGTTTTATTTGAATGTGTACTGCTCGCGTAAACTATAGACAGTGTTGAATATTTATCAAAATAGCAAATATATTGATCAGCTTAATTGGTACATGGCACGCTATGATCGTAGGTTCGAGTTTGTCCGGGTTTCATTTATACATATTAAGTTTGTAATTATCTTTATTTATTTAATATTATAGAAGCGTTATGCCTGTATAGAGAAATCGTCAAAGTTGTTTTATTTTCAGCCATTGATGATCTACTCTTCTCTGTTTACGGCGGTCTTCGCGGCGTTGCTAGGGTCTCTAATACAGTTATCATGGGCACCCAACTGGGTGACTGCCATCATTATTTACCTTTTCTGTTTTACATATACTACGGGCGCTGGAACTATACCATATACTATGAATGCAGAATTATTTTTACCAGAGGCGAGTTAAATTATTTAATCAATTTAATTAAATTAATATACTATTAAATACATAAGTTTTTCAAGTCAATAAATAAAAATCGAAAAGTAACAGAAATTAAACTTCTATTTCCAGATTAAAAATTTTGCAACGATAGCATCGGTAGAGTTTTCCTTCCTTGGATTTTTCGTTGTATTATTTATCTTCCATCCTGTCGTGTCCGTATTGGGTAAGTAATTCTTAAGTGATTAGTGTTGATACACGATTAATCAATTGAATTCTTTGTGAAATTGGGTTAGATCTTAACAAATATGTTTTTTAGGTCTGGGACCATTATTTTACATATTCTCGGGAACTTGTGTGGCCACAGCAATATTCTGTTCATTCTTCTTGCCAGAGACTAAAGGACTCACGGTGGACGTTATTCAACTCCAATTCTATAATCCACGATCTCATAATAATGTATAAGTGATATTAAAAAAAACGTGTAGGTAACCTAAGGAAACTTCACTACTGTGTTCAGGAAGTGCAAGATTCGTGAAGTTCGAAACTATGATTTGTGCTGCTTTTGTTTATGAAATCTTAGTTCGACAGCTTAATCATAAAATTTAGCTTTATTTTTATAAACTCGAAAAAGAAGATGTACATTGATATTGCGTTACGAATTTATTCTTATTCTTTGTGATTCATCCATTTTAACTTATATTTTATATACACAATATTTTAATTTCGTGTGTGTATATTAAGAAGGTGGGCTTAAATTTTATATACTACCTAATGGAAAACAACAGATAATATTAAGTTAGCGCTTTTGTAAATTAATACACTTAACAACATATGTCATTTGTTTAAGAATAAAATAGTATGACGTTTAGTTTTATGATTATTTAAACAAGGATTATAAACAGCTAATGTTACATTTGGAAGTTTTATTTACATAATGTACTTATCTCGCAAAGACATATTACTAAGTAAAGATATATTACTCTCTTAGTTAGTGTGTGTGAATGAGTGTACCGAAAGCAAATAAAGCAGTTATTTCTGCTAAAAATGTAGGTATGACTTTTTTTGATGTATCCGTAATTCGAAGAAAAAACGCGTCTGGGTAAATATGTGATCATTATCTATCATCGTTAGTCATTCTTGCCAGTTGTGAATTTTTTTGACAGATTAAAAATTTAATGACCATCTGTCAGTTTGGGTGTATGTGTATCTGTTATAACTAATTCAACAAATAACAAAACAAAACTATTTACAAAATATTATGCTAACGCAGGATCCAGTATTTATTTCAATTCATTGAATCAAAAAATTGGTAATTGTTGTGTAAGTGTATAAAATTTTTTTGGCTTCGAAAATTTCCCTTTCTCTTAAAATTTAAACGAAACAAAATGTTCGAAGTCAAAAGAGAAAATAAAAGTGTTGAGACTAAGGACAACAGTTTAAAAGAAACACTTCAGGTTCATGAAGATCAGGTTAAAATTAATATCGACTTAAAAGACCGCTTGAAAAAATACATCAGAAAACTAGAGGGTGAGAAAATAATTACAAGGAAATTTAATAATATACATATCAAAACTAACTAATAATTTTACTGGACTATTATTTCTAGATACAGGATCAAGTATAACTAAGGAAGAAAGCAAAAAAATTGAATTGGAAACATTTAAACAATTGTATAAACCAAAACTTGATGGCAATGAGGAATCATACAAAAAGGTACCCAAATTTTATTTTAAATTGCCTCGATCGGACGATATCTTGTCTCAAAAGCTAAGAGAAGAGACAAGAGCACAATTTTTACAGAAGAAAAGTAAGGAATTGCTTGATAATGGAGAGCTAAAGCATTTGTGGAGCTTGCTTGAGAAGTCTAATGGTAGTTACAGTATGGCTAATACCGATGAGTTGACCATTGACTATCATCAGTTTAGGAAGATAAGGGATGAAGCTGGACCTAAGTACAGGTAGGATGCAATACCTTCATTTTGTTTATAGGAATATTTGTATATATTTTTTTTAATGTATAAAACCTAAAATCAAAATACTTTTCAGACCATATTTCTCAGCAGAAGTCTTTGGTAGATTACAAGCAGCGGAAGGTGGAGTTGGGCGTGTTAAAGGTGTGTCTCTGTTTAACTATGTTATGCGACGTGTGTGGCTTCAGCAGACTAGGATTGGGCTCTCATTGTATGATGTTACTGGACAGGGATATTTGACTGAACATGTAAGTATTGACTTGACTCTTATGCAATTTAAAGAAATTCTTAAAAAAACTATTAGGTACGTGCAAGACATATGTTTCCTCTTTTACAATCTTCTGTTAACTAAGAGTTGTTTCCACTTCATAAGGACATGTATACTGTATAATATTTAAAACATAAATATAGAATGACTTATTTTATTTAAGAATATTTGTATTATTAAATTTTCTTAAGATGTGAGATGTAAATAATTTGTCATTTATTTATAGACGGCTTCCATATATTACCTATTTTATTGTCAATTAATCTTTCAGGATTTAGAGAGCTACATAGCGGAACTTGTGCCATCTCTTGCTGCATTAGACGGCCTGGATTCATCTTTCACATCTTTCTATGTTTGCACGGCAGCTAGAAAGTTCTTATTCTTTCTAGATCCGTTACGTGTAGGCAGAGTCAGGATACGCGATGTGCTTTCGTGTTCCTTTCTTGATGATTTGTTAGAGGTTAGTTACTTTAGCACAGAATTTAAAAAAGGAAATCATGTTATTTGTCTAAAATACAACCACTTGATTAAATAAAAAGATGACTTATTAGCTCAGAGAGGAGGACTTACCAATGGAACTACAAGAACAGAATTGGTTCAGTGCAGCATCTGCACTTCGTGTTTATGGACAATACCTCAATCTGGATAGAGACCACAATGGAATGCTTAGTATCAATGAATTGGCTGGGTAAGTACTATAGTAAATATGTTCCTAATAATGAAGCAGAATCTATTTTGTATGAGTTTTGATTATTTGTGTGAAACATACATTCAACTATGTATGACTAATAACGGGTCGTGGGTGCGATCCGCATAGGGTCCAACATTTTTCTAATCAATTTTTTTCGGAAACATGTTGATTTATTTATAAATCTGGATATTAAATGGTAGAAATATCCAAATTCGGTCCTGGTCACGAACCACCGTGCATAAATGAAAAAGCCATCGAATTTAATCGCGTTTCGATTTCAGTCTGTGGATTTCCGATTATCCAAAGCCAAAATAGTTCAACAGTATTTTGTTTATATGTTATATGGCTGGTATATTTCGTCTACCATTAAGTGAATGCCATGCCTGTCTTCCCATGCTAGTGCCTTTACAACTAAATTTGTATTAGTATGTTTGGTGTTACATAATAATATTTAAACTCTTATTCCAGGTTTGGTTCGGGCACGTTAACACGAGCATTCCTACAACGAGTTTTCCAACAGTGCCTCACATATGATGGTGAAATGGATTACAAAACTTATTTAGACCTGGTTTTGGCTTTAGAGAATAGGCGACAACCGGCTGCGTTAGCTTATCTCTTTCGAGTGCTGGACATAAACTCCCAGGGGTATCTAGATGCCTTTACGCTGAATTACTTTTTTAAGGTAATCCGATTACAGTATGTGACCTAACTGAAATGTATTTCAAGCAATCATATAATAGAAAGGCTCAAAATGTCTTTTATTCCTCCGAAGCTCTTCAAATCTCCCTCTCCCCACCAAATCCTAGTTTTTAAACCCAAAATTTGCAAAAGCTTATTTCATTTTTTTACTAAAATGTGTGTATTCTGAAATTTACAGGCAATCCAAGAACAAATGATAGCACACGGCGCAGAACCGGTCAACTTTGACGATGTGAAGGATGAAATTTTCGACATGATACGTCCCGAACACCCATCAAGAATAACATTGCAAGACCTCATTAGAAGCGGTCAAGGCCACACGGCTGTCTCCATTCTTCTGGAGCTACACGGCTTTTGGGCTTACGAAAACCGGGAGGCGTTAGCGGCCGCTGGAGATCATTCTTGACCTTTGACTATGAAGGAAGATATAATTGAAACCTTAAGGAAGAAAATCTCAATCAACTGATTGCTAACGGCCCTGATCGGAAACGATAGCTAGAATAGGTGGGAATTTAAACAGATTCTAGGTCATTGGTCATAAAAAATCGAATATGGGATAACAAGTTTATTTAAAATGTTCAAAAATATACATAGTTTAAAACCGCTAAATGCAATAACATGTGTATAGTGAATATATTATTTGTACTTTTGCGAACACTATCTTTTGTTTATCTAACTTCTAAAATGGAAGACTAAACTAATTTAGTTAACGTTAAACTAGTCACGCTGTTAATGTATCAAATATGGCACTAAGACGGTAAAATATAAAATTGATTTTATCAAATGCATTTAAAGTTAAACATTGTGCTACAAATAAAGAATATAAATATATCATTTTTGCTCTTACTACCTAAATACCGACTGTCTATTACAGAACACTAAAGTACACATCCACATACACAAGTTTTTGGATAAAACAGTTTTAACGGTTTATAACGCGAAAACAATGCTTGGGCCTCCGTGACCATAACTTCTGCAAAGCAATCGAAACATCAGTTCCTCGTAAATTTACATTGCAATAATATATTTTGCGTTTAATCCCGTTAAAACCGTTCTATTTTAATGTAAACTACAGAAAAATTATCTAAGTATATTATTGCAGAAACCTCACTATTACTATTATCTAAGTAGACTCTTGTGCGCTACGATATTCGAACACACTGCCTCTCTCGATGAAATGACTAAATTCTGTGTGTTGTTGTGCGTGACTGTCATTATTTCCTGATGGACCGTATCCACCACCGCCCGGAGAGTTCATAATGTATTTATCCTGTAATATATAAGTAACATGATAGAATGGCATTAGTTAGTTGCCGCTCTAACCCGGCTCGAAGGACCAATAACTATTTCTGCACTTACGCCTGGATAAGCTTCGATAGACGCTTTACCACCAAGATTTATGAGTCGTCCGTTAACTCTTTGCAGCAAGTTTAGGCCTCTAGCACCCGATTCGCCACCTAAAATATGTTTAATATTTAAACTGTGCTATTACTGAAAAGATTTCTTTTGGGCTAAGATATTTTTCTTATTAAATATACCAATTGTTACAATTCTCTCACCATTCATCCCATATGGCTGGAAGACTCTTCTCTCAGTTAGAGCCGACAATTGAACAGTCCTTCTGAATACCAGCTCCCGGACTACGCCGTCACCACCTCGCCATTGACCTGAGTACATTGCTTACAATGATTAAAACTGTTTTACTCGTTAAAATGACAAATTTTGGTTTTTATGATACATTCTTGTTAGAATTAGGGATTTATTTAAGAACACGATTAAAGTTTTAAAATAACAATATTGCTGTTCTATCTTTGGTAGTTCCATTTTTTAAATATATATTAGTGATATTCAATAAGCAACCCAGTTCTGGTAGACTAGAACCAAGGAAGTTAGGCCCTAGCTGGAAGATTATTAGGGATATGATAGAAAAGTATTTTACTATTACCCACCATTTCCTCCAGAAGCAGGTCTTAGCGAGAACGCAGTAACGAGTATGGGGTATCTGGTCTCCACTATCTCCAAATCGGTGATCCTGGTGTTAGTCATGTGTGTATGCACACCGCCTGTGCCGTGCCAACCTGGACCCTTGGATTAAATAAAATGATGTAGTAATATTTGAAATGCAAATAATCTTTTTTATAATAGGATTTATAAGTTATAACATAATTAGTGACTTAGTTTTTGAAAGCTTTGAATCTATAAAAGACGGAAACAAAATGTCAAAGGCGGTATGAAACATTGTTTTTATTATATGTAAAAATTTAGAGCGGGCTTGGTTTCCTAGATGAGAAAAATAGCTGCTTCCCTTTCTCCAAAACTGAGGTGCAATGTGTGTAGATATAGAAAAAAATATATAGGAAGCGTAGGTTCTTATTTTGGCATTGGATATTCGGAATCTACAGACTAACACGATTAAACTTCCCGACTTGACCCTAAAAAGTAGTATGTATTCGGGTATTGTTACTTACTGCTCCACTACCTCCCGCCACCGTTTCGTAATATCCCCAGTCACTTTCACCAATAGTCAAGTTGTTCATACAACCTTGTGAGGCTGCACACACCTTGAATATAAACAAAATATTGAAACCTAAAAAATTACCCAAGAGAAGAAGAATTGTAAATGTTTAAAGTGGCTATTGTGATCGCAAAAAAATACATTATTTGCTGCATAGGCGCCTTCTTAATTTTTATTTTATTGTGTTGTTTTTTTAAGCGGTAACAAAATTACAAATAGATTCCGTTTTCTATTCATTGGTACCTCAATAAAATCGTCTATATTATACATTTTTTAAAGCATCACAATTCATAGAGGACACGATATTGTACAACAAAATTGCTAAAACAGACACACATACATATCTTTGCTATGTAGTATATTTATTAATAGCTGTATACGGCTAAAAATACTTGTATCACAAAATTGTACCTGGAAAGCCTTCAGAACTACGTCGACAATACGCTGTGACGTCAGAACGTTTCCACCTACGACCGCCGCTTCTTCGGATGGATCGAGAATGGAGTTCTGTGGTATTACCACTTCCACTGGATTCAAACAACCCTGTAAGTACATTTCACATACATGAACACACGACTAACTAAACGAAACATAATTGATTCTCGAAAGTGTGTTTAGCTATAAGATAAACAAACGAATAAAGACATTCTGTCAAGAATATATCTCGCACCAACACGCGAAAAATATTGATGTAAAATGATTTCCTACATTTGTAAAGCATAAGACATCGATCCTGTTGTTGAAATCACATTGCGAGACATGTATCGATAGCACGAAAAAATTCGACGATGAAGTGTAGGACTCGGTAGCTCAATGGTTAGAGCACGGAATGGTGTGGATACCGACTCAAGTCCTGCACATGTCGTAATTTTTTTTCAATCTATAATCGATGTTTATATTTATATAAATATTATGTTAGTTTTGAGATCTCATTAAATGTACTAAACTTGAAAATATTAAGACACACTTACTGCACGTTTTCTATAAGAACATAATAGAGATTTCTTTTTTTAGTTAAACTCAGGAAAATACCTATATTACGTCAGTTGAGAATTAAATGATGAATAGGGAAAACAGCCTTGCTTCAAATTAACCTAAGTAACAATGTTTATTTACCTGATTTAATGGTACATCATGCCCCACCATGCATCTCAGGCAGTAAATGATCGCTGAGAGAGTAATAGCTCTTGGTGCATTCAGATTACCCCAAACTTCGACACCTGTACCCCTAAAAGCGTACGTGGATTATTAGTTTCACAAGAATAGAGAAAATTGTTTTTTTATGAGACTATGCTAATTACTATGCAACATTGTTTTACGAATTTATTTCCGTGGCTTCTTATAAGAACTGCCTTACTGTACACATTTAAGTAAAATACCTTAACGGTTTAAAATGCGATATACTTAGAAAATTTGGGCCGTAGTTCAAATAAGATTGTCCATGTATTTCCAAATAAGATCGTCCAAGTAATAAATATCGCGTTTTGAACAGTTAAAGTATTTTATTTAAAAAAAAAAGCGAATCGCTTGATTTATTTATCCTAGTTTATCTAGTAGTTGGTAAGTTTCACTGCATATTATGACATTTTTAGATCATACATTAGGACATTAATTAAAACAAAAACACGAAAGTCTGATAAAGTATTCGATAAAAAAAGCAATATTTTCTTTCACCAGGTTTCGAACTATGGACCCTTAATTCTTATAGCGTTAAGCTATAGTATATATTATAATAAAGGCTTACGTAAAGTCACAAACTGCCGATCCGTTGTCTTTATCCAAAGTGACCGTTAGCACTATGGGGGTACCGTTATCCATGTATTCGGTTGCCTTTAGAACCATAGAGCCTGTGTTTTCGAGAGCCTTGCGTGCGATTTCCTGAAATCACAACATGTTTTTATGTTTATAATAAAAATATAATTTTAAGCCTCTCACTATCTATATCTATAATATCTCAATAATGTTATGTTGTATTTCAGTCTATAGCTAACCGTTAAGAGTTTAATTAAAATATGCTATATATTTATTTCTTTATTTATTTCACTAGCAACCAAAGTTAATGCGTGAGAATTCGAATTTCTTTGAAGATAAGTCTAAAAGGTTAAGTGAAGGAGCCGTACACTTATGTAGAACACCTACCTTTAGCATATCTCTAACAGCTAACTCTGCGTTCCTCTGTATATGCGCCATGTATGCTTGAACCACTTTTAAACTGTATTCATCAATCAATTCGCCAACTAGCTGAATACCCTGCAAATGCACGAAATATAAAATCACTTTTACTTAAAATAGCAGATGCTTGAAATCTATACTTTTATTTACGTTTCGGATCGGAAGAATCGGGTTTGGTCACAGGAAGCTTTTATTAATTAAACAATTCCGCGTTTTATACCGTTAAAAGTGTTTTACTTAAGTCTGGACTACAAGTGTAAATTAAACTTTCAAGTAAAATTTTTACTTTTTTATTAGAGTATTCAGTTTCGTTGAATTTAACAAAATATGCCAAAATGTCATCTCGATAACATGCTCATAAAGTAATTAAAATAGTTTAACGAAACGAAACGTTTGTTACCCTTTGATTTGCAGCCACCTGTGCCTTTAAATCTGACAAGTTATCAGCCAAGTTCCTTGTTCCAGAACAACCTGGTACCTCTCCTGGCTTCATCAATTCTATAAAACAAGAAAATAATGAGATACAAAGGAATTTAAAATGTTGTTTAATTTTATCTTTTTCAATAATTCCAAATAAGTATATAAACAAAAAAAAAGTAAAGACAATGATACGCTGAACGATGGCCGTGAAAGCCTTACACAGTTTAAAAAGTAAAGACTTTTAACTAGAAATTAAAACAAAGATTTTATTTGTCAAGTAAAATAACTAATCTTTCAAAATTAATTCAGTACTATTGACTATTGAGGCACAAATCACATAGAACAAGAACCTTTAACTAACTCCTCTTCATTGAATTTTCCACCATCAACCAAGAGCATAGACTTGAACGCGGCTCCTTCGTGAGCGAGACTCGTGGAGTGTGGAGGCATGGACCCTGGAGTCAAACCTCCGATATCAGCATGGTGACCCCTTGATGCCACGAAGAATATCGGTTTAGTTGAACTATGGGAAACATTATACAAAATTTTAAAATTTAAATACATTTGGCGTTTTAAAGGTCAATAGTATTTTATTTAAATGTGTACTACTCGCGTAAACTACAGACAGTATTTTATACAAAGTGTGCTTGATGGGTTCTTTGGTCTAACGGTAGCAAGCTACGGCTAATAATAAATGGATCGTAGGTCTGATTCAAAAAAAATATTTACATTTTGTACGTCTGGAAAATCTGGACATTAACTGGGTAATCATTATTGCACAGAAGAAAAGGCCGTGTGTGTATTATGTTGATTTCCGTATATTTAAATGTAAAAAGGGTCGACAGCACATCTTGTTTATGGGGTGGTTATCCATTAAATGACCCCCATTATTCTTCTCTCTTATAAAAAATGTTAGATATTTTTGCTCCTTTTATTCAGACTACGCTATATAAACAATGTGCTCTATAGTAAGTAATACAATTCATATTAAAAAGTTGTCCTGGTAGAAAATGCTTCTTACTTGTGGAATACTGGCGTGATAACAGTGAGATCAGGTAAATGCGACCCTCCGGCTTTTGGATGGTTTGCTAGATAGACGTCACCCGGCTTCATTGATTGACCGCGGACCATCATCTGAAGAAAACAATATAAAGGTCTCAGATACGGGATCTATAGAGCACTATAGTGGCGTAATTTTTGATTAAACATTTTGTCTATAAAGAGGCTTACATATTATTTTACGCGACTTCAAAAAAGAAGTTCTCAATTCGTTTGTTCGAGAAATACTTCAGGACGGGATTATAACCATTTATTTTAGGGAAGTAGATATTTCCTAAGTACTCTCACTATAAGATAAATCAGGATATGATGATCACAAACTGATGATGACTACTTTGAAAAATCTATAATCACTGTTATTAGAAAGAAATATTCTTAGGCATATAAGAGTCTTAAATCCGTTAGGTATTTTTAATTAATTATTCAGTAACTTTACCTGATACTGAACAGTTTCCTGCATGGCGCCCAAGTGTACGGGTATGTGGGGAGCATTCGATACAAGACCTCCATCGGGCCCGAACAACGCACACGAGAAATCTAACCTCTCCTTGATGTTAACCGATATTGATGTTCTTTGTAATACCCTGTAAAAGTCATTTTATTGGTGAATAGCTTAACTCAGACGATATACCCATAAATATTATTCCTATATTATTTACAGACGTTTACAACTACTTTTATCGCAAAAATCAAGCTGCAATGTTGAAAAAACAAATAAGCTGTACACATTTAAATAAAACACTTTAACGTTAAATTGTTTTATTTAAACAAATAAGCTACCAAATTTAATACGTTTAAAAAAAAGCTCTTTAAAGATAATGGACAAATTGTCTGGAATAGCTTGATATTAAAACCTCTTCAGGCTCGACAGACAAGACATGTGGAAATCCGAATACCCAAATAGGCCGACAACACATCTTGTTATATGTTCATGGCTAGATTATTTTAACTTCTATCAAGTGAATCCATACATGTTCTCAACAACATATATGTTCTCTTTAAATTCAAAAGTATAAGTGCGTATTATTAAAACATTATTATATTAAAGTCGTTATAACAGAATCCTATGAACTGATAAATATAAAATCTCACCTCCCCATTTGCTCAGCAATGGACATGAATCGATGTGAAAAGATACTCAATTGCACTGAGTCGCACTCGGTTGAAACCGTCTTTTGTTTCCCTTCCCCAATCGTGATACGAATGTCACCGTATTTAGTTATAACAGCACGACAATCTGAAAGGAGAATCAAAACAAACATATGGGTTAGGACGGTATGAGTTACAGAAGATGACATCAAAGAACTACAGATGGAAAAAGTAATAAGATTCTGCAAGCAAACCGGGAGGTTTGAAGGGGACACGGGGAGAGTTGGATGACTCAAAACCTCTGCAAGGAGGAAATGGACGAAATGGTCGGCTGATAACGTGGACTGATCACCCGTCCTACAACAGGTGTCACCGATAGAAAATAAAAATATTAATTAAATCAAATTATATATATATATACATAGATAACCATTAAATACAGACAGTAGTTATGCGAGTAGTAGCACTTTAAATAAAACATTCTTAACGGTTTAAAATGCGAAATGTATTAGTTAAACCTATTTTCAAATTATTTTAACTATGGCCTGACGTTTCCAAAGATTTTCAGCAACCGTGGTCACAGGATTGAAAATGGGTGTCCCTAATGTCAAATTAAAAACTGCTACAGCGCCATCTGTTTCGAAAATGTCTAATAGATAACCATTTTTATTTTTCCTTAGGCGGGAACCGAAATGTAATATTTATTTTTTAATGGAAAAAATCAATTCCATGTTCATCAAATTATTTCGTGTAATCATATTTGACACATAATTAAAACGCAAATATTGTCTTATAATGGTGCAATATTACAACTTACCTGGTTCAACAAGTATTGTGGATAAGCTATCCATTATAATAGCTGGACCGAGGATTTCTTGGTCTGGTTGCAACTTCTCCAACAAATAAACTGATGTGTCCTGATAACCACCTTCGAAGTACACCTTTACTGTCTAAGAAAACATGTATGTATTATATATAAAAATACTGAAGAGCTATTTGACGCGACATGTAACTATGAATATTGATGTTTGTACCTCTGAAAGTCCTCCCAGAACCCGAAGTTGTTTGTAATCAACTAAACTTAATAGATAAACATGTATGATTATATCGAGAACTTTTTATTATATTAAAAAAAGAAATACTATGCCACCAGACACCATACACCACACAAAAGAATTGACATCTTAGGTTAAGCAAATACGAGTTAAGGATTGTATAATAATATTGTTTATTATTATTATTAATATAATATTGTAATAGTTCGGAAAGTTTGCTGGTATTATAAGATTGCTTAATTTATGTCAACACTGTACAGTTAATTGTAACTGAGATCACTCACAGACAATCTGTATTACAAATAATGTAGACTCCAATATACCTTTTCGATCGGAGGTGTTACATCTCTCCCGCTAGGTGGCGCCACCTCTTCTGAGAATTCACTCTTGCCAATTCCACGTACTCTCACATCGTCTACTAAAACATCGCGTTTTGTTAGAGTGAAGCCAAACTCTTTCTTGTATCTATTTGAAAAAATAAGACATTATAACACTTTTGATGAACTTACTATGTTTTAAATAAATGTGAAACTATTTTAACGTAAACATTCGAAATTATTAGGCTTTATTTTACAATTAATCTAAACTACGGTCAGAAGTTTAGGACGCGCTGACGTACCATATCTAGGTCAGACATTTACAACTCGGGAACAAACTAAGTTTGAACACAGACACACATAATACAGCTTAACTTATTTAACAACTATTTTAAAACTACGCCGTGTCGAGTAGTACGTGACGAATGTGCTGAACAGGCGGAACCAGTAGGCACATCGGTCCCGAGACTATACAAATATGAAGGAGGAACCAAACTATCTGAAGAACACAACTTAAGCCTATAAATAAAAGAAATGTATAATTTTAAAGGTTCCCGAATAGATTAAGTACGTGCCGAATCTTCCTGAAAAAGGCGGAACCATTAGAACATTTAATACTGTCCCCGAATAGTTTACGAAGATGAAGGTACGGCTCCAAATACAACTGATAATCCTTGAAACCCGATAGAAAAGTAAAAATGATAATTTGAAAGGTTCCAGATTTTTAACTTAGCCCGATTCTTATTCTTTGCACCGTGGAGACAGGGATACTTCAATATTATTGTTTTGGATAGCAAACAATTAACCTAGGAAGTAGGCTAACTGCACAGGAGAGAAAAACTATGAGCATCAGTCCAAAAAAGGTTGTTAAATTTAATAAAATGAAAATAACATAATGATAAAAAAGATATCAATAATATAGATGACATTCAAAACTCAATGTCATCTATTTTTAACATAGGACGGATGTACATCTGCACAGCCTGTAGCTATAGGATATACATACCCTTTTCGTCAGTTTCTCCTTACAAATAGCAGCATGTACATCCAACTGTCTGTCCAGCTCAGAATAATTATCAGGACAGTAAACAAGGGCACATGGGCTCTGAGCTTCTTGGACCACATCTGCTAGAGCCATGCCATACGCCGATAGAATACCTGTAACATATAACGTAGCGTCTTGTAACATAGGCGTAGGTATATTATATATATATATATATACATAAATATAAATTAATCAAAATTGTTAAGAACAAACCCATAAAACACAACATATATGTATTTACTCAATAGTTGAAAGTATATCAAAGCTAACTATTATTTATAATTGAAAAAAAAATTAAAATATAAAAACGATTTTTAATTTAAATGTGCAATAACATGTGAAAAATATTAAAGTTTCAAAATTTTCCTAGAACCTATTCATAATCTGAGACACTAACCTGCATATTTATGCACCAGTACTGTGGTTATTCCTAGTTGTTTGGCGACAGAGCAAGCGTGCTGTCCCCCCGCACCACCGAAGCAGGACAGTGCGTGAGACCGCGCGTCATAGCCACGCGCCGTCGTTAGTGACCTGAGAAGAATAATCTTAGTACAATGTGTTGTTGGGATATTCTTTAATGATAGAGGACGACAGACAAGCATAAGGTTCACCTAATGGGGGGTGAATGCGATGTCGACCTTTAGCTTTGGATATTTGGAAATCCACAGAGTGAAACCGAAACGCGATTAAATTTCACGACTTTTTCATCAGTGGTTCGTGATCCGGACGGAATTTTCGATATTCTACTACCCCCTTAATATCCAGTTTTCCAGATGAAGTTCAACATGTTTTTAGAAGAGTTAGACCCGGTGGGGATCGAATCCACGACCCGTTGATTATTTTTTTTAGTAGCCTTTTATGAGTTTTTTAGTTAACAAATTATAATAATAAGACAATTTCTTCTTATTATAAACTTTTTTACAATAATCACAAAAATAGAGTCTTTGTTAACTAATTCCAAAATCTTTCTGTTTTTATATGCCTTCCAAAACTTACCTAATTGGCCGACACATTGCCTCGTTGGCTACATTTAAGAAACCCATCGCGACTTCTTCCATAGTCATCTGAAATAAGATTCACCTTTTATTTTGTTTTATGAGAAAGGAGGCCAGAAGAGCATGGGGTTCACATATAACATGTCAACGAGATGCGCTGGCGCCTATTTTGGCTTTGGATATTATTTATTAATTCAGGATTAAACTTCATGGCTTTTTCATTTAGTTAGTTCGTGGCTTGGACGAAATAATGGCACATCTAGATTTCCAGACCAGACAAAGTCCATGTTTCAGAAAAGTTACAAATTGATGAGAAACATGTTGGACCTGGTAGGGATCGAACCAACGACCCATTCATCATTAGCTATACAATGATATCATTAGACAAAGAATGATATCATTAGACAAACAATTACTTTCAAGTTACCCAAGTTACCTCAACCTTACCTTTTTATCACTTTGCTTCAAAAAGCAATTAATCTCATCCGTTATTTCTTTGAAAGCGGCGGCAGTTGCTTCCTTATCAAGTGACTCATTTTCTTTTGGTCCAAAGATTTTTGGGAAATATTCAGGTAGTAGTCGCCCTGTCCAATGAAATAATTAATGGATTAAGTAGGATTTTATATAACAAATTAACTATTAGAACACATATTATAATGGTAAGGCAAAAATTTTTCTAAACCAACAGATATACCATATTTAATACAAAAATATTACCTTTTTTTTAAACTAATTAAAATTTGATTTACGTAATTACATAAGCGCTCTTTCTATTTTTTTTAAATTTCTGCGTTCAGTTATATCTTTCATACTAAAATGAAGCTAAAGAGTTTGTTTGTTTGTATCAAAGCGCTAATCTCAGTCACTGCTGGTTGAAATTAAACATTATTTTTGTGTCGGTTAGACCATTTATCGAGGAAAGATTAGGCTACGCCCATTGGGCGTAGCCTAATCGTTACTGCTATTGAGCAAGCTAAGAAACAGAGAGTAATGTGAAAAAACGATTCAAATTTGAGGGCAACCGTAGCATGCGCTGCAAAAACGGTTCAAGCCAAAAAATGATCATGTATGAAAGAATGATTCCTCTTTAAAAGATTAAAAATGTCTGCGATATTCGATATTTTAAAATTAACTTGCAAGAACGACGGGAAGCGGTAAACGTCGTGGGTGATCATATATACTTACCTAGCAGTAAGTTAGCGTCTGTAACAGTAAGTGGTCCACCCTTTCTATAGCATGCTGGACCAGGATGAGCACCAGCTGACTCCGGCCCGGCCACAAAAAGACCCGAACGGAAGAAGAGCATTGAGCCACCACCTGCCGCTACTGTGTTTATATCTGTCAAGGTACCATTTATCTAATAAACAATATTTGGATATCGTTAGCATTAAAGACACTATAACAATTAAATAACCATTTTTTGTGTATCTTTGAACTGTATGTAACTTAAGTTCCAAAACAGTCGTGAAATTATTGGTGGTGAAAAAACCTTTTTTTGTAACACTTTTAAGTGTCTAACAGTCAAGTAAGCATTGGGCATTTTTGTTTTGATCTGGTTCGGTATGTTGGTTAAAAGTTGAGATCTGTATAGTTTTTTTTTTAAAGAGATTCAGTTTTAAAAAGACAGTATAAGTAACATAAAAGTATGAAGTATACGAAAAAACCCTACACAATAGGAATGTCTATCTTGTAAGAAGCTAATCTTGAAATTTAAATAAAATACTTAAACGGTTTAATTCGCGAAACTGGGTAAGTTCTTCGGGCAAATACTAATCACGAAGAAACAGATGGCGCTAGCGCAGCAATTTTACTTCAACATTGGAGACACCCTCCATTTTTAGTCTAACTGTGACCACGGTTTGTGTAAATCATCTGATATCCGCCGGGCCGTAGGTTAAATAATTTGAAAATAAATTTAACTAACATATTTCGTGTTTGAAACCGTTAGTGTTTTATTTAAATGTATACTGCTCGCGAAAACTACTTAAAAAACTAATCTTAAAAAATTCTTTTTTCTCGAGTCTAATTGAATTTACTATTATATTGTGATTACCTAGCTGTGGTGCTTGTATAGTGACTCCGGCCGTGGTTGCTTCGTGTACGTGCTCCAAAGTACCCGCATATCTTGACACGTCTGTTGATGTACCGCCCATATCAAAGCCTAGACCAAACAGTTACATTAGATATTGGTTTGCTTCAAAAGTTTTATGGTCTATAGTAATGTACTATACAATGTATAGTCAAATGTATTTTGAAACAAATAGGTTTATTTTAGGAAATAATACTGAAACATAAAAATAAAAAAAATTACGATACGGGCAGGACTCGAACCGGTATCCACAGCGTTTCACGCTGTTGCTCTAACTAATAGGGCTAACGGGTCCTAAACGTCGGATTTTTTCAACCTATTTATGAAAGGTATTAAAGTTTTCAAAAGTATAAAACTTACTTACCAATAACAGGTAAGTTAGTTTCTCTATGGTATGACGTAAGCGCATAACCCACTACTCCACCTGCCGGCCCTGACAATATTGCGCGGGAGCCATTGAACCTAAAATTAATTTTAAAAAATATCATCACAAATCTCATAAAAACAATTTTATATGTGTAAAAAAATGCCTACAAGTCCATTGGTGTCAAGCCTCCATCAGACTGCATGAAAAGCACGTTCGAATTCTTTAGGTTATCTGTGAAACCCTCAGAGAAACCCCGTACATAGTCTTTAATATGCGGTGTAAGGTATGCGTCCGCGCAAGCAGTATAACCGCGTGGCGCCAGTCGAACCATTGAAGTCACAGAGTGAGATAGAGATATTTGCGAAAAACCTGCAAGTGTAATAATATAGTAATATTTTTTTAGAAATTGTCCAAGTGGAAGTTGGGCAAAGGTTCCATAGTATATTACAATTACGTCGTAAACTTTTATATTTATATCATCCAACTATTTAAGTATCATGGCCAGGCTTTTTATAGACAACAGACATTTAAATAAAATGCTCTGTCGACCTATTTTGTTTTTAGATATTTGGAAATCCGCAGAAAAAACTGAAACGCGATTAAGCTTACGCGCGACGGCTTATACACCTGTGGTGTTGTAGATTTCGAGATGCTGTGTTTCAGAAAAATTATAAATTTATTAGAAAAATGTTGGATCCGGTGGGGATCAAATCCACACACGCCCACTACACCAAAGCCCATTAAACTAATAATATGTATATAATAAATACCTGTTGTAAAAATGTATATTATGTTTCATTATAATACACAAACATACCTAGGTCCTTTGCAATCTCCCCAATCCTTTTTTCATGCTCATGATAATTATAGCTGTGGGCAAGAACAACAGCTACACTGTCTATCCCTTTCTTTTTTAAAGCAGCCAGGTCCGTTCTAACAGATTTTTCATCGATATCTTTAATAACTAGCATCTTTTGTCCTGTCGTTCCCTGAACTTCTTGCCAGTTTTGTTTAGATTTGTCAATTTGACAGCGATTTTCTAGTGCTGGTATCACGCGGCAGTCTACCTCGACCACATCTTTGTACAGTACTTCGGGGCGTTTTATATTCTTAAACAAGCAAGTGGTAAAGATTAAATGTTATTTATCCCTTGTTATTATTGCACATCTTTATACAAATAACATACCAATTGAAATATGTGAGGTCTAGCTTGATTTCCAATAAGAAGCAAATCTTTAAATCCCTTATTTATGACGAGTGCCATTTTGGCACCTTTTCTTTCAAGCAATGCGTTTGTAGCTACTGTTGTACCCATTCTTATTGATTCTATGAGGGAAGAGTTTACTTTGCCTTCTTTGTCCAAGGCATTGCCAGTCTCCTGTAAGTAATTATTATGCATTATTGCATTTTATTTATTTGACACAGATTTAATACTATTTGAAGACCTCCTCTGTAGCTATGTGTTGTGTCTTGATTCCCTTTCTCTACGAGAAAATCAAGAAACCCAAGAAACTGTTTCAGTCTGGCATGGCGCAATAGTGTGATCAATTACTTACCTTGTTGTGTGGGAAACACAACATAAGTCCTTGTCCCATAAAGTAAGAAAAAATTAAAAAGGTGCTAATATATACAATTTTAGACAGAACATTGGTAAATATTGGCTTTTAGGTTTTTAATAACATATCTTCTGATTTTAATAAATAGTAGTGTTAATGTCAAAAATTTTAATAAGTTGTGATTTCATTAATCCTTTCTTAAATCTGTCTTAGTTTGTTTAATCCTTTCTTAGTAAAAATAATGAACATACTTCCTGCAAAATTCGTCTTATGGCTTCCCTTGGAGCATCATCATAGTTCTGGGGATCAACAGATAATAGTTTCATAACCCGAATCTTCCCATTAGGGCATCTGGCAAAGACGTCTGTGAATGTGCCTCCTCTATCTATAGCAAACTGAAAGCCCCTTGTACTCATGGTGCCTGAAAAAATAAAACAAAATTCAAATATTTTTTACCAGGTATATAAGTATGAATTAAGGAAACAGTTACTTAAACTCTACTTAATTTATTTAGTGATATTTAAACTACAGTATTTTACCTTTAATTTAAATTTTTAGTATGTCAATCTACAAAGAATACTAGTCGCACAATGAATGTGTATAACCTTATCTTATACCTGTCAGCAGACAGATGTTTATTTTACTTAAATACTGATAAACATATATAGAAATCATTATTTAACTGATGATAGATAGTATTAAATACTTGAATATCATCATTACAGTCCATATATTGTATTATTGTCTGTTTATTACGTTTTCATTGTGATTGGATACATTTTTTTTTTTGGATATTTAACTAAGACTAAAGATCGAAAATAAACGGCGGGAACGCATCGTCATTCCTTTGTGTTATTGGAATGATTAATAATATTCGGAGAAAATCTTGCAAAGATAGTTAACACAAAGATATTAAAAAAGCCTACTATAAAATGATTAACTCATGTTAAACATACCTCTTCAAATTGTATATGTAATAATAAAATCTTTATTTAAAAAAAATCTTCCTTATAAGTATCACAAATTAAATAATATAAACTAACTTACGTGCTGTCTAAATTCCCAATCTCAGACTTTCACTTAATTTTTTTCCAATTTAGAAATTTCTAAAAATTACAAAAAAAAAGATAATAATAAGAACTTCAAAATATAATCAACAAATACTAAACCAATTACTGTCAACTACGAACACTTAATCCATCACCAACTAGCACATTAAAATGATATATAAAAATATCTACAGTCTGTTGTTTATTTGTATTCTATGTTTACTGAATTTGAACTGTCAAACGTCACTTTTAAAAATTCAATGTTGGAATTGTCAATACAAATGTTGTTGTGTCACATGTTGTAAACTTTATATTTGCATAAGTAATATAAAAGAAACCTAATAGTTAAATATATTAGTGCATAAAAAATAAAACAGAAATGGGACGCCGAAATCGTAACGTTAACAAATTTGCTCAACGCAAACGAGATAAGAGAGAACAGGTATAAATATTTTTCTAAACACAGACAGTGTCCAGTATGTTTCTTCTATTATAATTATTTTCTTATTGTAATTTTTAGGAGAAAAATCCACAGACGAAGCCGGCAGAAGATACACGCAAACACTATGAAGATATTGTAAGAGAAAATGCTTCTTTTGAAGAATATTATAAGGTTAGAAGCTGCTTTTAGGTTAATTTCATGTTGTAGAATTTTTTTTGGATAATAACAGACATATGTAGTTTAATATCGGTGTATAGATTTTAAATACTTATTTATTTAAACATTACTTCCAGGCTCAATGCATATGCCCTGAACAGGAATGGCCTCAATTCATGAGTGCTCTTAAAGAGAATTTACCAACCGCTTTTAGAATAACTGGTTCTAAATGTGAAGCTAATGCCTTAATGAAAATTGTAAAGAGTGAATACTTCTCAGATATTTTAAATATGAAATTGAAAGTTGAGGGCCATGAGGAGGAAGAAATTAAACCTATTAATTTACCTTGGTACAAACTTTAATTTACTACAAAAATTCACATTTTACTCTTTTATAAAATTAACAACAATTTATGAGTTGCAAATATCAGTTTGAAAACTAATTATAGCATGTAAAGTATTCATTATGTCTTTATGAACAAAAATCTTGCATAAACATTAAGTTGTTAGTTTTGCTTTTCGCAGGTACCCTGGTGGTCTAGCATGGCAATTACGTGTATCTCGTACTGATATACGACGAAGTGAGGCTCTATATAAATTGCACAATTTCCTAGTCGCCGAAACAGCAGCTGGAGGTGTCTCACGCCAAGAAGCTGTTTCTATGATACCGCCTGTTGTATTACAAGTTGAACCTCATCATAAGGTGAGTGAAATAAATGGTTAAGAACTTCAATGTCAACTTTTAAGAATATATAATTTTTAATTTAATTTTGTAGCAACTAAAGCTTTAACAAAAAAACCTCATTATTTTGACAAATGAGATCTCTCCTTACAACCTTTATGTATTTATTGCCTTCTTTAGGTGTTGGACATGTGTGCGGCTCCAGGCTCAAAAACAGCTCAACTAATTGAATTTTTACATTCTGATGAAGAAAAAATGCCAACAGGTAAATGCACTTTTGTTTTCAAACCACAATATACAAAGTTGATTGGAAACCTAAGGAAAAATTAAAGATCTAATTGCTTAAAAGATAATTCCAAATATTTGTATCAGGGTATATCTTAATATCATGAAAGAATGAATGAAATTTGACATTTTCAGGATTTGTGATCGCAAATGACGTTGATAATAGCAGATGTTATATGCTGGTACATCAAGCCAAAAGGCTCAACTCTCCGTGCATACTCATCACTAATCATGATTCTGCTGTCATGCCAGCCCTGACTATTACTGACCCTGAGGTAACTTTTCAGATCTCTAGTCCATGTTAACATATTTTTATATTTGTTTTTCAAAAATTTGTTACAGTCTTTAGGGTTTGCAAAAAAATAATATTTTTTTTTGAAATCTTTTATCAGTAATGTGTATCTTTGCCTTGTCTAAATAATAAAACGCTATTTAACAGAATCCTGAGTGTACAAAGCCCTTGAAATATGACAGAGTGTTATGTGATGTGCCATGCTCTGGTGATGCTACTCTAAGAAAAAATCCAGATATCTGGCTTAAATGGTCTACGGGGAATGGCAACAATTTACATGGGTATATATTTTACACATTTTTTTTATAACATCGTGATAATTTTGAGTTTGAAGGGCTTTAAAGCTCAAAATAGCTATAACAATTCAGGAAGAATAGAAACTTTGAATAATGTTATGCTATAAAAACTATTTTTAGTAGTAGAAAAATAATGTGTTCTACATTATCATGCTGGATTACAACCCTATAAGTTTGACTGGAATTCTTGAGTTTTGACCTACCCTTTTTACTTATACAGGATTCAGTATAGAGTACTCCGACGTGGTTGTGAATTGTTGGAAATTGGCGGACGCGTGGTTTACTCCACTTGTTCCTTTAACCCCGTAGAGAATGAGGCGGTAGTCCATCGACTGTTACAAGAAGCAGGCGATTCTGTTCACCTAGTTGATGCCAGTGAAAGTTTACCAGGATTGAAATTTAAGAAAGGTTAGTTCGAATACTAGTTAAGAATTTTTACATTTATTATTTACACAAGTAGTACACATTTAAATAAAACACTAAAGGTTTATAACTTTGATATATGGACCCATATTAAAAATTCTGGGTTCCAAAAACATACCGGCAAACGCGAAGACAAAGTCAGTCAGTGAAGCACCCGACCAGTTTCACCAAATATCAACTGCAAAGCATCCGAAACGTCTGGCCGTTGGTATATCACGTTTTAAACCGTTAAAGGGTTTCATTAAAACTTTAAAAGCTGTAGTTGCCATTTTCATTTTTTCAAAAGGAATGACATATTGGCGACCGGCTTCCAAAGACATGGTGTTCTACGAGAAGTATGAAGATGTACCGGAAAAATGGCAGACTGTAGTAAGACCGCAGATGTTTCCGCCTTCACCGGAAAATGCAGAAAAGTACCATTTAGATAGATGGTGTGTATCCTCTCTTGTAATTTAGTATAGACTAAATAATACTACTCATTTATCATGCTGTATATTTAATCTCTTCAACATTACATTTCTGAAGAGTGAATGTAAACAATATTGCATATTTGCTGACCGTCCATGTAGCCAAATGGTTAAAAGTGTTGCCTAGCATTGTGTTAATCGTGAGAGATCCTGGGTTTGAATCAAGAAGGATTTTTTTCTGTCAGAAAGGATACAGAAGACAGATAAACTAACTTGCTTGTAAAAGAACTGATTAGTGAAATTGTCACAGAAATATGTTAACCCCATGCCCCACGACAGGAAAACGTATATTTACTTTATATTGTATCGTTGATTCTCTTTACAGTATTAGAATACTACCCCACCACCAAGACACGGGAGGATTTTTCGTTGCGGTCTTAGAAAAGAAAGCGCCACTCCCTTGGGAAAAAGACGGGAAAGACCAAGAAAATGCTGAAAGCACTCCATCAAAACCTGAGCCGCCGAAAAAAAGAAGAAGAATGGGAGGTTATAGAGAAGATCCATTTGTTTTCTTCTCGGGAGAAAATGAAGATGTCTTCCCATGTATAAAAGAGTATTATGAGTTGAAGGAAGATTTCGATCCTACCTGCCTGCTTACGAGGTGTTTATATTTATTTCATTTTATGATCTTAAGTATTATTAACAAAGAAAACTGAAGCCCGTTACTTCTCAAGCCCGTTATTTCAACTTTCCAAAGTTAATTTTTCAATACACCTTTATTGACATTCATCTTAATTTCAGCAAATTGATTTTAGTTCAGAAGTTCAAGACGACTTTTATTAAAGTCTATTTTATTCTTGTATGAAGTTTGACAATTCAAATATATTAATAAAAAACCCTCACAAGTAGTTGAGGTGAAATGTAGTATAAAGTTCACCACAAAATTAATGATAATAAACTCCATTCAATTACGTTACAGATGTCACATAGGTAAAAAGAAAAATATCTACCTGGTGTCGCCCATTGTTAAAGACGTGGTACAGAGGAACGACAAGAACATCAAGATCATCAACACGGGTGTGAAAACTTTTGTGAGATGCGATAACAAGAATATGACTTGTCCTTTTAGGTAACCCGACTCTATATTATATTTTGGCTAATTTTATGAAAAATATATAATATTCTACTTATTTCAGAGTTGTATTTTATCTATAATATATAATTTTTTACTCAGTTAAGAGACATTTTGTAGGCTACAAAGTAAAGTTTGTTTGTCCAAAGGTACAAAAAATAAAACAGTATTGACATAGTGATATGAAATAATCTTTATTGATTACTCTCATAAAACCATTTAATTTTTTTTTATAAAACTATACCACTTGTCGATTGATTATTCAAGTATTTATTGTATTGTCTCTACTTTTCAGGTTATCACAAGAAAGCCTACAGAGTATATGCCGATTCATAGGCGCCAAACGTCGCCTGCGCATATTGAAAGAAGATCTGATACTGGTTTTACAAAATGACAATCCAAGTAATCCGCCCGAAATCAAACAATTTTCAGAACATACTCAAAGCTTGGTTAAAGATTTTGGTGAGTTTTTTTTTATTTATAATAAGCAAAGAGGATCCACTACTAGCTGACATTTGATGTGGCCAGTGAAGTTATAAAGATATGGGACTACATACAGCTTTGTATATTGTCTTGTCGGCAACTCTTAAAATATGATAACCATTTTTTTGTGCCCTGCTTCGCGAAAAACGGCGTCCCTTATAGAATTCGAACCTAGGATCTTTTAGTGTTTATGCAATACAGTTACCATTGAATGGCAAAGATGGTTATGACTCAATGTAAAATTTTTAGCCACTGGAAGCTGTGTTCTGGAATATAAAGATGAAGAGTTAGATTTAATACTCGTGGGTTGGCGAGGTGTCCATTCCCTACGAGCCTACACCGCGACCCCGGATACAGTTCATTACCTGAGACTATTGGGCGCGGACTATAGTAAATACGGTGAGTATATAAGCTTGTAGATACTGTATTGACTTAATATATAACTAATACCAGTCAATTGAACTTAAATAAAACATATTGTGGCTCGATAAGGACCCTCGTGTCTCTAATGAGTAACAATACAATTCTTTAATCTTATATTTTTAAGTGTGTTACTATATTTTTTATATTTATTATTTATACAAATTGAAGATAAGATACTGGTTGGTAATAATTTTTTTTTTTTTACATGTTATAAATTAAAAATCAATACTAGTTAAAAAAAAAATTAAAGCGCGGAACACTGGATGCCGGTTCAAGTCCCGCCTGTGTCGTTAATTCTTTCAATCTAAAATTGATTTTTAATTTTTATACCTGTTGATTAGTATGTTTTTCAGAGCTATGTCGGACTTAGTAAATACCTTTACCTAATACAATATTTATATTGCTAAAGAATAGAACTTAATGAAGCCTAAAATGATTTAAAAATCTGTTCACTAGATATCAACAAATTCAAGAAAGCATCGGATGTCCCAGATGAAACCACAGATGTTACAGAAAATTCACAAGCGAGTGAAATGGACACGAGTAACGGAGACAGTAAGGAAATAGAAGAACAATAGTGTTTAAGTTTATAACTTTCTACTGACAAAAATATATGACGTTGTAAGATTCAATTGTTTTATTTTAAGATTAGCTGCGCCCGCGACTCTGTCGTGGACTACTCATTTGGGCATCATATCTTTATATTTTTGCAAACAACCGCCTCAGCTTCATAATTATAGCTGTTACCCACGATGTCCGCGTCTCGTTGTTTTTGCGAGTAAATCCTAAAAGATAAACATATACTGTGGCAGAAATATTAAAGACGAATATTTTTTTAATACCTGCTTTTGGTTACCTAAGCCGTTTTCTCAGTGCAATCAACGGAAGCCCTGAAAGATGAATAATTTCGTCGCAGCCTGATGTTGAATTTATTAATTCGAGCCAGAAGTTCTTGAAAAAAAAGCTTGTTAAACTAAACAAATTTATATATAGATATGTAATGAAGCTAAAGAGATTTTTTGTAAGTCTTTATCTTTAAAATATTAAACGATAATCAAGTTCTAACTGAAAAATGTATATAATTATTGTAAATTGTCACTAAAACATTTGTCAAAAACCGTAAAAAAATATTATCGACCGATATAAATTAATTAATGAGCCTGGCCTACAGAAATATTCTGCAATTATTCCAAAAAACTTCGACGTTCGCGACTTACCAGTAGCGTAGCTAGGTGGACAAGGACCCGGTCTACCTAATCCTAATGCTCAAGAAGAAATCGGGGCCTCATCCCCTCTTAGCATAGCTTGAATTATATGAACCTCCAAAAATTATAAATATCAACAAGAAAGTTAAAAAAAGCCTTTTCTTCTACGCTTATATCTTCTCAAAGATAAGTAGAGAAGGCCCTTAAGTTCCAGTGCCCTGGTGCACTGCACCACCTGGCCCTACGATAGCTACGCCACTGCGACTTACATCATTCATAGAAAACCACAGTCCAAATCTTACACAGTTTTACAGGTAAGAGTCACGGTTTTTTTAATACGAGAAAGGGATTTACTTCTTTCTTAAACAAAACAACAACTCAAGTAAAGAAACCTTTATTCAAATATCAATCTCACCAAACGAGAGATAACAACCCTTACGTCCAATATAATACAATACGTAACAAAAAGTGGTAACAAAGTTGCAATATACAGAGTACCTTGTGATAAATCAAATGCAATAATAAACGAGAATAAGTCGTGTGTGTGTATGAAGCGTTTTATAAGATAGAGTAAGACACAAGAATGGGGGTAATGACGTATAACATATAACATCAAAAAAAGATGCCCTGTCAATATATTTAAGCTACGGCTTATTCATGAGCGGTACGTGACCCAGTCTCTTGGCTCTGCGTTAAGCTAAAGGTTACTATAATTATTTTATTAACCTTTTCATAATATTTAATCAAAGTACATTATCGCCAAGGCCCGCATATGGCGCGGTAAGATTTTAGATTCGTAAATGTTATACAAGTACTTGCTTCGTAAATTTGAAAAAATATTGTACTCTTTTTGTTAAATTCATCCCTTTAAATGTAATAAAAATAATACTGATTAACATTCGTCATTAAGTACTGTTAATAAATTTAGTTATTTTTTGACAGAACATTCGTTAAATGGTCCAGTTTTATTTGGCACTACTGTATTGTTTTATAGTAACGACGAAATCCATTACATACTCGCCCGTACGCAAAGTTAAGCGAGAGAACAATTTCTCGATTTCTTTAGCTATCTCCTTTTTCATCAAGGCCTAAAAATTCAGTTCTATTCAAAAGATTTTAATTAAATTCCTTCTCGTATATAACATACTTTCATTGAGCCAATATTATCGACAAATTAAGAAGTAACATGAATAAAAAATATGTCTACATACTATTATGTAATCAAAAAATTATTAACTTAATAACATAAAAAGGTTTGCTTAAAATTAGTTGTGCAAGGAATATTTTATACAGTGTACCTATTGCATAAATTTAAACACTTTGGTTCACGTGTTTAAATTTATTAAACATTATCTTATATTGCTTGTGATTATCATTATCAATGTGTACAGACAACACATTTTATGAACTACATACTAAACTTTTCTTAAACTACTAGAAATTCCATCTCAAGTCTGTTTCTTACCATGTTTAAGAGTCTCATGTATTAATGTCGATAAATATTCTTATTGACGCCGATACTAAAGTAGGTATAAAATAACACCTGTACTAGTTAGGTATGCAACAGAAATTAGCTTTAATTGTATTAATTACAAATCTACATTTTAACATCTAAATATATAGAATCTACATTTCATAATTCATATAAGAGAGTTTATTTACAAATTTTAAATGCATACTGGTATTTGACATCACCTAATTAGAAATTTTCAAAGCATTTTTTCACCTAACACACGTTTTAACAATTATTTTTTGTGTTTTTAGTCTAAGAGTTATAATCGATGGTGTGAAGTATTTTTGCACTAGTTTTAGTAAAAACAAATTAGGTAGTGATTGCCAAGAGGCATACACGGTTGGTTAAACTTTAAAAACCTTTATAGATAAATGCAAAACAACTAGTATGTTAAAATATTCCATAATATCTTCGAAAATATAGATACAACGCACTATTCTTTCCAATTTTAAACATGTGCTATTTTATCTAAAAGCCGAGTTGGAAATGATAGGCAATTGTTTACTAATTACTACTTGGCAATGGATTAAAAGCTAGTATGAATTTAGACACTGCTAGTCTGTAAAACCTGAGTTTTTATTTCCTTGTTGAATATTGGATATTAATTTATTTACACCTACATACTGATTCCCACTGACATTGGTTTCTACACGAGAGATATATATAAGCTACATCATAACTAGATTAACGTGTATTAATATTAAGATTACAAAACTAGTCCATCTGTTTATTATTTATTATTCTTCACCGTTTCTGTTACCCTTCCATAGACAACCTTCTATATTACAAATAAAAAAAAGCGAAAACAATATTTAACTTAGTGAAGAATCTAAAAAAACACCTCTTAGTTTAAATGTTAATATTTGTAATAAATATTTCGCGAACAAATGAAGTTCTCTAATTAACGCTTCTGCACTTTTAACTATACCCAAAAGCGAGATTAGATTTTCAACGAAGGAATTGAATGTTCAAAATATATTTATTTTTATGTGTACTCGCGTAAACAATACGGCGTTTTTAGCAAGTTAGTAAAACGTCCACCGTTTTAAAAGTCCATGACATGATTAAAAAATAAAATATACGAAAGTTATCTACGGCACCTGTTTTGTCGACAACCCAATATCACAGGGGGTGATGTGGCATGCCTAATCTATTTATATTAGTTAACTATTACTATTCTAACATCTACCATGTATATAACTAGTACGGATAGAGAAACAATCTGTAAATAGCCGACCTCATGCTTTCTCACTCATGTACTCGTTCTGTCTCTATGTCTATCTCACAGCGTAGTACTGCGTGAAAACTAATCAAGTTATAACTATGTTTACTCGCGCGCTCTGTTTTCTTAATATTTTGCTCTCTCCATTGCGAAGTTTATTCATGTCCAATCAATTTTTGTAAGTTATTTACTATTTTTTGTTTCTAACAACAATCAATATTATTGTTTTTATAAGTCGACTATCATAGACTCTAGAATTTTTTTCAGATTGTTTCTTTAACCGCATGAGCTATATAATTATTATAGTAACGGATCTACAATTTTCTACTTCCTACCCTATTAACATTACATTACGAACCTGAAACAGATAACAGAGGAATACAGGAGTATAAGAGGATTTTATTAAAGTGTTGTATTAAATTTGTTCTTCATTTTTGATGGAACAAGTTTAGCTTTTTGATAGAAATAAGATATGCTGTCTACCTATTTGGTTTTCGATAACCCGACTAACTAGACTAACTGACCCAACTAACTGAGATACTGTAACTGCAGATTCTACCGTTATTTAATGTTTTGCAAAGCCCAATAAATTCTCAATTTTATATGCACCTAAAGGAGATCATTACGCTAATATATAACAGATAGATTTATAGATAATATGATAATTTAAATAAATCACTTTTAACGCGGAAAAAGTTATTTTATTTATTTAAACTATGGCCCGACTTTTTGGATGCTTTGCGTGGTCACTCAGGATTCATTAAAATCAAATTTGCTACACTAGCGCCACTTGTTTCGTCATATTTGTTATTTAGAAAAACCGCTTTAAAAATAAGTTATAATATATTCCTAATAAATATAGTAATACATTTTTTGTTTTAAACCGCTAAAAGTGATTTATTTAGATGTGTACTACTCGCGTAAAAAACAGACAATATTAAATATGATAATCACAAGCAATCTTTGTTAATTAAACAAGGAATTAAATAACGCTGTTTCATGTAACATTAACATATTGAAGTAGGAAAAATACCTACTTTAATTAAGTAAGTAAGTTTGTTTGAACATTATTTTCTACAAAATTCATTTTTTTGTTATGACAATAGATAAATGCGTAATTACTTCTTTATCTTAACTGTCTTTTGACTTAATGTGCACACAAAATTATTTTACGGTAGGTCACAAACTAATACATCACAAATTTTCTTAAAATATTGGCAATGTGCATTAGGCTTAATTGTGTTCCAGACACGGACGTGCTTATTCGTAAAGTAAACATTTTCACGTATTTCTTAGCTTAATATTAAAAAAATAATGTGCGCGACGGATAAAATATCGTGGACGGTAGAAGTACGGACAGAAAAAAAGATCAAAGACGGTTTATAGGAAATTTACTTATTTTTAAACATTGGACAGAGAAATAAATGTTTATCGAAGGAGTACAAAAGGACGTGCATTGAAAATTATAATTAATGTTGTTAAGTAGCAGTATACCATTTTAAGTAAGAATTAATGCTTTTTTTATTTCATACCCAATTTCATTTCATACCCAAACCTATGAAGACTGTAAGAGCCTTGGATTTCTCGGACACTGCATCAAATGCCTCTGCCAGGGAAGATCCCTTGCCAGGATATTGGTGAAGCAATAAGGGCATTTCCACTCATCTAGACCTAGCGCTGAAAATTTAAATGTCTAAATGAAAAATTACGTACACAACAGATTTACTTTACTAAATTGTGTTAAAAAGGCAACACAATCTAAACTTGGTCCTGTCTTTATTTGTCACCTTTTTTAGTAGCGCATAAACACTTTGCAGTTACTTTACGCCAGGAGAACAAGGTTTCGAAGGTAGCAATAAACTACAAATGAATAACAAAAACATAGAATAAAGCTACTAGACTATATACGGCCGGACTATACATACGGATGCAATTGGCGTGAAAATCTCCCTCATCAGTTCGTAAAGCAACCCCGCATTTCCGACATGCCTTCCACAAGCCTTCACTCAGCGAACATTCCTCTGGAATATTTAATATGTTATCAACATACTATCGGCTACAACATATGATAAAAGAACAGCATTTAACGGTTTATTATAAGCTGTATCTGTATTTTTTAATGACAAGCAATGGATTCAATTGATGGTAGAAATACCCCAGCCTATAGCACCTTAACAAAATGCTCAGTCGACCATGCTCGATATTGGCTTTGGATATTCGGAAATCCACAGACTGAAGCCGAAACGTAATTAAACTTCACGGCCTCGTCATCTGTGATCGGTGGTTATGACTCGGACGGAATTTCGATATTTCAACCACCCTTCCAGAGGAGGTCCAACATGTTTCAGAAAAAAATATAAATTGATTATAAAAATGTGTGACCCGGTGGTGATCGAACCCACGACCCGTTGATTATTGCTATCATTACACCAACAAGCCCGTTAAAATCGGAGCTCTGTTATAAGACTAATAAAGGACATGCTAGCTTGAGCTAGCTTTCTGGCCATTATTCCAATTGTAATTCTACAAAATCAATCGCCTGTAAGAAAACCAGCGTAGCGATGGTGATAAGTCATTGTGGTAGGAAAGCTGGGATCCTCGTCAACGCTCAATTTTCAAAGCGACATTCCGTATTCTTAGTATTTAGCAGTCGTTAATCGCTTTCGCTTTTAACTCGTACCTAAAAGATGCGTGTGCATTGCTCTTGCTTCTAACGCCAGACGACAATGAGGACATCGACCTAAGACCACACAGCGACGCCAGTAGTGTGCTTCTAAAGCTGCTGCTTTGACGCGGCGACCACACCAAGTGCATGATGTACTGGACATACTTTGGAAGCACAAGATATAATTTAAATTGCCTTCATGTGCAATAACATGTAAACAATATTAATGTTTTCAAGCACAAGATATATCAGATAAATCGATAATCAATTAAGAATAAACAAATACGTCACGTGTGGGACTTGAACTGGCATCCACAGCATTCTGTGCTGCTCTAACCAATTAAGCTATAGCTCAATGGGTTTGAGCTACCGTGTCGCTGTTACGGATCGCAGTAGATTCCGGTTGAAGTCTAGCCCGTGAATTTTTTTCAACCTTAATACATTTTTAATTCATATCATGCTATAATATGCAATAACATATGAAACATAAATAATAGGTACTCCTACTTACTTGCAGATAGGTTCCGGTGTTGTTTCACTACTCGCTTCGGCACCAATGGCTTCGTACGGATCGAAGTGCTGATCATTATTTGATAGTTGCTGTCGTCTTCCTATAATAATAAAAATATAAGACTTTAACGGTTTAAAACGCGATATATTAGTTAAACTTATTTGAAAATGATTTTTAACTTCGGCCCGACGTTTACTACAGCGTTGAACGCTGCTGCAAAGCATCCTAAACTCGCGTAAACTATCGACAGTATTTAGTATACCTACAATTGTTTCTTTAACAGAAAATACTTAAGACACTCTTTACCTGGACTATAATATCCGCTTTCGTCCATTTGACTATGTTCGTCCAAGTGAATATTCCTCACTCCCGCTACTAACTTTGGTGACTCCAAGCCAGTGTCTCTAAAGAACTCGGCTCTAAGTTTTGGAGAATCCAAACTTCGATCTGAATCTCGAAGATCTAATCTAGACAGCTGGGGAGAATCCATTGGTAACGAATCGAGACTTCTAAGTTCATTCTTCGATGTTTTGGGTGATCCCATAGTTGGAGAATCAGCATAGTTTACGTGTAGCGGTTCATAAACAGTAGCCGGTCGCTCTTTCAGTTCAGGTTTATTGAGGTCGTGGTCATAATGTATCATAGAATGGCGGTTTTCTGAATTGCGACTGGCACGTCGAAAGATTACTTCATCCGTCTCGGTATCCTGAAAATGTACCTGGAATTGAATGACCGTGATTGATGATGATAATATGGTAATGGTGATTTATGAGAAGAACAAACGCCATAAGGTTGTACTATATAAATACAAACCTTTTCATTTCCCGTAGATGGGCGCGGCGAATGCTTAGGGCTAACTGCACTATCCAATCTCAGCTTGTTATATCCAGGACAGCTTGTATCCTTTACAGTTCGGCTTGAAATATACTTTTTCGTTGGTGTTTTTCTCAAACTACTTTTTGTTCTGGATGTTGTGAAACTGCCGCTTAAACTGGACGGTGCTAATGTAGCACTGCTAGCACTCGACTTCAAGGCATATGATGTATCGATTGAAGACATGCCGAGGGAAGTGGTCATACTGCTGGCGGTTGTACCACTACGAGTTGACTGAGAGGCACTCGTTTCGTGTGTTGAATCACCTGATTGTTCTATTCCGTTCAAGATCTGTTCTTCGGTTGGAGCTTGATTCAACATTTTCTGAAAATTTTTCCTTATCAGTAGATGAACTTGTAGCGATTAATTTCCCTATTTTAAACACTTACTTGCATATCAATTCTGTCAAACTGCTGAAACAGGTGGCGGTAAATCAGATTCCGTCTTGTCACCGCATCGTCGGGCGGTAATTGGGCCCTTACAACTCGTGGTGACCTTGCGTATGCGGCAAGTAGTATTCTTTCCGCTGCAGCTCTTACTGATCCGGCGGCGTGTTGAGCTCCTGCCGCACCACATTCAGCTAACCGTCGAACTGTTAAGCCGCTGAAATATGAAAAGAGATTTTCCTTATTCAATACTTATCCAAATAAGTGTTTATACACCGTTAAAACTCGTTACATAATGTGTTTATAATTTTAAAAAAATCCAACGCTTCTAAATAAATTGCTATTCCGTAATACCTATTTTTATCTGTCGATATCCCATGGCTAAGTATTAGTTGCTCCAGCATTTGAAGACGTGATAGCGCTAGTCTTGGATGCATTGACGCAGCCACTGGTCGCACCAATTGTTGTGGAATTGTGTGTAGGCTCCTGAAAAATATAATTTTATTATACTGGGACAGTTCGTTATAAATAACGATCTAATAATTTGGAGGTCAACTAACCTTACGTGGGGACAGTCAGCTACAGTAAGGACGGTGTGTTGCGCTGTAGAATGGATTCTTGGTGCAGGATCGCCACAAGCCCGTAATAATTCGGGTAAAATCTTTTCTAGACATCGTCCTACTTCCGCCGCACAGACTCTAAAAAAATACAACATGAAGTTACATCATAGTAATTCACTTTCAACGTATTCATTTTATTTAAACTGTCAGCTGTACATCTTAAAACCTTATTATTTAATCTAAAGGGGTCAATAACACGTTTTCTAGAAAATGAACCAAGTTACCTGTCCGGGACAAATTCTTTAAATAGCACTTTAACAACTTCATTGGCCTGACTGTACACAGAAAACACTTTGTCCCTTAAAGCTCTTTGGAGCAAAGTAGCTGCTGCTCTGGCTGTTTTATTGGGGGAAGTTTTAGTACTGCCGTTTGATGGTGACGATAATTCAGCCCGTAGCCGAGCGAGACCTTCCTCTTTGTCTAGGTAATTTTTGGAGAAAAATTTTTCTACCTGAAATTGATTACAATAATAATAAGTCGCAGCTGATTAAAGAAAACAGGTCTTCGTTCTGCGATTAAATCAATTATGAATAATATTATAAGAACAAATTTATATTATACACATACTAGAGGATAACCGAAAATAAGAATAGGTAGCGCTGCTTGTTTCCGTTCCCTCTCATTCAACTTGTGAACAGGTCGAGGGTGTGATGAAGCACTTCCACCCCCACTGCATTCTTCCTCTCTTGCCTCGCGAAGATATTCATTTGTGTGTGAGCTAGAAAAGAAATAATCAAAATACTTTCTATTTATTCCTATAACGGTATTTATTATTATTATTATAATTCTTCACTTACTGTCGTAGAGCTGGTAGCATTCGTTCTTCATAAGCTTCGAAAGTAGATCTTGGGCCCGCACTCTTGTTTCTTCTACGCACTAATGTACCTAAGAAGCAGTATAGATAAATATAATAGTTTTGACGAAAGTTCGTATAGAAAGAATTATAAAGAAGTGTACCGTTTGCTGCGTTCGGTGTAATACTTCTTCGAGGGCTATCTGTTTCTTTCCTTGTTTCTTCTTCTTCTTTTTTAAGTGCTTCTCTTCTCTCTTCTTGGTCTTGTATTATCTGTGGTGATCGTTCTGGTGCTAACTGTACATCTTCTTGTAAAGTTTGGATTGGAGACTGAAATTCGTAAAAATAGCATTAAGTACTGAATAAATCGATGTAATTTTTATTTTTCTGTCAAAAGCTACTTACAGTTGAAATATGATTAGTGTCTTCGTCATCTATGCCGTTGAATGGGGTTTGCTCGGTGTTTTGTTCTATCGGTGGGACGGGTGATGGAATATCAAGACTCATCGCTCCAGTTGCTACTGATGGTGATAAATGGTGGGAGAAATCATAGGCTTTTGGCATTGATGAATCGTTGCGTGAATCAGGCTGTCAATTAGCAAAAAAATTGATTCATCAAACACATACCTATTGGCTTCCGCCAATTTTAATCTTATAGTTTCAATTAACCGGCTTTGTAGTGTAGACGTAGAATGATAATTGCGAAATGTGTATTTTCATTTTCTTTGCCATCTACTTGTTTCCTAAACATCGAAAATGTGGTAAAACTAAACGTATTGCGCATTACAGTAATACAATGAATAGTAAATTGAATATTATAAACAAAGTGTAACGTAAAATCACTTTACCCCATCTTCTTCAAAGAGACGTAAAAGTTCCGAGTCGTCTTTTACTCCCATCAATGCATCTGCGATTCTGTCTCTCATGCGCCTAGCAAGCTCAAAGTCATCGCGGGCTGCCGCCGTTCTTTTACGTAATCGCCACCTTCCTATCCTGATACCTGCTGCTGCCAATGCTGAGCCAGCTGACTTAAGTCGACGGGCGTACTCAAAACGCTCTTCTGTGATTGAAAAACAAAACATTTTTTTAATCATAGAAGAAGACAGACAAGCGTGCGTGGGTTTCACTTAATGGGAGGTGAAATACCCAAGCCATAACATCTAAACGAAATGCTCTATCGACCTATTTTGGCTTTGGATATTCGGAAATCCATAGACTGAAACCGAAACGTGATAAAACTTCACAGCTTTTTATTTGTGGAAGGTGGTTCGTGACCGGACGAAACTTCTATATTCCTACCAACCACGTAACATCCAGATTTCAAGAGGAAGTTTCAAATGTTTCAGAAAAATTATAACTTGAAAAATTAGAAACATCTTGGACCCACTGTGAATCGAACCCCCAACCCCTTGATGTAGATTTGTGTAGATGTAGATTTATCAGGCTTACCGGTAACAGCTATTCTTTTCTTTTCATCTAAATTCCGGACTAGATCAGCTATTTCATTGTCCACATACATAATAAAAGCGAGGTCGTCATACGGAGAGAAACTGACTTCTGCCTTCATGTTCTCTACCGCAGCTGTCTTTTCGTCGTCCTCTACTTCATCTCCTAGTACGTTGACTGCCATTAACGCTACCTAAAGATATAATTTAAATTTAGCATCTTACATATTAACTTGATATGAAAATAAATTTGTGTTTGCTAACCTGATCGTCTTCTTTTGCTGGTGGGTGAGGCCCTGATAGTCTGAGCTTAACAAATCTTGCTACAGTTGGTTCTGGGAGAGCTGCAGATCTAAATTAAAGTAATACGTATTTTTAGTATTCATTTATATCACATATACAACTAAATTACATAAGTGTAAAACCTAATAAAATGACCAATACCTGGTATTTAATATTCAATTGTTTTTTACAACACAGGTTGGTGTAAAAATATTATTCAAAAGTATTATTGTCAAATATTTCTTCTATACGGTTAGTACCTAAGTTCCCTTGTTCTTGCCTGTGGCGTCGGTTTGGCTAGAGTCACTTTTCCTACACTGGTGTAAGTTGCGCCGCAAGGGGTTGCGGCACCTTCTGATACCAGACCTCCTGACACCAATACTTCCACGCAGGCAGCTGTTAGAATTGGATAATTTAATTAAGAATGGGTAACACCAGGGAAAGCCAGGTCTGTTCTCAAACGGGTTTGATGAGCTCGTTGGTGTAATAGTAGCAATGTACGGTTGATAATCAACGGGTCGTGGGTTTAATACCCAAAGGATTCAACACATTTCTACTTTTTTAATTTCTAATTTTACTGAAATGTCTTCGTCTGGAAATCTGGATATTAAATGGTTGGTAGGAGTATCGAAATGTCTTCCGGATCACGAACAACCGTCCACAGATAAAAAAGCTGTGAAGTTTAAACACGTTTTAGTTTCAGTCTGTGGAATTCCGAATATACAAAGGCAAAATAGGGCGACATCACATCTTATTTAGATGCTGTTAGATGATACCTATGCTTGTTTGTCCTCATCTATCATTAAAAAAATTATCCTTACGTATAAGTTGGTGATGTGCCAATAGCTGAAGTTTGTGTATACTGGTGACGCAGGTGAGTCTGAGAAGTAGCTCGTGCGGTGGTGAACCAATGCTGCGCCAGCCGCGAACCGCCGGCCCTTGGGCGTTTAGCTCGCATGCTGGGTATGCGCTGTCTTCACCTAAGATATTAACTTTAACATCACATACTATGGATATCTATTGTAAAGTAGTTGTGTCAGCAACTTCGTCCAGAATAGTTATTTTGGGCATCAAATTGGCAAACCTCCTCTTTATGTCTATAAATTTAAGCTGTTAGCCATGTCTTCGGTCGCGTCCCGTCATTCTTCCAAGTTAATCTTAAAAGAGACATACATTCGCGGACATTGTTTTAGACCTAGGTAAGCTACCAAGATGAATAATTTTACCTTTTTTTCGCATTTCTCGCTGTTTCTGCTCCTATTAGTCAAAGCGCGATAAATACTCTACTCTAACTAACACAAATATATTTTTTCAATTCGAGTACTTTCTGAGATTAGCACCTTTAAACATACAAACAAACACACTCTTCAGCTTTATATATTAGGACAGACCTAGTAAATCGCATAAAATTGAGATGTATACAAATATGGTTATTAAATATTCATATATCAGTGTGCTTCGTAGTTCACGAGTATTGATTAAAAGCTGAGTGATGAGCTTTCAATATTTTATCACCACAGAGAACTAGTTTGTATTAACCTATTGAGGTCCCAATACTACGGTCAGATCCTTTTTCGTGGGTAGATAAAAGATTAAACCTATTTAGGTAAATTAGCGTACATTTAAATGAAAAAATAATAATAATTTGACATCGTTCTTCATACTTGGTTGCTTACGACTTGCGACCCACTTACGATAAGTATCTAATTTAGACCGCATCAACTGCATTGCAGGTGCAACTAGGTAGCCTAGGTTTATAAATACTAGGATTTACATATAATCATTAAAAGTAATACAGTATTTTATTTAAGCATTAAATATAAGCAATCTATAATTTAAAAATGATTTATTTGTTAACTTTAATTAACATACAGCGATTTTTAAACTAATACTTGTATATCAGTAGTGAGTAATAGTTGTATATCATAATGTAAATTATTTAAATTATTGTAATTTTTTTATTTAGAAGTTTAGTTACGTGTTATATTTAACACTTAAAAGGCGGATTGATTTATTAGCTATTAAGGTAACTAATGATGATGATGAATGATGAAATGAGTGTTTTGTTTTAAAATACTTACTTGTTGCGTAAACTACATGAAAGGGTATACGTTTCGGCATTTTCTTCTATCTATTAATCCACAATTGAATCTCCGCTCCCATATTTCTGCTATTCATCACAACGTCAAGAGGAAAAGCACTCGTTCATTTTTATAGAAAAATAAAAATTTTAGACGGCACTGCAATAATTAGAACTGAACATAGATATTTCATTAAATTAATAGAAAAGGACGTAAAGTGGACGAAGTGTGTCAGCTTGGGGTGTAAAATCGATACTACCGTTTGGATGAGCTATTTTGCTGGTGTACCGAGGGCTGGATACATCTTTTGGGACGAGCGCCATCTAGCGAGTGGTGTATACATAATTTTGTCTAGTAACAATTTGGCTATATATAATTGAGGTTATAAACTAGCTGATCCGCCAAAAGTTGTTTTGTTGTCAGCTATATTAATATTATTATAATGATAAAACTCTAACAAATAATTGGTAAAAAATACATTCATTTCGGACAAAATTTGATTACCATAAATACAGTTCTCGTCGTTGAGTTAATCTCAAATGTTAGACATATACTGGCGCGGCCATTTTTTCAGTTCATTTAAAGGGGACTCATTTCTTCATAGACATGTTTGGTTTCTTGAAACGTTTTCACAACGTACGGATGCCATCAAAGGTACTAATGTCGTAAAGACCTTCCTCGCTAAATGGTCCAAGAATTTTTTTTCGAACTAGTAGTTCCTGAGATTAGCGCGTTTAAACAAACAAACACTTTTTCTATTCAACCAGTTCTTTCCCTTGAAATATTATTACTATACCCACTAGGATTCAATGCGGTCAAAATGCGGCATTTATAAAAGTTGTTCCTGTTTTAAAAGACTCTTTTGGAAAATTTGCACTAGAGTTTCGAATGATTTTTACATTACTTACATAAAACAGCAAAATATATACAGCGAATGAGAACCTAGTTTTTTAAAAGTCGGTTAAAAAAGTAGAGCGTTTGTGTGTGTGTATGTGTATTGGGATAAAATACTACAATGATCGGTTGTATAAAATCTAAATAAATACCATTCATCAAAAGGAAAAATTTTATTCCAGACCACAATTTTATTTTCCAAAAACTTTTCAATATAATATAAATCGGTAAACTTATTTTAGTTCTAGGTGTTTTATAGCCGCTACCGTTAGCAATTATTATCCTTTGACTTCATATTCAAAAGATACAACAAAAAAACATTTTGTTGTATCTTTTGAAAACTATGAAATATCGACGGTACGTATTTTCGTTATTTATTACAATAATCATCTGGGGCGTTCTGCACAATCCAGTAGAGAAGTTGCGTCAATCGAGTGTTCACACCAGGTTTATTTGATGCACAGAATTCTCCTGAGCTGATAACACCAACGAGGTACTGAAGACTGTTCTGACGGTCTGTGTATAATAGAGGGCCACCAGAATCGAACTGAAATAATAATTATCTTTAATAATTTACCTTTACCGTTATCTGTAGTTCAAATAAGTTATACTTACATGTTTCTATAAAACACTTTTAACGGTTTAAAACGCGAAATATGTAAATAATTTTATAATAGTTAGAGTCCTAGTTTACACCTTTCTAAGTATTATAACTTTGGCCCGACATTTCACATAACCCTATATAAGTTTAACTAATATATTGTACGTTTTATACCGTTAAAAAAGTCTTATTTATAACTGATTGCGAAACTCGACGCCATTCCCCTCCCCCGCCGCCTCACCTCGATCCTTTACTCCTTCCTCGATGGTCGCACATTTCACGTCGCCGTTGATGACGCCCGTTCGAGTCCCCGCCGAGTTACAGCGGGCGTTCCGCAAGGAAGTTGCATCTCGCCAACGCTGTACTCGGCCTACACAGACGACGTTCCAGCACCGCCAGACACCAGAGTGGCCCTCTTCGCTGATGACACGGCGTACATCGCGACCTCGTTGACATCACAACATGCGGCCATCAAGCTTCAACGATCTCTAGACCTCCTTCCCGATTGGCTTCAAACGTGGCGTTTAACTGCCAATCCCGCCAAAACTCAAGCCATCTGCTTCGGTCGTGGCATTTTTCCGCCTTCTCTTACCCTAAATGGCATCGATCTCCCCTGGCTAAACCGCGTCACTTACCTCGGCCTTACAATCGACCGAGGCCTCACCATGCGCCATCACATCGCCACTGTGGTCGGTAGGGCCAACGCGGTTCTAGCCAAACTCAACCCCATTCTCTCTTCGAATATCCCTCTCCACACTAAGAAATCCCTTTTCAACGTATATGTCCGTTCCCACCTTACGTACGCCGCACCTGCTTGGTATGCGCTGGCGCCGAAAGCGCAGAAGAACCGGCTCAACGCAGTGCAGAACAAGGCACTCCGGCGCATTACCAAAGCCCCGCGTTACGTAAGAAACGCTACCATCCACCGAGATCTCCGGCAAGACACCCTCAACGATTTCATCGTCCGGATGGCCAAGAAGATGTTCGCAAAAGCCGATTCATCGCGCACGCCTCATCTACAACATCTCGCCCCATGGCACACTAGGCCACCGGACCGAAGATACCCACTACCGCGAGACCTCCTCTCCCCTCCCGACTCCCCGCCTCTCCCTGCAGCAGCAGCAGACGGCAACAGATAGTGAATCACCACCGGATTTGACCTCGAACGCCGATCCCGCGTCTTCGTCCGCTGGTCGCCTCGCTGGGCCTCCCCCGGGGTTACCGGGGGTCTCACCCGGCGGTGCTTGACCGCGAGACGCGGGGGCGTTCACCAACCATCGACGACGACCCCAGGGACCGCCTTGTATCAGCAAGGCGCGCTAGACACCCCTTGCAGAGCCCAAAAGGGCTGAACAAGGAGGTCGCGACTTTGTCGCGACCAGGAGAAACACACGGTTATTTATAACTTACACCTACAACTGCTACTTGTCTGTTTACGCGATACCACACGTTTTAATTAACTTTGCAGTCTGCTGCTGCAAGCAGCACAAACGTATATTGCAAATTAGTTAACAAATATTTCGTGTTTTAAACCGTTACAAGTGCTTTATCTAATTCGATTGATCAAAGCATGAATTTCAAGCTCTATAAAGACACTAAATTTCGCATAATTTTCCATAGGTATATCTTTTACTGATAAAACAGTAATCGTAAAGTAGGTATGTAAGTAGGTTTTTCGGCATATTTACCTGGCAAGCGTCTTTCCCTGGCGTGTAAGTGCATATTTGCCTAGGTGTAACGTTTGACACATATTGTCTACACTCCCCTTGACTAATGACTTTAACTTCTACTTCTTGAAGGATATCCGATTTCGGCCCTCCAATGAATATCGTGCCCCAACCTATTGAAAAAAGAAAAACAGTTTAATTGTAGCGCGAGAGGCGCATGCATCCATAAGTTGAAAAAAATACGACGATGACGGTTAATGACTCAATTGGCAACAGCACGGAACGCTATGGATAGCGGTTCAAGGCCCGCCCAATTAAAAAATATAAATTTAAGTTTTTTCTACATTGTTTAAGTAGTCAATATGTTTTATGCCTGTGAAACTATTAAAGACTATATGTGTACGTTTACTCTATATTCCTCATGATATGTTAATAAGATATGTCTGTATTTTTCTTGTATGCTTAAATAAAATAAAATAACCGTAAAATTAAGCAATTTTTATTAAAAACATACGAGCGACGATTTAGTAGGGTTTCTATGGCAACTAGAGTAATAAACACATAAGAGTATATCTCCTTACCTAGCAAAATGACTTTCTCTTCTGCAAAAGTAGAGTTAGCATACTTAAAGGGTAAACACGCTGGTCCGACGTACTGACCAAACACCATATCTTCGAGAGTTTGTAAAATGGCAATATCGTAGTCGTAATTTATACTAAAATGAATGTCATTAACGTTTAAAATGTATTGTAAATACATAATCTACTATAAAAATCACTTTCAGCTCGTTGGTATAATGCGAGCAACGCATGGCTAATAATCGTGTGTTCGATTCCCACCGGGTCCAAGATTTTTACGAACCATACATGGAAAAGCCGTTTCGGTTTCCACCTACCATCGAGTGAACCCCCATGCTTTCCTCAACATCTATATCATAGCCATTTTAAGCACATTTGCCTTTAACTATAGTTATTGTATTATGGACTTGCTACTATCGATATAGGGCAGCCTGAAACAAGTAAATACTTACTCGGTATAATACGGATGTATTTTTATGTCTGATAATCTGTAAGCCCTTGTTACATTTGTGTCACCTGAAAAACTTAGGACAATAATATGACAGTCAGTGGCAGACAGACAACTGACAAACGCTCTTGAGGTGTGGCAGTAAACAATTAAAAACTATACGTTCCATCGTTTTGCCTCTACTTTTTCGTATAAAGCTACACAATACCACACTATAGGCACTTTCGTTTCGTTTCGTTTTGTTATGCCTCACCCCACTGGTCACAAAGAAGGACCCTTCGCCAGGAAATATAACTCGCTATCGCCGTCTACTCTACTTAGGGCCACACCTTACTGAAATGCCATGACTATCGGCTTCTTCAGTCGTCGCCGACGAATGACTTGGCATCCTTGGCAGCCTTAGCAGTGACGTCAAATGACTCTTAGGCTCACCACACCACATGGTGCTTTTCTCAGGTGCACCTTTGTTTTAGGCAATAGACGAGTCAGCAATTGCTTTGTCAAGTGTTCAGTGACCCTTGACAGTTGCATTAATAGGAATAGACAAATTTTTATTTGAAACTTTTGATATACAAATGCCAAAAAACGTTTTGACGGACTCATCGGTGTAATGGTAGCAACATATTGATATTTAAATAAAACACTGTAACGGTTTAGAACGCGGTATATATCAGTTAAACTTATTTGAAAATATTTTAATTACGGTCCAACGTTTCGGATGCTGCGGTCACGGGGAGACAACTCGTGCTCTGGTCTCCCCGTGACCGCGTAAAATAATATATATCGTGTTTGACACCTTTAAAGTGTTTTATTTAAATGTGTATCACTCGCGTAAACTACAGACAGTGTTGAAAGTATGACTAACAACGGAGGGTAGGTTCGATCCCCATCGAGTCCAATATTTTTCTCAGTAATTTATATTTTTTTGGGAACATGTTGAACTTTGTCGGGGTTGGTTGTTTTGAACAACCAACCACGGATGTAAGTTGTTTTAGTTTCAGTGTATTTCTAAAAAAAAAGCCAAAAATGGTGATGATAATGGTATAATATATAATTATTCGATTACCTCCTGTTGTAGTGTCTTGTTCTCCAACGACCACGACAAGCCTGCTTGCTTGCTTTCCGATCACGCAATGGGCTGCTGTTATCAAGTATTTCTTTGATATAATCGTCGCCCCACACATTATTGTGTTGTCTTGTTTCTGTAGCTCGACTACTCCAGCCATCATGGGAAACTCGTTGGGAAGCGTATCTCTACCATTCACTATACGTTTCTATGGAGAGACAAACACTGTTATAATAATGGACATAAGCGCTATTACGCACTGTCGAACTAGTCGTAATAGCATTAAAATGTTGGGTACGTTATTTATATAATACTAGCTGTGCCAGCGACTTGGTCGGCGAGAATCGTTATTTTCGGTAATCAAATTAGTTTTTGCAAACCCCGTCATCTTTATAAACTTAAGCTGTTAGCGTTCTTGCAAGTTAATCTTAAAAGATAGACATATAGCGTCACGGACTTTTTTTAGATCATTTAAAGAGGAATCAATCTGTCGCTTGCACTGAGAAAAGTGTTCAAGATAAAACAAGTATTTAGGTCATTTAAATAAGAGTAATTCTTCTCTGATCTTAAATGATCTAAATTTTTTTATTTATTTCTAATTAACTCACAAGAACCGTTTTTATGGGAATCGAACTTCGACTAAATATTTCATATCGCAAAAGAATGTTTGCTAGTTGATCAGTCGAGTGAAAAGAGTATATTTGTAATTATATACATTTGATATGGAGAAAAATGGCTCCTTGCTCTGTCTAGCTTTCGAATAGCAAATAAAATGTTTAAACAATAATAATACAGTTTTTTTTGTTAATAGGGTAATAAATGAATAAAAATAATCTTTTATATGTTTGCGAAAGCATTAGGTACAAATAATACATTTACATCCTTATCGCACTTTCTAAAAAACGATAGAACGCAATAATGTAACACACTAACAATTATATGATAATACAGAATACAAGTTTTAGTAATTGTATGAATAAATAATATTACGATCCCTAAGTAATATTTTTGCAGTCTTACTGCTGGGGTTTAAGACCCACCACGCCATACACTGCTCAGTAAGGATTGGAAAAATTCATCATTTCGTTCGTACAGAGCTTCGAGCTCTGGACCTCGTGAGCTGCAATCGTTTGTGCCTACTAGACAAATAAAGCACATTTTCATTTTTATTTATAGGATATGTAGACTAAGAATTGGTTTCTACGTTGGCTAACATATTTTTAATATCCTACTCACCAAATTCCGTACACCACAAGTGCAAGATGATATGTTCGTAGCAGGCTGCGCTATGAGATTGCATGAGAATTGACCCTCTCGCACAGGTGATACAAGACCTGACATGCGTTTATATTAATAATATAATAAAACAAATAACACATTAATTTTTTTACGCTTCCATCGTACTTATCGTTGTTATTTAAAACCATCAAAGTTTCTTTTACGTTATCCCACTTCTATTCGCTACGTCAGTTAATATAAAATCATGGGGCGAGCATATTTCTGTATCGGTTTTATTTACAAGGACGGTAATTGATCATATCTATATGCCCAACTCATCAAAACTGCATAACAAGGTATTGTCTCCAGGTTCGTAAACCCCTAGCGCTTAACGCAATGCTAGGCAACACGTTTAGCTACAGATGCGGTCATTTACAACTTACTATATTTTCAACATACTTATGTAAATGTTTTGTTTCTCTGATACAGCTGTAAGTGTCCCTTTTCCACAATACCACTGTCCGTCACGAAGGTTTGGGTCACCAGACTTCGATATCCAAACTTGACTTCTGGTACAGCCAGACACCTTTAAGAAGAAGACATTTTAAACCACCCGTGTTTCTAACATATAAGATTTTTATAAACTTGTCCGTTATATGTAGCATAGTTTATATCATCTTAAATACTATAACGATGACGGTTCCAGTCCCGCCCGTGTCGTATTCTTTTTCTAGAATAGATTTGTAATCAATATGATATGTATTATATATTTAACTTAAACAATATACAGGTTAATTTTAGATGCCGAGCTAAAAAATTAAACTACTAGAGCGAACATTTTTGTTGGAGTTACTCCTGGAGGAAAGATACTCACTGATGGTGTGTCAATCACACAATCCAGTCTACAATTATAACCAGGAGGGCATGTGGCTGACCACGAACATTCCACTCCGCAAGAGGAGTATCTTGGACACGTTATTTCATACCTCTGACCGGGCATTACCTAAAAAAGGAGTAGAATTTTTAAAATAAAGAATATATTCGAAAACTTTAAAGTCATTTTATTCCATTGTCTTTTACGTTAACATGGACAGTAGCTGTGACGTATTTTTATCAAAATCTATTTTGGAACAAAAAAACCTTTACCCAAGTATATATTATGTTAGTTTAACTTATTTGAAAATTGGGGATTTCCCTACTAGAGAAGCCAGTTGGTACCGTACCGGTCTAACACGACTGAAATTCAAATGACTGTCTTAAAGTCTTAACTTTACAGTATGATAAAAGTTGAACAATGAACTATATAAACAAGTAAAACTATTTTAACTACCGACGTTTCGGATGCTTTGCAGCCATCGAGGTAACGGAGCGAAACGGGGCTGCTGCAAAGCATCCGAAACGTCGGGCCGCAGTTTAATAATTTTCAATAAGTTACATAATATATATCGCGTTTTAAACCGTTAAAGTGTTTTATTTAAATGTGTACAACTCGCGTAAACTATAGATAATATTTTAATATAAAACACTATTATATTTCTGTAATTACAACAGCCCGAAAAACAATGTTATGTTATGATACAATTTTTAATTCGAATACCTACATTTTGTTTGAACGCACATTGTGTATTTTGTGCTTCTGCGTAAGAAAAGAAAACTGCTAAAGAAAACACCTGCAAAAGAAAATTGATGTAAGATAAAGTCAACCTAAGGTTATCGATATTTCGCCATCACGAACGGACGGCATCATCACGCGATGTTAACTCCTCGGTTGCTCGAAGAATCAGTTAGCAAAACGTCGAGAACCTCTTCTCACTTACGTCGGCCGAACAGCCCGAAAAACAAGTATCTTTATTTATTTGTTTGGTTTAAATAAAACACTTTAACGGTTTAAAACGCGATATATTAGTTAAACTTATTTGAAAATGATTTTTAACTTCGGCCCGAGTTTCGGATGCTTTGCAGCAGCCGTGGTCACGGGGAGACACGTGGTCTCCCCGGTGACCACGGCTTTTATTTAAATGTGTACTACTCGCGTAAACTATAGACAGTATTTTATTTGTTTGGTTTACAAATGTGGTTACAAGTCCTCGTCGTCGCAATTTTAGTGTATATATAATATCTAATACATGGAAAAAGAGATAAAATCGTTGCAAAACATTAAATTGTATGTAGCTAAAAATCTCACGCAGCACATACGTTTATTAGAATATTAAAAACTCACCCATCTTCTTGTGTCAAACGTCATGTTTCAGTACAACACTGTAGACAACAATTATTCTAATATTATTGCTGTCATGTCAGTATTACTCTACATTTATTTGCAATTAACAAAATTCTTAATTATAGGTACTTTGTACAAAACGACAACTAGAGTATCGTCACGGTATCGTCTGTTACACTGGCTAAATAATATTTACTGTATGTTTTTGTTTAATACCATTGATGAACAAAAATAAAGAAGGTTAATAATTAATTGGCTTAAAGATATATCAAATGCTTAAAGGAGATCAAATTGTATATTTTTAAATAAGAGAATATACGTCTTTCGTATTCTACAAACAGACAGTGAACATTGTTTTATACACACGTCAAATTAAATATACAATACGTGTTCGCTAAGTAATCGACATGTTTTTCATAGTTTAGTTTTTCCAATTTTCAATTATAATTATCCTAATGTTTGTTTTTTAGTTAGTCTGTCTATATAGAATTTAGGATTATGAAATAAAGATTTTATTGTATATGTAAAAACGATTTATAGAAGGGTTTTTTTGAAACCTGTTAATGCTTGCTGAACGTGTGTCAAAAAAAAAACAAAATTGAATTATAAACATCTCGGACGTTGTGGGAAACGAACTCACGCCCCATTATAAGTTAGATTAAAAGTTAACATAAAAATCTATTTATCAGGCTTAAATCATTTTTTTTTGCCATTAGAAAGAGAAAACACTTAAATATTTATAAATTTTCACAAAAAACATACAAATAAAAATATGTAATATCTCACAGATTAAAAAATAATTTCGAGAGATTTCGTGGTAGGTTTGCTTTCCGCCTCTGTCACAGATGTTTTCAACTTCATCATATAAAAGAAATAACAAGACATTATATGTTTTCTTAGTTTATTTCACGCAGTAGTCCGCTGGTGCGTTTTGCACAATCCAGTTGAGCAGTTCTGTAACTCTTGTGTTGACACCTGGCTGATTAGCAGAGGCGCAGAGGCGTCCAGAGCTGACAATTCCAGCGTGGAATAAGAGTCCGGTCTGTCGGTCTGTGTATAGCAACGGCCCACCCGAATCAAACTGGAAAGAAAACATTTTTATAAGTAACTAGCCAAAAAGATTAAAACTAAGCATTTACTAATTGTTTATTTTACATAACTATTTAACTAACGTTATGCACTCACCCAAATAGCTCCAGAAAGGTAGGTTTTTTCCTAGTTACTCCTTACAGCCAATATCTTTATAAATTGTACCTATTTTTTTATTTATTATTATTTTTAATTTTATATTTTTTATAACAATCTCCTACTTCACTTATAATTTATTTATCATTGTTCCTATATCAACAAAAATTTTTAAAGTAATCTGTTGTTTTTGTTTATAAGATTTAATGAAACTTTTTAAATGTCTAACCCTGAAAAGGACTTACTTTTTCGACAAAAGGGTGTAAGGGGTAAAAGGGGGGTGAAAAGTTGTAGGGAATTTAGTTTTTTAATAAACTTAAAATTTTTCTTTGGTTTCTTGGAAGGAGAAGGGAGTAGTTGAATGGTTTGAGCCAGTGAGGTGAGAGTGTTCCAAAAACACTTACACTGATTCTTGCCTTAAATGGCCCATACATAATTTCCTCCCTAGTTTAATTATATAGAAAATTTTATAATATAAATTAACCATTTATTTTGTTTAAACACTTATACAAAAAGACAGACGCTTTCGAATGTCTTGTTAATAGGGTTAATTTTATAGATATTTTGAGATATACCTGACAAGCGTCCTTTCCAGGAGTATAAGTGCAGATCTGGCGGGACGTGAGTGACGGTACAACTCGTCTGCAGGAATCCTGACTGATTACATTAACATCTACTTTCTGAAGAATATCAGAAGTGGGACCTCCAATGAATAATGTTCCCCAACCTACGGCATATGTATTGCTCATATTATTATTATTAATAAAATTATTAAATAATGGGTCGTGAGTTCGATCTCCACTCGGTCTAACATGTATCTAATTCATTTATAATTTTACTAACTTTGGAAATGTGGATTAAATAGCTAAAAGTAATATCGAAATTCCGTCCAGGCCACAAACTACCGTCCACATATGATAACCCATCTGTGGATTTCCGAATATCCAAATCCGAAATAGGTCGATAACACATCTTGTTGTTATATGACTGGGGTATTTCTCATTCCATGCTCGTCCTCTCCTATTACAAAAATGTGTTACCTAGAGCAAGAAATTTACGATACGGGCGGGACTTGTTTCGGCACCCACAGTGTTCCGACACCTACCTGAGCTACCGTGTCACACGGTGCAGTAAAATGTGAAAAATATGAAAGGTTTCAAACATCCGATATTACTGTTTAAAGTTATTAATATTGAATAAATAAAAAACTTGTGGATACGTGTATATAACTCACCAAGGATCGTAAGGCTTTCGCCGGTGAAGTCGTAATTGGCGAACTTGAACGGCAAGCACACAGGGCTAGCGTATTCGTTGAATTGAATTGATTCAGCTAATGTTATAATTGCGATATCGTAGTCGTAGGTTGCCCTAGAACCAAATACATTAAATAAAAATTTAAAATGGCATGTATGATTTTGTACGCTATTGCAATATTTCACGGGGTCGTGTAATGGTAGCAATGTACAGCTAATATTGAACCCCCATTTTTCTAAACAATTTATAATTTAAATACTGTCTATAGTTTACGCGAGTAGTACACATTTAAATAAAACACTTTAACGGTTTAAAACGCGATAATATTAGTTAAGTTATTGGCCAGTTTCGCCAAATACCAACTTCGACGGAACAGATGGCGCTAGCGTAGCAATTTTTTACTTTGACGTCAGAGACATCCTCCCCGTGACCACGGCTGCTGCAAAGCATCCGAAACGTCGGGCCGAAGTTAAAAATCATTTCCAAATAAGTTTAACTAATATATCGCGTTTTAAACCGTTAAAGTGTTTTATTTAAATTTATAATTTTTCTGAAAAATGTTGGAGTTCGTCTGGAAATCTGGATATTCAATGGGTCACGAACCATCATCATCACCATCATCAGACGTAAAAGCCGTGAAGCTTAATCACGTTTCGGATTCAGTCTGTGGATTTCCGAATATCCAAAACCAAAATAGGTCGACAGCGCATTTTTTTAGATGCTATTGGTTGGAGTATTTAACCTACCATCGAGTGCACCCCATGTCTGTCCCTCTATCATTGAAAAAAAAACTGTTCGGCGGGTAATTTCTGGTCACAGCCCCCGTGTCAGATGCAGTGCATCCTGCTCTGCCATTTGTGGACTGACTTCTCCCTTATAACTCTATTTATTTAAGACTCGAGATATTAAAGTAAATAATCCGTATAAATTTAAGTTGTTCCCCATTTACGCTATATCGCTACTTCGCTCGCACTACAAAGATGAATGATTTTTCCTGTTCTTTCCACATTTACAGCTGTTTCTTTACGCCTATTACTAGTCGCAGTGTGGTTTTTTATAGCCTATAATCTTCTTCAATAAATGCTCTAACCAGCACAAACAAACAAACAAACTCTTCAGCTTTATAGACTAGTATAGATCCAATACTCACTCAGTATAATATGGATGTGTTTGAAGCTTAACCACTCTGTATGCTCTCGTTCCAGGGGAATCCGCTAAAACATTGTTAATTTTGAAGATCACCATTCACAACATAAATATTATAAGTACCTATTCCTTAATAAATTGTGTAAGGCTTTCACGGCCATCGTTCAGTATATCATTGTTTTTCGGGCTGTTCGGCCAATGTGAGCGAGAAGAGGTTCTCGACGTTTCGCCACAATTCTTCGAGCAATCGAGGAGCTAACATCCCCTGATGATGCTGTTCGCTCGTGATGGCGAAACGTCGAGAACCTTTTCTCGGTCACATCAGCCGACCAACCCGAAAAACAATGATACCTATTTCTTATTCCAGTAACTTACATCCAGTAGAAGTATCATGTTCTCCTACAACCACGGCCAAGTTATACGGGCTCTTGCTCGCAATACAATGTGCAGCGGTTAACACATATTTGTCCGATATGATAACCCCTCCACACATAATGCTGGAACTACCACGCTCAACCAGAGCTACCATACTGGGAAACTCGTTCGGTTTCGCATCTTGACCGCCGACAATACGACTCTGTTGGATTTGGAAAAGAAAGGAGTTATAGTATGTGAACTGTATTGCTACAAGAGATAGTCGATGTTTTCAATACATGCGAGGCTGCTAGAGCCAGAGTGGCCTAATAACAAAAACATGATCTTCAATAAGGATGAAAATAAAAATGCGCACTTAACTATCGCGAAAATGAATTTGTTGTTGTAGATTAACATTTTTAGACAAAAAAAAATAGAAATAAATCTAGACAGAAAATTGCAGTTACTGTGCCGCTAGCGGCCTCATTTTTAGTACCTATGGCCATGGGTGTATCAGACTGACAAATAAATTTACTGTAACATGCCAACTCGAAACTATCGAATAAAACTATTGATTTGCACCCTTGGTCTAGCCACAAGCGCGGCAAAAGTTCAGCTTAATTATCACTATAAAAACTGTAACCGTTAACGAACTAGATACTGCCTATATTTAGTGGCGCGTGAAAATAGACGCAATTTGGGCAATACATTTTAAATAAAGCACTTTAAGGGTTTAAAACGCGATACATTAGTTAAACTTATTTGAAAATAATTTTTAACTTCGGCCCGACGTTTCGGATGTTTTGCGGCAGCCGTGGTCACGAGGAGACAGTCATTTCCAATAAGTTTAACTAATATAATATCGCGTTTTAAATCGTTAGTGTTTTATTTAAATGTGTACTACTCGCCTAAACTATAGACAGTATTCAATACACTTTTTGTTTTTTCAGATTACTATAACGAAAAATTAAGGATTAACTAGTTAAATTTTTATATAAATTGGGAAAAACTACGACACGGAAATGACTTGAACCGGCATCCACAGCGTTCCGTGTTTTAGCTCTAACTAATTGAGCCACGTGTCATACGTGTTGTAAAATATGGTAGTATATAGAGTAGTGCCACAATGTGAAACAGATATTTCTACAGAAGTGAACTGACCGATTTTCTCACACCACACGAGCAAGGGGCTGGATTAGGTGTAGCGCGTTGAGCGACAAGTTGACAATTGAAGTTTCCTCCAGTGCTGTATCTCGAAGAAATTAATCCTGAAATCAATTTTTTTATGATAGATAAGGTCAGACCAGATGTGATTCACTTGATGGTTGGTGAAATACGCCCACCATATAACATCTTACTATAATGCGCTATCGTCCAATATTTTGTCTTTTGAGGTACATATTATATGCATGACTGATTATAAAAAAGGCTTTTGAATACAACTTGTTAATATGTAGAGAAAATTAAAATTGCTTGCCGTAAAAAACAAACTTCTAAATAGTTAGAAGGTTGTATCATCTTAGTTATTTGTTCTGTTCAATAATACTCTTATTATTAATTAATTATTAAAAAGAACAAAAATTTAAGTACACTCATCGTAATATTTATTAATGTATATATATATTTTTTTTTGTTTTAAAAATAAAATTTTTTTTTTTGGGTCTATAAAGCATGTGGTTCAGGAGAGCCTTCTATATTTAGTTAGTCTCGTTGTATAAAGTATAGCAATAATACAACGAGAAAAAAATAACCCTTTTTTCAATAATCCTATTAATAAATAGTTGATCATAAAAGCAACACTTCATAACCCAGTAGATATTGCTCCTTGGGTTTTCGGGATGAAGAAGACGAGAAATAGTTTGCGACGTTTCACCATCACGAGTGGATGAGATCATTAGTAGACGTTGGGCGTTAATCGAGAAAGCTAAGCAAAAATCTTCGATCTTATACCATTTAAAGAGACAGTCCACTTTTGATGGCGAACAAATGTAAGACCCAAAATGGCCGGGAACGCGAAGATAAAAAACCCACCAAGACTAATAGTCTGCCCAATAGATACTGCTGTGAAACTACCCCGTCCACAATATGGATCAGCTGATGCGAGCTGAGGGTCTCCAGATCTTGACACCAAGAGACGGTCGTAATAACATCCACTGCTCTGTAAAGTTAAAGATAATTTTGTTCACATTTCAATTTATAAGATGGGATTATCAATGGTGTTATCAAGCTGTGGAAATAAGGAAATCGTCCGCTATTGCCAATTAAGACGGTATGAGACAGAATAAACTCATCTGTGTTGTCTAAACTGCATAATTCGTTAGATCTTTTGATAAAAAAAATAGAATTAAGCAAAAAAATGGTTTATAACTTATTACTTTTTTTCTTTCGTTTTGGGAGGTTTTAAAAAGAAATTTATAACATAACTAGCTGTGCCGGACTTTGTCCGCGTGGATCAGTTACTTTGGGCATCATATTAATTAATTTTTATATTGATAATTTTTCTTTCCTCGATAAGTGGTCCGAACAACATAAATAAAACAATGGGATCCAGTAGTTTCTGAGATAAGAGCGTTCAAAAAAAAAACTCCAGAGCTTTATTACATTAGTTAGATACATAAATACTAAACTGTTTTATACCTCTAGCCTTACCTGTGGAATATTGACTTGACAGTCGATCCTACAGTTATACCCAGCTGGACAGTTCGCAATCCACCTGCATTGAACTCCAGGTCGATAATTATTAGGATACCCAGGGCTGTACACGTAGTAGGTTCTTCCTGCTATAACCTGCATTGTACCAAGTGAGTTAATTTACAACAAAGCTTTCAAATAAACAGCGTAAAGCTTCCCAAGTTAGCGCAATAAACCTACGTTTGTTATATGTGACAAAACTCAGACTCAAACAAGCAAAGAAGATAAGTACTTTTAAAAATTTTGGAATTACAAAATAAATGTTTAAAACATTTTTAATAACTACCCCAAGAAGCAGTTAACATTAATAATTTAAAATGGAAAATAATAAAAACAATTTGTTCTGGCCCTTACTGTATTCTTGGCCTGGCACATGTGGGATTTTTAAATGAATTAACTTAGTTAAAAGTGTATAGGTCTGCTGAATAACAATTACTATATACACTGTGAGGGTAATATAATATAGTATAATAATGACGATACGCAAAAATAAACTTACATTTTGACTAAAGTCACAATTAGCATCTTGAGCCCTTGTACTTGCAAGACAGAGCAAGGAAATTCCAAATACTACCGTAATCTGAAAAAAAAAGTCTTTGAAAAGGGGACACCCGGATTTGAACCGGGGGCCTATCGATCTGCAGTCGATTGCTCTGCCACTGAGCTATATCCCCGATGAGTGAACAGTTAAAATTGACTAATATTTTCTTAATTAGTCATATCAATAACCACCTACATAAAACTCCCACTCAGTAGTCAGCAATATGTTCATTACGTTGCATCAGTTTAAAGTCAAATGAACAACAAAACACTTATAAGTTATAATGGTTAAAAACGCCAATATTTATAAGTTGTTACCTACCCGTTTCCAATGCTTTTAGTAAGCTTGTGAAATTGTGTATACAACTAAACATTCGGTATTTTAAACCGTTGAATAAGTTCTAGTTAATATTTGCGCGAGCAGAGCTTTTTTGTAATATTTATACAGGGATTTATACGTATGGTTTCCATTTTCTAGACCATAGATTAAATAAATAACAACAATTAGAACCACCCCATACAAAGATCAATTTGGTTCATCAAAAAGATAACGGTCCATATATAATAAGAAAAAGGGTGAACTCTTTCTTCCAAATGTACTTTTTGGGTTTTTTTAGCCTACATGCCGACATAAGGGCTTAGATAAAACTTTATCCTTATCAATTTTAGCAATCAAAATCTTTTATTATTGTGAGTTACTAATTCTTAGAATCTAAGCTTATCGTCGTATTAATTGCTTTTTAATCTTATTTAAAAGAACTTATCTTCACTCTTGAATAAGTACGTACTTTAGTATGATAAAAAATAGTTTTTTTTTCTAAATAGACAAACGAGTAAGATTATTCATATTATCTATGTATAGTTTTATTTTTCTATTTTTTTGTACGCAATTGAAAATGTATTTATTTAGTTGATTAATGAATTTTAATAATTTTACGATAAACTATAGAATTGTTGAGTATTTTCAGTATGAGCAATTGACAGGAATTTCATTGCGATCCCACCTGATAACAATAAGACACTAAACGTACAGTTGATAAATGAAACGTAGAGTTGTACTGTTAGCTGCAGATCGTTCCATAACTTCATCTTCTTCGTCGAGAAGACAAATGTTGCGGGGTCTTTAAGGGGTTGTAGCAGAAAATGATGGGTAGCAGATATTTTTATACATATTTATAATTGTTAAGTGTATTGCTGTCTTTATAGTCTTTAGCTTTTAACTAGTGTGACGATTATAAGTGGTTCTAGTTACGTGAAAAAATGATTTTTGAGTTTGACTTTGACTATACAATCTTATAATTTTAATTAAGTGTACCTAAGCCTTAAAATATATTGTCTATAGTTTACGCGAGTAGTACACATTTAAATAAAACACTTTAACGGTTTAAACGCGATATATTAGTTAAACTTGCCGTGATCACGGCTGCTGCAAAGCATCCGAAACGTCGGGCCGAAGTTAAAAATCATTTTCCAATAAGTTAAAGTGTTTTATTTAAATACCTAAGGCTTATCAAACTAGGTCGAAAAATTCAGGCCGCTAAAATGACCAATTAACAATTAATTACTCGTAAATAAAGTATATTAAATAAAGTATATTCTTGTACTCCAAATAATCTAAATGTCTATAAAAAATTTTGGATTACAAAACGTAAAAAGTGTAGTTAATCTATCAATAGAATTATATCTATACTAATACATAAAGCTGATGATTTTTTTTGTTTGTTGGAACGCGTTAATCTCAGGAACTAGTGGTTCGAATTGAAGAAATATGTTTGGGTTGTTAGAGCATTTATCGAGAAAGGCTATAAAAGATCACAAAGTGACTAATTGGCCCGAAGAAACAGCGGGTAATATAAAAAAACGGGGAAAATTTATTAACTTTGTGGGCTTTCGATGCATACGCTGAACAAACGGTTTAAGATACCCAAAAAATATGCACAAAAGAATTATTCCTCTTTCAAGATTAATTTGCAAAAACAACGGGACGCGCGAGATGAGAAGGTTTGCAATAACAAGTTTTGTTGCCAAAAATAAATAGTCTACGCGGACGAGGTCTCTCATACAATTGATATTCTGCTGTTAATTATCACTTAAATTTCTTATCTTAACTAACTTTTAGTAATATCATATTAAAATAGCAATAATTAGTTCAGATATTGCATCAAAATATTACCTCAATAGTGTTACCACGTCTTATAAAACAACTATTCAAACACAGCTGCCTAGATATTTAATACCTTGTAAACAATGAAAATAGGTCCAGCTTATTACTGAAATATTAACACAATATTTACTCGTTTTTGATCGTTATTTCATGTGCGTGGAAAGTGACTTATAATAGCAGGTTAGTTTTGAATCTGTTTTTTGTTATTATTACTATTTTTTGTTATTATTATTTGTTATGACTTCTTTGCAGACTTACGGAAGTTGACTTACAGAAGAAGTACCTACATTACCTTATGGAACGGTTGATCTGTTAGTGACTAACTGTCAGAGAAAAAGTAGATAGAAGAAATTAAAATTATATAGAAATTATACACGCCATTTATAGAAAAACACTATACTGTATCACCCTCTATATCACTTTACCACGTTCCTTCAACTGTAAATACTCGAGTTCTTCGTTTTCAATCAGAAAGCTTCAAGCTCAAAGTTAAACCTTATATTTTGACTTAAAAATGGTACATACTCTTTTGTTTGTAGTTACTACTCATTTGTTTGGATATGAATGTAATTAGGTCGACTTTCCGGCTGTTTCAGCGATATGTTGTGATTGTTAATTCTTATTAATTACACGGCATAAAAAGATAAACACTTTTATAAATACATAATACCTATGTGCTTATTTTCATTATTTTATTTTGTTATTTAAAAGTTTTAAGGAAATAATTTTATTTCGATAAATTTCTTATTCACTGTTTATTATTAAATGCGCTGTCTAACAGACAATCAGTAGGGTTTTGCTGAAAATCAGTCTGTCAATCATAACTGTACTGCAACTAACTCGACCTTTTTGACACCACTGTTCTTAAAATTAAATTTAATCTTTTAATTCGATTATATATATTATTCGATATAATTTCGATTAAAATATATATTTTTGAATATCGTTTAAGACCCGCTTCATCGTATTAATAGTTGTCGATGTCAGGGTTTTTGTAAGAATCTTGACTGTACGAAAAACCTACAAACTCAATTTTCCTTGTAACTTACCTGCATTTTATAGTAGAAAGTAGAGCAACACTACACACTTCAGCTGCCACAAAAAAACGTAATATTATCGCCGTCTACTATTGACTACTAGCCATTATTTTAAAATCCCACTCAAGCCGTGTATGGAGTCGTGTGGACAGAAGGCACAGAAACACGGCATTAATTGTTCTATAGTCGTCATTTGCACATCAAGTGATAACGACGTAATAATCTCAGCATTTTACTGATAACAATACTGTTTACGTTCGTTCTTGTCATTATTTTACAGACACGAACACCGTAACATCACTGGCGAAAGACACTGTCACTTTTCAGTTCTATTCACATTATGTAAAATAGCCTCATTATAAAATAGGGACTATATAAATTACTAGCTGGGTCTGCGAGTTCCTCCGCGTAGAATAGTTGTTTTGGGCATCCAAATTTATTTTTGAAAACCTCTACACCTTTATAAATTTAAGCTGCCACCACCGGCCGCGTCCCGAAGCCCACGACACGGCCGCGTCCCATAGCCCACGACCCGTCGTTCGGGTCCCATCGTCCTTGCAAGTTAATCTTAAAAGATAGGCATATAGTATCGCGGACAAATTTTTCAGATCATTTAAAGAGAAATCATTGTTACATACATATTTATTTGGGTGTCTTGAGGCGTTTTTGCAGCGTACGCATCTGATACCCGGAGAGATTAAAAAAATTCCCTCGTTTTGTTCACATTTCTCGCTGTATTTTCGCTCCTATTAGTAACCTCGCAATGTGTTATAGCCCATATAACATTCCTCGATAAATGCTTTAACCAACACAAACATATTTTCTCAATTGGAACCCATAGTTCCTGAGATTAGCGCGTTAACAAACAAACTCTTCAGCTTTATGTATTAGTATAGAAATGTATGTTAATATTATAAAGCTGAAGAGTTTGTTTGTTTGAACGCGCTAATCTCAAGAACTACTGGTACAAATTACAAAAAGTTAACAAAATTGATAAACACTTTTAATACAGCTGAAAAGCGAATAATTATCGAACTATTGGATACTATTTTTCTTCCTATATGGCCTTAGCTACAAAAACCATTTGAATAGTCGGGTACAAAAAAATCCGTTAAAAATATTCACGTTTTAAAGAGTTTTATTATAATGTGTATAGTATAACAATTATGTATAGTTATTATTTGTAAATTTATATTAATCGAGTCCTATGGGCTAATGAAAATTTTATTTTATTTGTAATTGAATTGCAATTCAAACTTTAGGACTATTCAATTCTTAACGACTAACAACAGGCTCCTGGTGTAATGGGAGCAATGAATAACTAACAATCAACGGCTCGTGGGTTCGAACCCCACCGGGTCCAACATTCTTCCAACCACTGATTTCGTCATAAAAAACACTGCTTGAATTATCAGTAATTAAATACTGTCATAGTTCACGCTACACTGAATTATCAAGGTTTAAAACGTATATTACTTCATTTGTTTAACTAATATATCGACTTTTCGTTTGCAGTATTTGTGACTTTGCTACTAATTCTGTCTTGTCAGTAATTTTAAATTAATTTAATTTTAGCCTAATATATACCGAGTAATACTTTAAATAAAATAAACTATTCGAAGTCTTGAACAATTACGGTTTATTTAGCTCGGTAAAAAATAGTTTAAATAAACAGTTTAACCTAACACCCAATTATAAGTAATTGATTTATAATAAAGAATAATAAGCTTCTCAATTATGGAATATTATTCAGCCCCTATGTCTTTACGCTGCTCCTATTTTTGTTATCACGATAATAATATTACCTAGAAACATACTTATCTACTTTCAGTTTCTGCTAACTGCTTCTGGAGTGACTATAAGTTCAATGATTCGTAGTAAGCCATCTTTATATAGACAGGAGTACAACTAATATGACAAAATATTCCAGAAATTCATAATATTATCTGAAAATTCTGGAGAATTAACGTTCATAGCAAAATCGCGACCCCTGGTTGTCTAATTTCTATTGTAATAATTTCAAACATTGTGTTAACGTGTAAAGTGAACTCCCGTTTCCCCCTTGAGGCATGCCGAGGCGAACACATTCTTGTGTCCGTTTCACAGATCGTCACAGGCAAGTAGTTGAATACACTGTGCCCGGTCCGACTGAAACAATCTATTGTTTCCCCGTGATTCAAACCCAGGACCTCTAGCGCTTAACAGAGGTAAATAACGTGTAACGGCCTCTGTGAGTTGGCCTTCCTCGGTCAGGGTTGATGATAAACGTAGAAGCAAATGTAAATAAATTTCATCTCGAAGGATTTATTTATCTATGTGTTTCTACAATGTGGGTAGTGATACCATATAAATACATTATTCGTTGATATTAAATAATTTACACTGTTTCGTGAAAAAAGTGGATTTCAAAATCGAATGAATTTAAATAAAACAATTTAACTGTTTCAAACGCGATATAAATTGTAAGTTTTATTTTAACTAATATATACCGTGTTTTAAACCGTTCAAGTGTTTTATTTAAATGTGTACTACTCGCGTAAACTATAGACAGTATTTAATCGAATTAATATAAAGTAGCGGTTTCATGCCGCGTTACGTCCCATAAATAAAAAAAACTCTTTTGTAGTTCGCTATCATAAGTTTTTGCTTTTAAATTCATAGATGTGTCTTTTATTATAATTCGAGGTCAAAGGTATCATTTGTTATGACAGATTTGAACCTGATGCTGATGATGGAAGGTGAAGTACCTCCGCCATATACCTCAATATTCTGTAGAGTGTACACCTATTTTCGTTTTTGAATATTTGGAATTGTCATTTAAAGGATTGCAAAACAATTTCAAAATTTGAAACTTAAACTGTCGGGGATATAGCTCAGTGGCAGAGCAATCGACTGCAGATCGATAGGTCCCCGGTTCAAATCCGGGTGTCCCCTAGATATTTTTAGTTGAAGCTTGAGGTAATGGTTCTGAATAAAATTAATTACTCCAAAGACATATTCAGAAAACGACTCAAATGTAGGTAGTATAGGTATCTAGACGATCTTTTGATGAGACGATGAGAGCTTATTTCCTTTTTTCGTATTATATGTATGTACTAGCCGTGCCAGCGACTTCTTTCGCGAGAATCGTTAAATTGGACATCGAAATCATCTTTATAAACTTTATCTGTTGGCCACGACGTCGATCGCGTTCCTTCCCGTCGTTCTTGCAAGCTAATCTTAAAAGGTAGACATCCCTTCTTTTTTAGATGATATAGAAAAATCATTCTCTCATACGAATTTTTCAGGTATCTTGAACCGTTTTTGCAGAGTACGCATCTAAAATCGACAGAGATGAACATTTCCCCCGTTTTGTTCGTATTTCCCGCTGTATCTTCGTTTCTATTAGTCACAGCGCAATGTTTAATAGCCTTCCTCCTTAAATGCTCTGACCAACACAAAAATAATTTTCAATTCGAACCCGTAGCTCCTGAGATTAGCGCGTTCAAACAAACAAACTCTTCAGCTTTATATGTTAGTATAGATATGTAGGTATATATAATTTTGTATTATAGGAAGGTCATTCTAAAAATAATATTTACGTATTGGTATTATAATATATTTTATTCGTGTTTTTACATTGGGAAGAAGTAATATATTATTTATTTTGATATAAACTCTAAATTCTAAAACGACAAGTTTTGACTAGTAATACAATTTGTATTCTAATTTAATTGTGTCAATCTAAAACCAAAGTATAGCTAACTTTCTTAACCTAATTTTTTATTTAGATTCCAAGATCTGCATTCTTTTTCTTTCTACCCTCTTCTTTGAAATATCCTCCAGGACCGGGAACAAGTTTTATTTTTTGTTCTTCCTTCGGCTCATCGTGGGTTTTGGAGGAGTCTGATGATGACGTCACGATGCCTTGGAGACGATGGGCGTTTGTTTGACTTAAACTGAAAAGAAAGAAGAACCGTCTAAATGCATTGTTCTATGTAAGTAACATAGAAGTGTAAGACGAAGTAAGATTATTATGAGCGTTGCTTAAGTTATAATAACAACGTAGGTAACGCGTTACGGCGCCGGTCTGTCTAGCTTCCCGTCATCTTACGCATAAGGCGACCTATCGCAGTCTACCTTTCCTATGTTATATTCTTCCTTAATGAACTTTTAAATATTGTAATTAATTATTTTTATATTAATTATCCAACGTAGATAAGTTTCGGGTAAAATATATTTTACTTATCACTCAGATTATAAATCACTTCAACGATCAACATATAACTACCTAATTTTACAATTATTTCACCTCATTACGTGGGTAGTTTTATATAAATTCTTACATAACCGTTCTGCGACGCGCCTGTTAATTTATAATACGTGTATATCCTGGCTTTCAATAATGCACTCACCGAACCTCCTCCACATCAGCGACTTTGTCAATAAGAGAGCGTATTATCTCCTCCTTGTGCTGTAGAGCGAGAGAGGCACGCTCCAACGACCGTTTGTACTCCGCCTGCGCGTGCGTCGCTCTGCGCTCTTGGGAGACGATGCGACGTTCCAGCTCCTCAAGCGACGTATATGCACGGGCTTTTACCACCTGGTAAGCAAAGGCTTTTTTTTACAAAAAATAATAAAAGTTTCTTTTTATATATAATTGCTTAACTCAATATAAAGAGTATTAGGTGTGCCAGCGACTTCCTCCGCGTAGTATAGTTATTTGGGACATCAAATTTAGTTTTGCAAACCTCCCCCTCATGTTAATAAATTATATCTGTTGTACCGGTCTGATGCGTTCCGTCGTTCTTGCACGTAGTCTTAAAAGATAGACAATACTGTTGCGCAATTTCATTTTTATTTTCTCACGTTTTCTTTGCTGTGATTGGTTTCAGCGTGATGTTATAGAGACAACAGTTTTCCTCGATAAATACTTTAACCGACACAAACATATTTTTTTTATTCGAACCACTATTCTTGAAATAACACACTCAACCCCCTACCCCTCTCTAACAAACTCTTTAGTTTTATAATATTAGTATAGCTTTATATATAACCTTTATCTCAGTTTTAATTTTTTCCAGTGCCGCTAACGCCTGTTTCAGTGGTTCGTTTTGCGCGTCCTTTCTGCAACGTTTAGCCCGGACTGCGCGTGCGCTGGCCGAGTGCGCCCTCTTGCGGAACACAACCGCTGCGCGACGATACAACCTGTATAGAATTATTTTAACAAGCTAGTTTTTTGAATCTTTTTTCATAGGATATTGTAATATAATCTCTAGTGCATTTCAAGCAAGTATGTAAAACGAACTACTTGTAAATTTTTAATATTAAATTGGCGAGATTCATGTTTTGATCAACGACATTTTTTTTAAATTGTATCATTTAATTTTGGATTAATTTTGATTACATAAACAGGTCTATAAGCATATGCGGTATACTTGTAGATGTTGGCTATCAAGTACCTTAACAAGTTTCTGCTTTTTTAATACACAAGTAGTATAAAAAGAAAAGAATAAATAAATTGTGTATTGATAGGCTATTAGGAAAGATACTTACTTGACATTCTTGAGAGCTGCTTTCAACTCATCTTGTGCGGTTTCAAGTTGCTGACATACCTTGCTACACCTGTATATAACAATATTATTAATAACTAATAATATTTGAATGTTTTTTTTTCATTACACCCATTTATATATTTATAATATACAATGTATTCAAAACATATTAGACCCGGTGGCAATTGAACCCACCTTCCGTTAATTATTCATACATTGCTACCATTATACTAAAAATAAGTTGAATTAACAATGAAATAAGAAGAACAGCAAATGATTTAAAAAATACCTCTCTTCTCCAAGACTCAAGTCTTCCTGTAGTTTTTTTATTTGTTCATTTTTTCGTTCCGAGTCCATGCTGTACTGGTGTTTTAGTTCCTCCAACAATCTGAAAGTTATTTAAATATTACAGACAATTTCAATCAAACCTAGTAATAATAGTTTCCAGTTATACTGACCGCTTACAATCCTCCAATCTTCTCTCATGCAAATCAGCAGGCACTGTCCTGGCCCTTAATACGTCCAACTGCGCCATCTTGCCTGTAGAAGCTTCAAGGGCGGTTTTCACAGTGAAATATTCGCGATGTACCGTCTCGTAATCGCGCATCATGGCTGCCACTACAGATTAAAAATTAATTTATATTAAATTAAACAATTTAATTAAAATGTATATATGTATTTAAATAATTCTGAATTAAATAAAATATATTTAATTCAGAATAAAAATTATTATTATAATAGGGAAACTGCATAAACGGAGAAAGAAGTATATTTGTATGCAGGTAAATCATTTTGGAAAGGTAAAAGTTTTACTGGCGCCGGGCTCTAGTCCGGGGGCGGGGCGGGGGGCCCCCCCCCTGCGCCCCCGGAGGGGGGGGGGGGGGCCGGCCGGGGGGGGGGGGGGGGGGGGGGGGGCCGCCCCCCCCCCCCCCCCGGGGGGGGCCCCCCCCCCCCCCCCCCCCCCCCCCCCCCCCCCCCCCCGGGGGGGGGGGGGGGGGGGGGGGGGGGGCTCCCCCCCCCCCGCCGGGGTGGTGGGGGGGGGGGGGGGGGGCCCCTTCCCCCCTGCACAGGAACCAGCGGGGGGGGGCGCCGCCCCCCCCCCCCCCCGCGGCCCCCCCCCCCCCCCCCCCCCCCCCCCCCCCCCCCCCCCCCCCCCCCCCCCCCCCCCCCCCCCCCCCCCCCCCCCCCCCCCCCCCCCCCCCCCCCCCCCCCCCCCCCCCCCCCCCCCCCCCCCCCCCCCCCCCCCCCCCCCCCCCCCCCGCGGCGGCGCCCCCCCCCCCCCCCCCCCCCCCCCCCCGGGGGGGGGGGGGGGGGGGGGGGGCCCCCCCCCCCCCCCCCCCCCCCCCCCCCCCGCGCCCCCCCCCCCCCCCCCCCCCCCCCCCCCCCCCCCCCCCCCCCCCCCCCCCCCCCCCCCCCCCCCCCCCCCCCCCCCCCCCCCCCCCCCCCCCCCCCCCCCCCCCCCCCCCCCCCCCCCCCCCCCCCCCCCCCCGGGGGGGGGGGGGGGGCCGCCCCCCCCCCCCCCCCCCCCCCCCCCCCCCCCCCCCCCCCCGCCCCGCGGCGGGGGGGGGGGGGGGGGGGGGGCCCCCCCCCCCCCCCCCCCCCCCCCCCCCCCCCCCCCCCGGGGGGGGGGGGGGGGGGGCCGCCCCCCCCCCCCCCCCCCCCCCCCCCCCCCCCCCCCCCCGCCCCCCCGCGCCCCCCCCCCCCCCCCCGGGGGGCGCCGGGGGGGGCGGGGGCGCGGGGGGGGGGCCCCCCGGGGGGGGGGGGGGGGGGGGGGGGGGCCCCCCCCCCCCCCCCCCCCCCCCCCCCCCCCCGCCCCCCCCGCTGCCCCGCGCCCCCCCCCCCCCCCCGCCCGCCCCCCCCCCCCCCCCCCCCCCCCCCCCCCCCCCCCCCCCCCCCCCCCCCCCCCCCCCCCCCCCCAAAAAAAAAAAAAAAAAATCCGGGGGGAGGAAAAAACCAGGAAAAGCCCACTAATCAGTACTGGGCAAGCATGGTGGGTTCTTAAACCATCTCCTACGGGAGAGGAGGAGCTCTGCCCAAAAGTGAAATTTTGCATTTATTGATTCATTATTGCATAAAAAATAAGTGACAAGCTAGAATCGAAATAAATGTCTGCTATTACATTTTCTTAAAAAATACTAACTTTTATCTTCATACAGTTCATAAACCTCCTTTAATTTAGACTCCGCCCTTTCAGCCCTGTCTAAAAGCGAAGCTCTCTCAATATCACCCGTCTCTTTCTCGACCATGACTTTTTTATAGCTCTGTCTCACTCCTGCCAACTCCGTTTCTAAGTTAGATAGCTTTTCCAATAATGATTTGTTCTCTGTGACAATTTGCTTAGACTTCTTATTCATGCTTTCGAATTGTTTTTCATAGTCTAATATAAGATTGTCTTTTTCTTGAAGGTTTTCTTGATAGGCGTCGAACAGAGGAGCTATAGGATATATATAATTTACTTGACTTTTATTATATTAAATAATAAACATTGATGGTAGAATTAAAAAATATATATATTTATATATTTAAGGGATTAAAAAATGTTTCAATTGACATAATTGTTACCTAAAGCCTGTGCACTTAACAGTCCGGATAAATCGACAAAACGACTAGTGTTTACGTCGTCTGGATTTTTTGTTTGACTACCCTCTTTTTCATCATCTAAAAAAGAAAATACTTACAATACACAAGAATGATGGATGTTAAGAATGAAAATGAATAAAGTTAGTGTACCGTGTTTTTGGGCAAAATTGGTAGTGATTAAAGAGTCGAAAGTTTCGTATTTATCTTTCGTCGTCATGTCATTACAATCTGTTGTTATGTTTTGATTGGACCGTAACTTCTCTTGATATCGAGATAATTGAACGTTCAACCTGCAAAAAGCTTCAATTAATATTTTATTTCATATTTTGTAACTTTATTATTTTTCACATGATGGCACTATATGAATTAAGAAAAATCGATCAAATGCATGTATTAAAATTTGAAAAAAAGCAATGACTAGGAGTGCAATTCGTTAGAGCAAAAGCACGGTAAAGGTTCGACAATTCCTGTTGGAGTCGGTACCAATCGTTAATTCGCTGTCCGATGTATTCAACCCCATCACGAGAATGTTCCAAGGATTTCGGTTACCATTCACCCTGACAATTAGTTTTAAATTAGATGGTAAGAAATAATATCAATAGTTTCTTCCCACTTCACTTAGTTAAACAGATTTTTCTATTACAGAGGAGCAGAGACCAGCATACGGTTCCATTAATGAAGGGTGGGCCCTAGCCTTGTAGTTCAAAAGGTATGATATAAAATACTTAACCGGTAAAGAACATCCTTCATAGCCTGCAAGTCTTTATGAAGTCTTGAATTGTGTTCCCTGCTGTGATTAAGTACAATCTGTCGACTACTGCAGCTCATACATACTTCGACCAGTGGAATTGCATGCTCCGGGTGTTCTAGAATAAATTTTGCAATGATTACAAAGTTGTATCGAGAGACATTTTGTACCCAAATTATAATTCTGAAAACAAAAACATTTTTTTTGGCTCTGGTACTTATTTGGTTTTTAACAAGAGTTACTTAACAAATGAAATAGTTCTGTGCTGACATAAATAAGGACTCTAATACTTTTTCAAGATATGTTTTCTGTATTGTAAATGATGTTTTTAGAGAGCTAGTAAAAATAAGCGACTTTAAGGTCATGTTAAAATGATACAATAAAAAAAATAGTCAAAAATCATCATGTTACAAACAAATAATTATTACCTTTATCAGGCATCTCATACTGCTTAACTTTATCCTCCAGCTGTTTACACTTTTTCTCCAAAATCACCGTTCTTGCCCTTTCTTCTCGAATCACTTTCTTACACTCCTCAACGTATTTCACCAGTGTATCATATTCATTCTTCAATCTGTCGTTTTCATCTGCAAATAATCTGTTGTAGCCTAATATTGCCTTCAGTTTTTCCTTTAGCTTTGATATATGAGAATCTTTTTCTGCAATCTATAAAATTAAATTATGATTGTGAAAGTGAATCCTTTTTACAAATCAATTAATTAATTTTAGTTTTAGCCATTCATAAATAGTTTACACAAATACACATTTTTACAGAGAATAAAAAATATCTGGATCATATAACTTCTTGAGGCCTCTTTAAAGTTGATAAATATTTATCTTAGAATGGGCTTCCTTGAATTTAAACATTAATGTCCATTCTAGTTAATATCATATTTAATATATTTGGAGTTATCATATTTATTATAGTTTACGCAAGTAGTAGACATTTAAATAAAACACTTTAACAGTATAAAACTCGATATAGTCTTTGCAGCAGCCGTGGTCACAGGGAGACTAAGAGTCTTCAAAGTTAAAAATAAGTTTAACTAATATATCGCGTTTTAAACCGTTAAAGTGTTTTATTTAAATATTTGGAGTTCTCAGTAAGGTAATAACGAACATACCATAGCTAAGTTCTCTTCACATTTTTCCATTAGAGCCGTAATGAGGCTCTCATATTTTTGTGATAGTTTTCTTCTATGATCCTTACTAGACTCTTCTTTCGTATGAGGTGAAGTTAAGGCAACAGCCTGGATATTATGTTTCCTTGGAGGTTTAACAGGTTTTTTATCTGAAATAAACATTGGTAGTTGGTATTGGGGTTTGTTTTGAACCTGAAGCCCCATTTAATTATACATATTGTATCACTTGCAATTATAAGTTTAATACTATGTATATATTCTAAAATATATTTACTTATTACATCCCTAGGATCTTCATAGAGTGGATTAGAATCAACTTGATCCATTATAGACTGTGTCCTCTTAATTACAGAATTTAAAATATCTTGACGAGCGCAATGTCTATCTGGTGTCACATCAAAATGGCGGGTTCTCTCTGTGAAGAGTCCGCTGAATGTGCGCTTTTGTCTTTCATTAGTCTTCACTTCCCTTGAGCCTCTTCTAGAGGAGGGCTGTAACAATTTTCTGATAAAATAATCGTTAATTGTTGATTAACTATACTTTTAAATATAAACAGGCAATGTGTTATTAATGTACCTGTGCAGTATGACTAAGTTCTTCCATGATCAGCTATAAGTTAATTTTCTTGAATCCAAATGGTGGAAACCACGAAACATTCTTCTGTAACGTTCACGCCGTTTGTTAGCTGGGCTAAAGTTAAAAGTAGGTCACAAGGCTAACACTTAACAAAAATAATACAGGTCAATAGAACGTTGCAAAGTGAGATATTGACGAAACATCCTGAATTCGGAGTAGTCGACCATAATTTGTAAACATAAACAAAGAATGATATTGTCTTATATGTATAAGGAAAATTTTGCGTTATATGGACTAGGCAAGCTTAGATCAAGTAATTCTAACAACGTGATACTTCAAGTCTATATTTCATAAAACTAAAAGGCTAGTTACTTTAAGATATTTATGTTTTTTCAATTATTCTTTTTATTATTATTCCAATTTTGCCGCGATAGGAAACAAAAGTTTGACAGGCACGTAACTATGACAACCAGTGTTGCTATATTTAAAACTATAACAAATAGTTACATGCAAACCCCCATGCATATACTTTAAATTTGTTTATTCTACAACATTGTTAAAAAAATGTATACTTTTCTAAAATTATATATGACTTTACATACAAAGTTATTTAGTAATATTGTTTTTACAATATTAACCCGCTAGTTGTAATTAGTTTCATGAAATTCTAATAGATAACAGGCGCGTCAATAAAGCAAGAAATAATGCAACAAAATAAAAAGGGTATTATGGCATAGATGCTCACCTTAAACGAAAAAGCTTTTAAATTGTACTGCTTAGCTAAACGTGTGAGTGTGCGCGGTAACAGCTGAGCGATGACGGCGACATTCGGATTTCTTGCGAACTAAACAGTCGCATCATGTCTGCCAGCCGGTACGGTGTAAGACGCTCGGTAGGATAACCTTAAACGTTTGGTCGTCCCGTGGGATTTGGATCACCAATTTAATTTCACACGTTAATTAATTTACCGTGTTCTAGTATAGTGTGTGTAGTGAACCGTCTGTGTACAAATTCAGGTTACGCAGAGGCGTATCTTTAGTGATTTTGTATTCGGTATTGATTTTCGTTTTTACTATGAAAGTAATGTTTTGTTTACCTCCTATTTGTGTTTAGCGTTTGTGAAAGAGTTTTTATATGTGTCTATCGACGATAGTGCTGGATTGGATTGATTCAAGTATGTTCGCGTGTCCGCGTCAAATATCGTGTTTTGGATGACAAAAATATGGAATTCGAAAACGATTTCAGCTTGAAAGAATGGGCGAAGGACAAGCCTTTGTCCATTCTACAGCTAGATCCAGCCGACCGTGCTGTACTGAGAATAGCAGGTAAGAAAGACAAACGTTACAACATAAGTTTGAAAATTATTTCTTTCTGCCTTAAGCAAACCTAATGAGCAAGTACTTACCTACTTCCTATAAACGTTTTATCTATCCATATCACTGATAATAGTTGTGATTATGTTATGACATACACATTTTCATAATAATTGACGAGTCGCGAGTAATATCTACAAGGTAGGCAATTTCATGATTAATTAGGTTCGACCTCGTTTCTTTCGCTTTCAATAGTGATAAAGTGAAACCAATATAATTAAATGCATAATTGTACTTTTTAATTTACATTTTTATTTGTTTACCCGCCGTAGTTTCAATATTACGTTGTGCAGACGAAATTCCTTGTGTTCATTTTCCCATCTGTTTTGTAGGTAGGTACCCGGCTCCCTTTTACGGTTGAGTATAAGCAAATTAACAAATTGTGTCATAGTAATAATAAAATTTACTCCCCTTTGAAAATATAGATCAAATATTAAACATATAGATGTATATTATTTGGTATTAAGGGTAGTTAAGGTACGCGTTATGTCGGGTAAAAAAATGTTGAACATACGAGTGAAAGATATGTTTTTTTTTTATTCGTCTAGTTTTTTAATTCCATCATATTAAAATAAATTTGACATAGATACGATTATTATATGTAAATGCATTCTTTAATATTGTATGTCGGGTAGGTAGACGTGGTCAAAATGAGTTACTTTATAATTGGCTATAGCTATGACTAAGCAGGATATACAAGCTATACCTACCTACGTATTTAGGTAAGAAAAATCATAGGTTATATTTGCAACACCTATTTCCTTTGAGAAAGTGTACGCTCGTTTAGATTTTATCTATTTCCTAACGTAGATAGGCATGAAGTAGTAGACAAGATAGTTTACAATTTACGCCTTGGTTAATACACGACTAATATAAAAGTTGTGCCCACGACTTCGTCCACGTGGAATAGGTAGTTACCTATTTTGGACATCTGATCTTTTGCAAACAACCTCTTCTGCTTCTTCTTTTTTCATCTATAAATTATAGCTGTTACCCACGATGTCGTTCAGGTCTCGTCCTTCTTGCGAGTTAATCTTAAAAGATAGACATAGGTATACAGTCGCGGGCTTTTTAAAAATGATTTAAAGAGGAATCTAACCGGTTTTTTTTTGTAAAGAGTATAATACAGAGTATTTTAGGTGAGTAACATTAAAATAAAACACTTAACCGGTTTAAACCGCGAAATTACAATTATTTTAACTACAGCTCAACAAAGAATGCTGAAGACAAAGGGAGTCCCTTGCTGCACAAATTTAAAGTTCTTTTTTTTCCAATAATATAAAATTGTAAATTCGATTTAAGTGATTACTATATTAAAGCGAGTCTAATTTGTTTTCAAAAACATATTTTTCACATCTTTTTGCACACGACGGCATTATATGAGTTAAAAATAATTTGGCCAATAACATGACCTTTTGCGCATCTAAGCCTGTTTGATAACACTTTCCGTTTTGCGTGGTTATCAAAGTAGCTACTTACATAAATAATATATGTTTACAATAGTTACTTCCTTATAAGTCGCACGTTGATGAGAATAATGTCATGTTATTTTAATTAATACTGATATTCTTTTTTCTTTTTTTTTATTTGTTGTGGACTTAAGTTTTTTTTAATAAGGTCAATGAACTTTACGACGAATATTATATCGAAGGAACAAGAGATACAAATGAGTTTATTTTTCACGGTCTTTCCGTTACTATCTTTATAATATGCTTAGGACGTCACAGATGTAGACAAAATCGAAATGCGAAAGCGTTACTTCCTTTTTCCCATCGTACCGTTTGGTGATAATTGCGTACAATTAGCCCGCACTCCTACTGCGCACAAACAATTGTGTAAGGTTATCTATTCCATTTACGGGCAGGTGTAAATCTAACCTGCATAGCAACAGGTGTTCTAAATTTTTCTCACCTGCCTAAGACCTTTGTAACGATGCTCGGTTTTCGCAATGGATTTGCATAAGTACTGTAGGAGGTACTATTAGTATAAAAGCCTTTTAAAATAAACATTTTTCTGTGTGTCTTGTTGTTTACGCGACTAGTAAACTTTTAAATAAAACACTTCGACGGTTCAAAACCAGATATATTTTAGTTAAACTTATTTGAAAATTATTTAAACTACGACCGTCTACGTCGGGCCATAAACTGTTTTATTTAAATCTTTACAGATACAAATGCAATATTATCATATTTATATGTATAGAAAGTAATTCATGTTTTAAGAAACTTGAGTAAATCACTTACCAATGTCAATGCCTAAGGATGATTACTAGGGGTTTTCCCAAATTCTAGAATAATGTCTACTTCTCTCGATGGTACCAAACGGCGATATCGTAATATATTATAGAGATTAGCGGCTTAGCCAAACCAAATAAAAGTCGGTCAAGGGTAAGTGAGACTCGTGCACGAAGGGTTCTACACACTATCCTATAATAAAAAACAATCCTGTTCGAGGCACAGGCACTCGAGTTGGGATATTCGTGTTTTTACCACCTGAGGGTTTTTTGAGATTCAGCCTGATGACAGGTAGATCTTTATCCTAGGGGAGTCCTTGTCAAAATGATCACATAGTCCTGTTCTCCCTTTTACAAGAATTAATTAAGAACCTAGTATAGAGAATCTTCAATCTTCTGCAATATGTACCTACTGATTATAAAAGCTAATCTTAAGAGAGTATAGAAGCAGGCCAGATTTCATATGCGTCATACTATCGATCCCGTCCCACGCTAACTAGCCCAACATATATGCATAAAGAATAACGTTGCTTGTTCGCGAGAGAAAAGAAAGGAAACCTTATAAATCTCCATGGAAACAAGTAACAACTAATGTTTTGTTCTACCTGAGCGTTCTACTATAATCGTTAAATATAGCGACATGTTGCATATGTCGCCGCGACTTCGTCCACGTAGAATAGTTATTTTGGGTATCAAAATTTGTTATTTGCAAACCTCCTCTTAATCAATTTTAGCTATTACCAACGATGTCTCCCGCGCCCCGTCATTCTTGTAAGTTAATCTTAAAGACATGAGGTATGAGATCGTTTTAAGAAGAATCTTTCTTTCGAACATATTTTTAGGGTAACTTGAATCGTTTTCGCAGCGCTTGCAACGGAATACAAAGGTGAATAAGTCCCTAAGATTAGCGCGTTCAAACAAACTTTGCATTATTGTATTATTAGTGTATATTTTATTTACCATAAAATGTCGTCTTACCTACTTAGTTGACATTTTTACTAAATAAAAGTATTATGTATTATAAGAATGGAAATATTTAATGCCGTGAAACATTTGTGTCAATATAGCGTCCATTGTTCCATTACAACTGCAAACGCGAAAACGTTCGCCTAATTGTATTTTTAATTGCGAAACATTCACCCATGAAAAATAAATTAAAAAGTTTATTGTGCTGTTAAGACTTTTAAATGTACGCTTCTTTTTAACCATAACTTGAAAAGAAGCGGTCGGATTCCTCGTAGACAGCTTTCGCCATTATTGTCAGGCCTTGAATTGTTATAAGTTAATGATATATTCTCGCTCGGTAAGTTTTCTTCCGCGTATCCAAGATTCTCAGACGCTTAACGGATGCAATTAATCCAAAAATAACATTTAACTCTGTTTTTGTCGCACTCTGGTGGCATAAGTTTAATGTCACGTAT